AATACGTGCATTGTATTTGGGGCGTATATTTTGTAAATTATTTTACTTCAATACAAAATGTAAGGTAATTCTATGTCCGAGAATTAAGGTGCATCGAAATTGTCATCACTAATTTTACTCCATGTATTTATTTTAGTACAAATCGCAATTATCATTGATTGAGTATCTATGAGGCAGTAAAAAAAACTCCAGGAATTGTATTTTCGAGTGGTACTTTCAGATTTTTGAGATGATGTTTAGTTACTGATTTACGTCCAATCAAAGTCGAAAAACAAGTTGTTAGCAAATCGTGTCCGAGAATTCGATCATTTACCTTAGTACAGTACTTGCTGCTGTTCCTGCTAACGTTGCTCGCGATGATACTATAGTATCGAATTGCACAGCGAAGGATCGCCTCACGACAGCAGTTACTGGTCCAAGGCGTACATACACTTCACTGTATCCAATATCAGGAGATTCGGGCGAGAAATCGCATCGGCTAACAGTAAAAATAACGTTACATCAACTTTATCATCTCCTTACTTGTAGCAGACCTTCAATTGTCATGCATAAATAGTGTCTCCCTTCGTGCTGCTGAACCTGCAAAATATTCCCGCGTCATATCATATCTCTCATCGTCGTGAAAATCCCACCAACCTTTATTTTATTGTATTTCAGATTCAAAAATCTACACCTTATACTGAAAGCAAGATATAAAGCGCTGCCGAATATTCAGTCGCAATCATCATTGGACAGAGGGAGTACTTCAAAGTAATAATGGTGGAAGGATTGTGGGTCTTTTTCCGGATACGTCCGGATATGATTTGTACATTCAACTTGTCCAAACCATCGACGCGTCTTGCAAGGCGCCGGTCGATACGCTCATCATGTCTGGAAGCAACCCACGGTCGTCGTCGTCGTCTGCTGCAGCACGGTCGCCAACGAACCGCGCGAAGAAGACTGCGGCGTTCGCACAGGAATGTGCCATCTCGTTTGCGAAAGAGTGCACCGAAAGCACCAAAGGGCCGTCGTCGTCGTCAAATCCGCAGGGCAACCACCGTGGAAAAGACAGTCACGTTGTCCACGACTACGTGTCCGAGACCAAACAGTACTTTGTACGCGCCACTCTGGAGCTTCACGCGCCACTGTCGGAGATTCTCGAACTCTTTGCACCCACCGACCTGGACGACTCGGATCCGTTCTTCTCGCGCTTGTTCGATCGTGCCATTGACGTGTCAACTGTAGCCCGGCACCTTGGCGACGGGGGCACGTTGCTTCCGCCATCGAATCAGATGCCCACCGACGACGAGCCGCGCCCGTTGACAAAGGGGCCGGTGGCTCGGTCGACTGTGATCAAGCGCATCCGCTTTCACGACAAAAAGCAATGGCAGAAGGACCTGCTATGCCTAGAGCACGTCGAGCCGCTGTCAGCCACCAGTGTTGTGCGGTTCTACGAGTCTGTCGACAGCTGGTCGGACATTCGGTTGTCGTCTACGGATTCCTGGACCAAAGAAAGCAGCGGCAGCACGACCTTGTCGGCCCCACACCACGAGAATCTCACGTTTGGGTTTCTGTTTGAGAAAATCTCGCGCGCCAACCGGCTACGCCTCACCTTTTTGGGCTATCACACCACGGCCACCCGCGGCGACGAGACCTGTCTGTGGCTGGGCAAGGTGGCAACGTCGCTAGCCATGGTCAAGAACGTGGTGCTGCGCCGTCGATTGACGCAAGACTCGGCGGTCGTCCCATCGTCTCAGCTTGTTCACGCTACGTCGATGCCACCACCCTCGTCGTCGTCGTTGAATTTCACCGCGACGTTACCGCGGGCGTGCCACACATGCAACAAATCCTTCCACCTCTTTCGGCGCGCGCACTTTTGCCAGGTGTGCCAGGCTGCCATGTGCTCGAAATGTACGCGGCACCAAGACGTCGAGTCGGCGCCGGGGCTAGTGGTTTCCATGCAAGTGTGCCACGGCTGCCAGGTGACCCTCGTGCACCGCAACGCGCTGAACCCTGCACCTTCGGCAGAATGCGACAACGTCTGCCCGAAACCACATCGCAGTCGACTCCACAACCATCGCCGGTCGTCGTCCAGACGCGCATTGTCCCATCGAGACGCGTTGCGATCCAACCCTGACGGCGATGACAACAGCAACGCCACCGACGTGTATGAAGACAATCTGGCGTTTGACGCCCAAACGCGCTTCCCTGGGGTCACCATGGTGGTCCCGCCGATTTCTGCAAAGAAACCAGCTTCTGCCTCCGCCACTCCCCGGCCCACCCCCCGCCAAGCCCCCCCCGCCACTCCCCGGCCCACCCCCCGCCAAGCCACGAAAGCGTCGGCCGCAAAGGAGATTTGCATGCGATGCTGTGCCTCAGTGGCCGTGGGGGTCTGTGGTGCCTGCACCATGCCGTTCTGTGGGGGGTGCTCCGTGCTTCAAAACGTCCAAGTCGGCCCGGCCAACGTGTTTGAGCTGCAGCTGTGCCTCGGGTGCGTTGCCGAGACTGCCGTCCCCGTGACGTCGCCCCCTTCCGCCCCATCGCATCCGTCTCCAACAGAACGGTCACCACCACCACCCACCGTTGAGCCCATTGTGCTGCGCGAACGCCCGAGTTTCAATCCAGACGTCGATGCTATGATGCGCACCATGACATTGCGCCCCCAACTGTCGCCGTCGCCCTGGACACCAATGGCCTCCAAGGATCATTCCCGTCAACCACAACGCTACGTCGTGCCGCTGTTGGAAATGGAGGCGGCCAACATTGAAGAAGGCGACGAAGACGAAGGTAGCGATGATGAGTATCATCATCGCCGCCACCGCTATCGCACCTCGACCAGCGACTCGACGACGACACTGCAACAACAACAACAAGATCATCCGTACGACATTGCCGACAACCAGTCGTCGCCCCCCCGCCCTCGTCGCAGCAACAGCAGCCACGTTAGCAGCCGCGCCAGTAGTAACGACAGCAGTCACGTCGGCGGCCATGGCCACGAAGATGATCACGATGCGACGAGTCTCGAAGACCAACTCCAAATGTTTGCATGCTTGGATGTGGGCGCCAACAGCCTCCACGACGTCCTGTGTGAAGAAGTGTGTGCCGACATGGAGTGCGCCAACGGCTACGTGACGCTCATCTACCAAGGCGCGACGGTGCTCAAAGGTGCGTTTGGATCGACGGCGCCGTCGCAAATCCCCAGCACGTGCGCTCTCGTGAGGGAAATTCTCGCGTCCAGTGACACAGCGTTGCTGCTCGTGCCAGACGCGACCGCCGACCCCCGGTTCGCGTCGTCGCCCCGTGTCACAGGTTCCGAAGGCATCCGGTTCTTTTGCGGCTTCCCGCTACGCACGTCGGACGGACACGTGTTGGGCACCGTGTCCGTGGCAGATACGGCGCCTCGGCTGCGCATGTCGCCGCAACATCGGCAGGCCATGGAAACGTTCCACGACAATGTTGTGGCGCTGATCGAAGACCGACTGGCCGTCGCCCTGCAAGCACATTAATATTTAACAAGTGTAACACCACATGTGGCGTCGAGTTTCGTCGAGACGAACGCACGACCATGTCGACGGTTTACGAAAACCTAAGAGGCTCAACACATGCTACAGTCAGTAGCATACAACTTGTGTCGATGTGGAGTTTGGAAATGAACGGTAACTCTGAATGTGCAGAAAATGTCATGGCCGTGATGTCGAAAGGTAGTCAGTCGACTTTACAAGTGGAAGAGGGAGCAGTATGATGAATCGACACTAGCTTATGCTACAGTATCCGACTACAACTGTGTTCAACTTCGTCGAGGATGGCTGGCAGTTCGAAACCATGCCGATATGTCGGTACAAAGTGGGTGGTTCGGGGCTGGACGTCGCTCACGGCCACGGTACATACCCACCTCGATGCCGTCGGCAGTGTACATAGTTTTTAGGCCCAGCTGCCGGCAACGATACGTACGAACGGACGGCTCTTCGACAACATTAGTTGCATGTAACAAATTCATCCTTCCGCCGCCACCCAACAACCTAGTAACGTTAGGCGTGCTACTGTATTCAAGAAAGTGTAGTCAAGCATTCCTCAACGTGCTTAGAATGTCCATGCATGTGGAAGCCAAACAATAGGTTTGTCAGGCGGGGTGGTGTCGTCGGTTCGTCAAAATCGAGCGACTTGACCACTCGTACAAACAACTTGTGTGCCAGTTTTTGCACGAAATCTCACAAGTGCATCGCATGGCTCACGGCTTTGACGTATGGATTTTCGTCGAATTTGAGGGCTTCGATCGCGGCGGTGCATCCAGCATATGACGTGGCATCCTCGGAGTTCCCCTTTCTCATATCCCTGCCAATTAAGTGAGCTTGGGCTGCAGCAACACGTTGGGGAGTTACCCATTTGTAAAGAATGAGGCTGAACCTTTGGTTGCATAGTGTAGTAGTACTCATATGAAAACTTGATTCACCCAACAAACTTCAAGTCCTTTACTCCTGTACCGGTATCTTTTCATAGCGTGGACGAGACCATGACCAAAATCTAATGTCGTCTCATCAGACGACACTACGATCACACATTCGTCACGCTGATGTCACCCAGGTTTCAAACCAACTGTTCTACCGAGCAATGTCGTCAAGAATCTACACCCGTCTAGTTAAATTAACACACCAACGACCGGCGCTATATCCTACAGCAACTCCAGTCGTGTAACCACGATATCTGTCAACGGCAGCACTGCTCGATTTCGTCTACGATCGTCGAAGCAAACCAGTGCAAGAGACGGCGGTGGGTTGCGTCAAATCGGGCGCGGGGAAGTCCGTCGCTGACCGACACGGTGCCCAGCTCAATCCCGTCGGACGTGACCAGCATGAGGCCGACGTAGTACCGGACACACTCCCTCCCCGTCACCCGGACGGATGTATTGAAGCGCGGGTCTATGGTTGCGTCGGGCACCACGAGCGGGGCCGCGCCCCCCTTCAGCAGCGTCGCCACACTCAGCGGGTCCGTCCGAGTGATGCGAATGGTCTGCGCCATGCCTGACGTGGCTTTGACGACAAACCCGCCCTTGTACAGCAGACTCACGTACCCGTGGTGGCAGTCGAGCGCCCCGGCCAGCGACTCGCATAACTTGTCGAGGCGCTTCGTCAATTCCGTGTTCGAAACTGCGTTTTGTCGAAGGGTTTCGGCTTGAACAGAAATGCGAATAGTGTCCAAAGCTGGTCGAGTTATGGCGGCTCCACTGGCACCTCGTTGGCGTGGGATGGCGTCCCCCGAGGTCGAACTGGCGTGGGCGCTGAGGACGCGGCGAGGGGCGGGTCGACTGGCGCTGCTGCTTGTTCCATGGGTGGACGACATGGGTCGATCAAGATCGTCATAGTGGGGTCCGGTGGAAGGACCCCCCGGTTGTGCCACGTAATGGCCAGTTGCACCACGAGGCGTGGAATACCCGAGTACGCCACTCAACACCCGTCCTTTGGATGCAATCGGTTGGCTCGAGGACGAGAGGGGGGCTGCGGCAGTAGGAGGAGCGTGCGCTTTCGCCGTGCTATGACCGCGATGTCGGACTTGTCCTGTGCCGAGGACTTCGCTGATACGTGGCAAGCACCTCCCTTCTTCATCGTCGTCGGTGGTGAGATATTGCGGGTGCTTGGCATCCGGGGCCTTGTTGGTGAGCACCAAATTCGCTTGGCACTGCACCAGACACACGTTGCACACTCGGAGGTCGACTTCGATGCATCGCGCCGACTCGGCGCGTTCGACCTGCGAGCAGTGGGTGCACACGGTGTGATCGCAGAGGCGGCACTGGGTCTGCGTCCGTCGCGATAGGTTGTGGCTGCAGAGGTGACACGTCGTGGCGGCGGACGGCGTCGGCCGGGCAACGCACAGACGCACGAGTCGGCGGCGCCACACCGCCGTGGCCAGCAACCCCACAGAGCCCGACAGTTGGTGCAGCATCGCGTATGCGAACGAGTTCTTCTTGCCCACGTGCTGGCCGTAAAACGTCACCTTGACCCCTCCAGAATGCACTTCGTCCATGTGGAACCCAAACAAGACGTTGGTCACTCGACTGTCGTGTTTGTGGTGGGGGCGTGGGGCATCGAGGCTCTTGAACACCCGAACAAACGTCGTGTCCGACAGCTTTTGCACGAAATCCAGCAGGTGCAGGTCATGCGTGGACGTGCGAAACAGTCGCTTTTCGTTGAGTTTCACAGCTTTGATGGACGTGGTGCACCCAGTGAAGTCGTGGATGGTACTGGTGGTGGTGCTACTGCTACCGCTACCGCTGCTGTGGTTACTGGCTGTGTAGTACTCGTCGTTGTTGCTGCTGCAGTCGTCCCCCTCTCGCGAAGACGGTCGTCGCAGCGGCTGCGTCACGCGGCGGACGCACATGGCTTCCGTCAGAGAATCTTGAAACACCCGTAGCAGGAACGCTTGAAAACCTAGCTGTTGGTCTCGCGAGTACACATCCAGCACCTCGTTCATTGTGCCTGGCACGATAAATGTGTTCACAATCGTAAGGACCTTGGACTGCGCGTCAACGGTGTTGGCAGGGAGGACGCGGCACTGCTCCATCACGTACGCTGCCACGTCATAACCTCGTTGAAGTAAGTCGTGGTCGGTCAACCCGTTGGTATCTTCATCAAACACCGACGGCCACGACGCCACCGACGCTGTGGACGACACTGAGTCGGTGCGTCGGGGAGCCCGGGCCTGCTGCTGTAGGGGTGGTACTAATGCTTTAGCGTCGTCTGCGTTGTGTTTGCCGGCAGCACTGGGCTGCGTGCCGAGAAAGCGCGGATCCAGGACGCGTGGAAACATGATGACCTGACGACTTCAAAATGGGCTATGTCGCCAACAACTGGAGAAGGCGTCTTTAGGTTGCATAACTCAACTGGATGGCTGCTCCACGTTGTCGGATGTTATCTTGACACCGAATGTTTGGCCTGGCCGTGTATACATAAACTATACATATGTCACCATATTGCACATACTGGTTGGGATCCCTCCAATGTCTCACCATGGGAAAACTCCAAGTGTCCGTCAACCCGAGTCAAAGTAAGTTACTGAAGCGCAAGATTTGAATGGTGAGCTATGGTGAGCGTGCTGTTTGTGCCTGCTGACCTGAGATTGCCTTCCCACCACGGTAACACTGATTCCTCCGAATCTCCCCATCACTAACCGCGATGACAGGAAATTGCAGTCGCCCCACATGTCAGGGCTCGCCTTTGCACACCCTAGGACATGTCAACCGATGTGATATAATTGGATTGCTTGCTCAAGATTCATCATTGCTGCCATGGATTTTGACAAAAGACTGGGCGCAACGCCTATGTGCCGAACGTTCGCCGAAGTCGCATGATGACATACATATGCCTTTATTGAGCGGAAGATCGTTGGACTTTGGGGTAATTTGGGGTGATGTTCGGGACACTTCAATCACCATGTGCTGCAGAGTCGCACAGGCGAGGCCGCCACTGTACAACGCTAACATTCTTGATGCGAATGGTTTCGAGGGGAGCAACTAACTTGGTGCCTTTTCTCGTGGTTTATTCTACGGTAAGTTGTCGAAAATCCAGTTTGAAATCCTGAGACTGATTACTGCAGTAACTAACAGTACTGTAAGGTACTTCAGTACTTCAGTACATACTTTAGCCGCTTCTGGTACACATATCTGTAGCCGTTTGTAGGTGGCGTGGGGGGCTTGAGGGCGTTCGCTGGTTCTGGCAAACTAAGCTGTAAAGTCTACAACAACCAAGTATATCCTCTCGTCAGGATATAAGGGGTATGAAGGGGAAAGTCGTCACCAAGGCCCGCATGTGCTGGAGCCAGGCTAGGGGGGACGTCAGGCTACAGGTACCGGTACCGGTACATCCTCCCACGTTTCACTCACACCAGTTCAGTGCAGCCTTTCAAGTCAACATGTACCACCAATACATGTACCACATACTAGTAGCATATACTACTGCAGTACAGTACTAGTAGATAATAAGATAGGTATCCTCGATGTAGGTTCTACTGTACTGTAACCACCCGTATAGAGGGACCGCAGTCACAGGTGTACTGTCCTAAGCTCATGAACACTCACCACACACATCGATGGAGAGGAATGACAGTGATACTGTAGGCCATCAACGAGGCGTGCCTATGTAGTCGAGGACCGTACATTGTGTACAAACGGGGCGGGGGGGGGGCGTTGAGGTTACTGTACAGTTTATGTACAAACTTACGGGGCTACTGTAACCACTCGCGCTACTTACACTGGAGCCGCGTCGTGCTTTTGCTGTCCGCAGCAACCAGTGCCGTCAGCTATGTACAGTACTTTTCTCAGTGCAAACCAAATTCTGCATCGTGTGTTACAAATCAACTTCACACTTCTAGGCTTGAAATGCTCCATCGTTGCTGCACTTGTGAAATGTCCGAGCAAAACTTGTATCCAAGCAACATGTACAGATGACAACACTGACTGTAAGTTACAGTACGACGCATACACACACCTACCAACCAACCCAATCCAATCACCGTATGCGTGTGTGTGCCAGGCTCGAAATAATATTGAATCTGCTCAACGTTAGCCAGCCCAACCATACTGGAGGCTTGATCATACGTCAGGAGGTCTAATATCTACTATTGATTGCCCTTTGTCAGGTTGGTGATATGTATGGTAGGTACATCAGGGCATCAGTATGCAGCGTGTGACAGTACACAAGAGCACGAGCTCTCGTCGACAGGATATTATGTACATATGTTTGCACAGCAAAAGCAATCTACCCAGCTAGCTAGCTATTCGTGCTAACGTATATGTACTACTTGCCAGGCCAGATCCCCAAGGACATGCATGTGCGTGCGGTTCAACCCAACCAACGAGTCATCATTAGGATGATTTAGCTCGAGTAGACGGTATGTACTAGTAATTGGCCGTTGCGTTCACACTTTGGTCGATTGATTCGCGAGCCACAACCCCACGACACTTGCGGTCCACGTCAATGTCAATGGTCAGACGTGGCACGCGGTGGACGAGGCTGTGGCCATCCGTTGCGTACAATGCAGGCAGGTACTGGTCGTACGCTGGCATAAACCGATCGACAAAGTCGCTTACTTGCGTACTCGTCATGGCAGGCACGCCCTGGTCCCTCATCTGAGCCTCGGCTTGTTCTCGCCACCTGTCGTCATGATATTATGTTGTGTATGTATGCAGCCAACGGGGTTGAACCCAACGTACGTGTACACCCAACGCGCATCGTCAACGTGCACGACGATCAGGGCAGACAGGGCAGCGTGGACGCGATCAAACTCGCGCAACGCTTGGTTCACAGGTCTCAAATGTCTACCGAGAGAGAGCGTATGGGCTCTGCTACATATTGAGGTCGCTATGTGACGTCGTACCCTGGCGGATCGGTAGGTGAAGCTTCAAAGCCCAAGCACCACCCTTCGATTAACAACACATCCACGGGGCCTACGAAGGTGTTAAGGATGATATTGCAACCCCCAAAACTACGAGGACTTATATCTATTTCCAAAATACGATACTAGTATAACAATACCTGGATAGCGTACCCACTTATCCTTGGGGAAGCGATCGCCTCGGCCATTGTATGCTGACTTGTCGTACCGCGGCACCAACACATCGCGGCCTGCACTGGCGTCGTCGATCAACGACATGAGAAGGTTCAAGTCGTGCGTTCCAGGATTGCCGCGGTGCTGTGTGGAATGATGTCAATATGTGCATGATCGGGGAAGGAAGAAGAACGTCGTACTTCGAGAAGCGGGTTGTGTGGGTTGGATGCGGCCACCTTGAGTTGATCTGCATGTGGGAGGTACACGTCGTCCAACGACAAGGTCGCACACGTCCTGCCAGTGGCGCGAAAGAGGGTCTCCAGATACGAAGACATGGTGGTCTTTCCCCCTCCCTAGATGCAGGGATTGGCCACGCAACCACGTTCGAAGGGTCATGCTATGTACCTGGACACAGCTGAGGCCGAGCACAAGACACGGCGAACGTAGCTGCTTCTCTGCCCACAAGAAGACTGGTAGGTAGTACGTGTCGATAAGTTGATGCACATATTCAGCTTTGGATGGATAATGCGATGGTACAGTCACGGAGGCGCTCAATAGAAGGGGTTCCAGCACACGGCCAAGTGTCAGCCGACGCGACATCGCCGCCTTTGATCACAGTTCGTACCGTATTTTGGATTTCGTTATAGACAGGTTTTTCCTTCTAGACAGTCTAGAATAGAATGCAACGTATCAATTTATACAAACACAAATATAGTCTTTCTAGAGGTTTTCACCGACGTCGTTATCCGGATATAGGAACGTACGCGAATTCGGGAATCTTGTGTAAGTTGTTGTCGAAATACTACGTAGTAGAGTTGTCGAGTGTTGACTGTGTGATTGACCTGAAAGGGCGAATGCTTTTAAACCTGGCTGTGCATGGACGAAAGATGTATAGTACGCGGAGGATGATTTATGAAAAGGCGAAACCATCGATTGCGGGGCGTCGCGCAACAAAGAAAAGGGAACGAGAAACGTCATGGGCGACAGAAACATGCCACCGACCTTGCCGCCAAATCCTTCGCAGAGATATGATGTCGGAATGGTTCAGTGGGGAGATCCTCGTGGGGGGGTGACCACAACCAGACGTAGATTGACGACAGGCACCAACTGACATCTGCAAAAATCAAAGTCGATGTACTATGTGCTCACGTTGCCATAGCGAGACTTAGTAAGGTACATAGCTTCCAAGAGTAAATGCCGAGAACGCAAAGCCATGCACATCTTCGCACCTTCGAACAAAGACCATGCCAACGACATGGGTGCCGCTAACCAATCAACGGCATGCAATGTTTAATTTAAGCCAATGGGATCACCTTTGTCAGCGAATTGAGATGACCAATCTGTCTTAGCCTCTTTGTATGTATACTCTGTAAGATTCGATTCAGCACTATATTTCTATTGACAGGATATTACCCGCTGAAACGCATACGTCCCTGTGATTTTCGATTGGGTCATCAAATGATATTAAAGATTAGAGGTATTTCCTCCACGCAGGTGTGGGTTCTTTGTGTCAAAATCCGGACAAGTTCAGACGCATTAAACGGTCAGTCACATCCGACAGCTTCATCGAGCATGTCGACGCTGAATGAAATGCCAGTGGAGCCACCCATGACGGAATCCGCGGCGTTCCTTCAAGCGCATCCATCGTCCCCCCCTCATCGATCGCCGCACACGCCGTTCCAGCTCAAGTTTACATGCGTGGGGCACAAGAAGGCCATCTCGAGTGTCGAGTTCGCGCCTACCGGCCACATCCTTGCCAGTGCATGTACGTCTTCCTCCATTTACGATGAGGAGGAAGAACACATGTTCTGATGCATGCTCCCCGTTGTGGTTGTGTAGCCCCGGATAAAACGGTCAAGTTATGGGATGCCTCGTCCGGGTCCCTCAAAACAACCCTCGAAGGCCACGACCAAGGGATCTCAGACATCTCATGGTGTCAAAACGCAAAATACGTCGCATCTGGCTCGGACGATCGGACCGTCAAGACATGGGACGTCGAGCAGGGCTGCACCGTCGCGACCCTCCGTGGGCACACCAACGTGGTGTTTTCAGTCAACTTCAACCCGCAAGGGACGCTCATTGCGAGTTCTTCGTTCGATGACAGCGTGCGCATTTGGGATTTTCGGACTGGTCGCATCGCGCGCATGATTCCCGCGCATTCCGACCCGGTCACGGCCGCGTCGTTCAACCGCGACGGCACGCTACTCGTCTCGAGCAGGTAGTTCGTGTCGTCAGCCCCACATTTTTATTTATTCATCGTGTCCCGAGTAGCTACGACGGGCTGTGCCGAATATGGGACGTGGCCTCGGGCCAATGCCTCAACACGCTGACGCTGTCCACCGACGCCACTTCCAACGACCCGATCGTGCCCGTCTCGTTCGCGCGCTTCACTCCCAACGGCAAGTTTGTCCTCGTGAGCACGTTGGACGGGAAGCTGCGGCTATGGGACTACGTGCGGTCCCGCGTGCTCAAGACGTACAGCGGCCACGTGAACGCGTCGTTTTGCATCTTCTCGGCGTTCTCGGTCGTCGGCGACAAGCCGCATGTCGTGAGTGGTTCCGAGGACGGAAACGTCGTGCTGTGGGACGTACAGACCCAGTCCATTGCGCAGATCATCCCCGCACACACGGACGCCGTCCTCGCGGTCGCCGCCAATCCCATGCGACCCATGCTCGCGACCGGCGCGCTTGAAAAAGACAAGACGATCAAGGTCTGGGAAGCTTGACAGACTGGATGCATGTGGGTGGGTGAGTGTCGACGAGTATGGCGGCAGAGAGGGTCCGCCACGCCCTACGAGGCTGCCGATGCATGAGGAGGACTACGCTCGTCCGGTCTGCACACTCATCCACTGTCCGAGAAGCTAGCCGGAACGCCACTGCCGCGTTTTGGGGGCTGTGTAGGTGGTGGTGGTCGGGGTAGCAATTTACTAACTTAAGTGGGGTCCAACACTGTTGTGGTTGCCCAGCGCCCTCGACGATGTTCGGTCGTTTGCATGTTATATGGTGCATTTCATCTAAAGACTACAGATGGGCCATCCTCAAGAGGAGACGTTTTACTATTAAACGCCTCGGTTATTTCAGTTAACCCCCCGTAATGTTGACGTTAAATTATTTTTACTTACGTTTTTTATCTGGTAAATAGGTTAAACATCCTGAATAATCCGGATACAATGGAAACGTTCATACGGATAAGTGCTGTATACAAAGACCAAGATATACTTGATGCTCCTTTTCGGCCAAAATGTCCATATATTTCCATACAAAAAGGCTGGTTGGTTTAAATTCTATTAGTGCTCGATCACTTTTTCACCAATCGAAATTTTGAACCGTAACTTCTGTTGGTCTTGACCAGTTCTATCGTTATTACGGCTTATTTTCCTAAAAAATATCAATACAAAGTTGGAATAGCTGTCGAAAGACAAGGCATATTTTTGTAGTCTTTAGTTGAAATGCATGCACCATACCTCTAAGTTGGATGGTTTGAATGATCAACATTCCTCGTTCTGGCAACGAGAAACGCTTTGAAATCTACAGGACATGGCATTAAGCACTGTTTTGATTCGTTCTATAGTTGTTCTGTACCGTACAGCATGTGTACTGTACAGTACAGTGGTGTGCGGAGTAGGGTAAGACTTATTATAGTACTACGTATTAATACTAGTATTTTGATCCTTGTACGTACTTAAGTTACTGTACCGTACAACATTGGGAACTGTACAGTACAAACTGGTATAGAATAGTGTACAGTACAGTATACTGTACAGGATGCGGAGTAATACATAGTAGCAGTACTGTACAGAAAGTACTAAGTACTATTAGATCATAGCTCGTAGTACTAATATTTGTGTTGGTGTGATAGTATGTAGGATTAAAACTCGTCCTGGATGTCCAACCACTTGGTGAGGTAGATGCACGTGGCAGGGGAGATGATGTTGCCGTCCGCGCACTGATCGAACACGGGACAAATGCCACAGGGCGTGTCTGACAGCGAGTCAAAGTCGGTCACTTCCCTCGATACTTTGTACGACACGTCTCGCCATTCCTACGCCAGCATCAATCGAACAACCAACTGGATGCGGCATGCAGCATACCCCGTTCGCGAGCCGCGCCGCGCGGACCTCCTCGACGCGGTCGTCGTAGATGAGTGTATTGAGGATGGACATCATTTCGTCGGGGCCGAGCGACACCTTGGCAATGCCAGATTCGTGGACTTTGTCTGTGATTTGCTTGAGCGTGACAATACCCTACATCACAAGTCATGACGACGGGCGAAGTACTTGCATAGATGCACAGATACAAGTGCACTTGCCTTGGCGCGGATGAACTGACACACAAAGTTGCGCAATGTGTCGATAAAGTCGTGGTCGAACTCTTGCTCGTTGTACCAGGGCCCGCCCGTGATGTCGCGGGATGGCACGAGGTCGAAGAGCATGTACAGCTTCTTGTTTTTTTGGCTGATCGACTTGACCGCTTTCACGAGATGGCGGGTCTCGAGCAGACGGATCGTTTTTCGAATGATCACTTCCGGGATGTTGGTTTTTGTCTTGATGTCGCGCGTCCAAATGCCTTTGTTGCCCGCCTTTTCAATCTCATGAAGCACGCCCCGTTGCTCGACCCTATTTACGCACACAATGAACCAATGGACCCTACACGAATGGACGTACGTGAGGCCACGCATGCGTTCCGCTTCTTCCTTTGCCACCAAGCCATACATCAAGTTCGACCCTTGTTGGAAGATCTTGATGCGGCCCTACAAACAACCACTGTCATCATCAAACCACATGAGGTTTCGTGCAGAGGCATCGATCTCTGGCAGACGGACGTACGTCGCTGACGAGGTCATTGATCACCGCAGGAAGCTTGTCGTATTCCGCTCGGAACGAATCTCGGACTTGCGCATCCGAGATGGCATCGCTAGACGACCCCAACAGGTCCAGGAACGCCTTGGCATGATCCATGGTCCAACAAGTGAATTTGAAATGAATATCCTGTGAAATCGAATATAAAGTGTCACGAGGATTCCCGCGTGATTGGTGCAAGCCAATGGCATTGGTTGGTGCAGCATTTTGTATCTTGGCGCGTCGTCCTCCACCGCCGCCTCCAACGTCGTTCCGAAGATGAAGTTTTCGTACGAGGTAGAGACGCATTATCCCTTCATGTTCATCGCTATCGTCATCTCATGCAAGGCGACACATATGTCTAGTTCAGCCACCTCTGTGGGACAGTGTACACGCAGGGCAACCTGGTGTTCACACCCGACGGCAACTCGTTGCTCAGTCCAGTGGGCAATCGCATCACCGTGTTCGACTTGATCAAGTACGTGCTTCATGCATCCTTCTGTCCGATCTTAGCTGTACATCCGCTGTGTCTAGCAATGCGTCGCGCACGTTTGCGTTTGAGAGCCGCAAGAACGTCCAGACGATGGCCGTGTCACACGATTCCCGCTTGCTGATTGCCGTGGACGAAGGTATACATCCCTGCATAGCACATATCTACTGCATGTTCACTTATCAAGCATGATTTGCATCCATAGATGGCCATTCGCTCCTTGTGAACCTCAAGAAAGGCATTGTGCTGTATCGGTTCAACTTTAAAGCGCCCGTGCGCGCGCTTCGGTTCAGCCCAGACAACCGCTTCCTTGCCGTGTCCCATGGCACGAAGGTCCAACTTTGGAAGGCGCCGGGGCTGAAGCGCGAGTTTGCGCCGTTTGTGCATCACCGCACGTACGGCGGACACCACGGCGACGTGCTGTCGATCGAGTGGTCGCCCGACTCCAAGTTCTTCCTCAGTTCCGCCAAGGACTTGTCTGTGCGGCTGTGGTCTGTCCAGCCGTACCCCAACTTTACGCCGTACACGTTAGTCGGGCATCGCGACGTGGTTATTGGCGCGTTCTTTTCTGCCGACGGCCAAACCATCTACACGGTCGCGCGGGACGGCGGCGCATACCTGTGGGAACACGACGGGGGGGTTGCTCCAGTCGAAAATGACCAGGAAGATGCGATCATTCCGGTCGTGGCGCGTGGGGTCAAGTGGTCCACCAAGCACAAACACGTGTTCAAAATGGAATACGCCAAGGTGGACTGCGTGACCTTTCACGCCGACACGGAGCTGCTCGTCGTCGGCTTTGGCAACGGCACGTTTGGCTTGTACTCGCTGCCCCACTTCCAGGACATCCACACACTCAGCGTGTCCCAGCATCGCATCAGCGCCGTGGCCATCAACTCGTCGGGCGAGTGGCTCGCAATGGCGTCACAGCACCTCGGGCAACTGCTCGTGTGGGAATGGAAGTCCGAAACGTATGTGCTCAAGCAGCAAGGCCACTACTTTGACCTGAACGTGCTCGCGTACTCGCCCGACGGCCGACTCCTTGCCACGGGCGCCGACGACGCCAAGCTCAAGCTGTGGGACACCACGTCTGGCTTTTGCTACGTAACGTTCCACGAACATGCGGCCCCCGTCACGGGCGTGGCGTTCACCGCCAACGGCCAGGCCGTCGTGAGCTGCTCACTCGATGGAACGGTCCGCGCGTTCGACTTGAATCGGTACAAGAACTTCCGCACCCTCACGACCCCCAACCCCGTCCAGTTTCTCTGCCTCGCACTTGACACGAGCGGCCAGCTCGTGTGCGCCGGCACCCTCGACCCGTTCCACATTTACGTATGGTCGATGCAAACTGGCCGGCTCACGGATGTCCTCAGCGGCCACACGGCGCCCATCACGTCGTTGGCGTTCTCGCCGTCCACCACCGAGGTTGGTTTGTGCTATGTGCACACCTCCATCAGCATCCTTCCCTATTATTATTATTGCCATCGTCGGCGCCTTGGATTCGTGGCCACTGCTGTTTGTTATACATGTCATCGACGACGACTGGACCAGTGTTGTTTTTGCCCGTTTTCCCCAAATTTTTGGACTTGTGTGCTGATTTTTGCCAAATCTATCGATCGATTGTGTTTGAATTTTGTATGTAAAGCGTGGTATTCACACGAATTGAGGTCTCACACTAATTAAATGTTGTGATGGTTTCGTGCAATCTGATTGGCTAATTACTTCTGCCGATTCAACTGTACATTGATTTGGCAGCCTACGATATGAACATCGTTGGTTCGTTGTTGTCCTTCATTGCGACTGTTTCGGACGTCATGTCATGTACACACAGTGTTGTCGTCAAGCTCTCTATTTGCTGCTGGGATGTCTTGTTTTCATCTTGGATTGTGTATCGCAGCGTCTAACATGGAGATGTGTGTAGGAGCTGCTGCTAGCGTCTGGGTCGTGGGATCACACTGTGCGCGTGTGGAATGTGTATCAGAACAAGCCGTTCATTGAGCCATTGGCCCACTCGAGCGATGTCTTGGCGGTGGCTTTCCGGCCAGACGGCAAGCAAGTGTGCAGTGCCACGTTGAACGGCCATTTGAACCTGTGGACGGTTGCAGACGGCGAGCTCGTGGGGGAAATCGACGGCCAGAAGGACGTGGCCGGCGGCCGCCACTCGTCGGTGCGAACGACTTTATCATATTCCTTAGCATACATACATACATACCCCCCCCTCCCATTCACAGACCCAACCAACCCCGTCGTAGGACGCCATGTCTGCCGCCAACAACACCAGGTCCAAACACTTTACGTCCGTGTGCTACTCGGCCGAAGGCACTTGCATCTTGGCGGGCGGTCAGTCCAAGTACATTTGCATCTACCAAGTGTCGGCGAAGACGCCCATGCTACTCAAAAAGTTCCAGCTGAGCCAAAACCGGAGCTTGGAAGGCGTGCTCGATCGATTGCACTCGGGCGAGATGACAGAAGCAGGCGCCAAGTCGCAGCTCAACCTCGACCTCGACCCGCTCAGCGCGTCCACCGCTGTGTACGTGTGTCAGATTTTGACATCACAACGCTAAACTTTCGTGTGAATGTATGTATCATCATCATAGTGACAACCAATTGGTCGGCGCCAAGCGCGCCGTGGACCCAGGCGCCCGCCGCCAGGGCATGGAGGTGCTGTCCAAGGCCGTGCTGTTCTCCCCCACCGGTCGGTCATGGGCTGCCGCCACCACCGAGGGGCTGTTGATCTATAGCTTGGATGAAACGCTCGTGTTCGATCCGTTCGAGTTGGATGAAGACATCACCCCCGACACGATCAAGCGCACGCTAGCCCGGCAAGAGTTTACCAAGGTATAATATTGTGCTTTCGAGTGAAATTTCGTGTTGTGGCGTGGTTTCTCGTTGGAATTTAAATCGATTTGATTGGCTACTTCAGATGAGCTCAAAATTATTAACCAATCAAAACCTTCTCAATGAAATTCAACCAATCAGATCGATTGTGGATCGGTTTGGTTGGCGCGATTCGATTGCACCCCCTCCCCAAATTTGTATCAAATCGACAATACTACAAACAAACAACATAATATTGTGCTTTCGAGTGAAATTTCGTGGTTTCTCGTTCGAATTTAAATCGATTTGATTGGATACTTCAGGTGAGCTCCAAACATTTAACCAATCAAAACCCATTTCTCAATGAAATTCAACCAATCAGATCGATTGTGGATCAGTTTGGTTGGCGCGATTCGATTGCCCCACATTTGTATCAAATCGACAATATACCTCGTTTCTGAAATGTACGGGCGGTTTGGGTAGGGCCTGCTCATGGCCCTGCACTTGAACGAAGAGCTCTTGCTAAGACTGTGCCTCGAAAGCGTACCCGTGGACAGCATCCCCCTCGTCGCCCAGGCGTTGACAGACACGTACTTGAAGCGGCTGATGGCGCTGTTGGCCAAAGGATTGAGCATCAGCCCTCACTTGGAGTACTACCTTACGTGGACTTTGGCGATTCTGAATGCGCACGGCCCAATCATTGACGCACACTCGGTCGAGTTTTTGAGTACGCTGCGGGCGCTGCAGAAGAGCCTCGTGATCCACTTCAACGACCTCTCCCGTGTGTGCAATGACAACCAGTACACCCTCGACTATTTGCGAAACCTGAGCCAGTTCAAACTCAAGCACGAAGGTCGACGCGACGACGACGACAACCAATAACCATAGACAACGTGTAATAATCCTACTAAATAGTTATTTCTGCTCTCTCTGACGTCGTCTACACGAGGTCGAGTGTGTGGAAGTACAAGCTCGACGCATAGCAGCTTTCAAGCGGCCACAGATGTACTGTACTAGGTAGTACTCGGAGTAGTACGGTAGCAAACAATCTGTAGGGGATTCAAAGCGTTCACGGCTACTGTGTACATCAATGTACTTAGTTGGTTGCGTAAGACTCCCATGCAAGCACGGCCCATCTTGCGCTCTCCTAGTCGTAGTTGCACCGCTTGAGTGGCGCACATGAGGATCGCCGTTCGTCGATGGGGTGTCGACACAATACTGTTGCACACGTCAGGGCTTCCGGATACTCCCACGGCGGCCAGGGAAATGTCCGGATACCAACACACCACTGCGAAACCGAGCTACGACACGTAAGTCCGTGGTCATGGATCCATTCCAGTCCCGCCTGCAGCAGCGCGCGTTGCGCAACCCGTACAAACCCCACGCCGACAACACATCCGTTCGGGTGAAGATGGGGCTGGGCGTGCTCTTCTTTGTAGGTATCGTCATGTTCTTCAACTCGGGGCCAGCGTCTGGCACGGTGGTGGCGCCCAAGTTGCGCCAGGACGGCGGCGGCCGCTATGCCGCCTTGGCCGTCCTGCCTCCCACGCCCATGTCTGTGATGACGTTTAACGTTCGTTTCGCCAGTGCGAACGACGGCTGGAACAGTTGGGACCACCGCAAGGAGCACCTCATCGACCTCATCAACCGGTACAAGCCGAGCGTGATGGGCACGCAAGAAGGGTTGAAGGACCAATTGGCGGAAATCCACGCCAACCTGCACGGCAACTACGAGCGGTTCGGCGTTGAACGCGAAGCGAACGGCGAGTTTGAGCAGATTTTCTACGACACGGACGTCGTGACCAAGTTGGACGGGGGCAACTACTGGCTCAGCGACAACCCAGAGGTGCCTGGGGTCACCGCGTGGGACGCGCCGTGCGTGCGCATGGTCACGTGGTGCAAGTTCGAGCTCAAGGCGACCAGGCAGCAGTTTGTGTTCATCAACACCCAGTTCGATCATCGCAGCGAACTGTCTCGCGTGAACAGCGCCAAGCTGATCTGGCGCCGCATCCAGGACACGTGGCAGCCTGACATGCCCGTGTTTGTTGTCGGGGACTTCAACACGTATCGCCACACGTCCGTGTACTCGTACTTGACGACCGACGCGGCCGGCCCCCGCTTTGCTGAAGCGTGGAAGACCGCCGACAAGACCATCGGCGACGTCTCGTACACGTACCATGGCTGGGCCGGCGTCGACAACGACGGAGAAAAGGCGGCCGATGTCGTGCGCGCCGCCAACCACATCGACTGGATCTTGTACCGACCGACCACGATGAAGGTCCTGTCGACGCAAGTGGTCACGGAGTCGCGCAACGGACGATACCCGTCCGATCATTATCCGATCCACGCCAACATTCTCTTTCCAAGCACCAAGGACGTGCCTGTGTGATAGACACTGTAGTACTACGAATAGACCCGCGATCAACATACTGCAGAAACCCAATGTCATTTGTCGATTGTGAAGTACATATATCGATGTGGACAAATGAGTGGGGATATGGGCTTTATAAACAACACGAGTGCTGGGTCAGACGAATCGTGGTATCCGAGTAATAACGTTCGATCAAACTATGGGCCAACAAATCCGCCACGTCGACGTAGTAGCGTCGCAACACAGTAGAAATGACCCCTCCTTGGAGTTTGTTCATTAGGTACTGTACTTGTATGCCATGTACAGCAAGCTTACTCGAAACCACTTTACATCACTTGAATGGTTGCAATCTTCATGTTCTAAGCGTTGTATGTTGAGCTGAGAGTAAAATTGATGTCAATGTTGTAAGTCCTGTGTGTAGTCTTATCAAAAGGCTCCATAGCACGCGAGGGGCTGGCCTGGGCCGTGGGACAGTACGACGGCGTCCAACGCCACCGTTTCACTCCGGCGCGTAAAGTCCCCGAGGATCGATACCCCGCTGAGTTTCGATAGCACCTCCATGAGCACGCATTGCGACGGCGGCGTCCACGGCAGCAGCGTGTTCTTTGGATCGGTGACCCACCCCGCTGTCTCGGAGAGGGGGATGCTGAACGTTTGCGCGGGGCCGGTAAACGCAGGCGACAGCGTCTGAGGCCACGCCAACCGCACGCCGGCGTTGAGGTTACACGTGGCACACTCGAGGATCACCAGGGGCGTCGTCGCGGGAGTGTTGAGGTTCGACGAAGACGAGAAATCACCTTCGGACGCCGACAGCGTAAACGTCAAAGTGCCGCCGTACGTGGCCCACTGATTGCCGAGGAATTTGGAGGGAGCGGTGAAGTACCACAGCTGCGCATCATCGGTGGACGTGGGTTGGGTTTGAATCACCGCCTCTGTGGGTTTAACGACCAGTTTTCTTAGTTGACGGGTTGTAAATATGTAAACGGAATAGGACAAACCTGTGCCGTAGATGTAGTAGCTCATGATGCCACAACTCGTGGGGTCGTACACTGGCTACGTGGGTTGCTTTGGTTATGCTTGTTGATACCGTACAGGCATCGCATACGAGTAGTAATGGCTTGGTTTACCTGAAAGTTGTTGTTGTTGCGAATGCCCCATCCTTCAGCATCGACGTAGAACTGACTCGACATCACGGCAGGGCCTTGTGAGATAGTTATTGTCCCTGGGGCCGACGTTGTCACACCATCGTTGACAGTGTACGTGAACTCGGCAAACTACAGATCAAATGATAGGACAACGGCTCTTGGCGACTTCTGAAAAGGGAGTACAGCGGGCTCCGCACCTTGGAATCGAGGGGCGAGTTGGAAAACGGTCTCGAAAACACAACCCGGTAGTTGGAGCCTGTCACGAGGGTCGGGACCGTTGTGATGGCCGTGGGGGTCTTCTTTGGGTCGTAGCCGTAATCACTGTACACTTGAGACAACTGGTATATAAAGCCTGCCGACGGCAACGTCGCAATGGACACAGTGAGCTAATAAGAATCGTACACCCGTCGTTCAAATTCAATTTGAACGCTGTAATTGCCGCTTGGACGTACCGCACGACCAGCCATGCTGTACCCTTTCAACGTAATGACCACGTCTTGGCCAGGATCAACATGATACACGAGATTGCGTGCCACGAGGGTGCTGGAGCTACAATTGAACATCAGTACTAGTGATTGGGGGTTTAAGGGATAAAGAGCCGCGTGTACCCTGACGCGAACGCTGCGCAAAGACCCAAACAGAAGAGCGATGCGATGCCACTTGTACCGCATCGAACGCTCATGTTTAAGGGGAAATGCAGCCTGCCACCCAAGTCGTTACTTTTATCGGTTACTCCGAATGGTATTTTGGGCAGCCATGCCAAATCGTCTTGACCATCCGCAAAAGGACTGACTTTCCATGTCTATCTACATAGTACGTTGGGGCGCTTAGCTGTATGATCACACGGGGCACCAGCAAAGTCCAACAAAAGGTAATGATACAGTACATACCAGTACGAGGGTATAAAATCCATGGGTCATTTGTCCCATGTCGGCGTCGCATCCAAGGGAACATATTGGTTGTCCAATTTACATGTTAACAGTGTAATCTTGCGTTACTTTTAGGAGTGTCAACAATGGCTAACGACCACCCTCTGCAGATCTCATAATTAATGTTAACACACTTTCTCGCTACCAAGCGAAACCGACGCGTAACTGTCAAAGTCCAACTGGACTATTTTGACGACTGCTGATTTGCCAGTCTCGTGCACCCACATGACTTCAAGTTGGACGTCCCACTGTGTCCCTGGCTGCCGCTTCCGTCACTTCTATTTCGCCAAACATCATGGTCCTGGCACGGCCGCCTGAGGTGACGCCTGAGAAAGAACCTCGCGGACTTCCGCACATCTACCCGTCTGGCCTAGTGTAAGCGAACGTCACTCGCTCCAAGGCTCAACCATGGACACTCGTACATTGACAGGTCGGTTGTCGAATTTGCAGTCGTGTGTGCAGCCACTAAATGCATTTATGCGGCTCCGTTGGCCCTACTCGTCGCCATGGCCTGGATACAACATGTAAACATATCCTTCCAAGTCGAACTTTGCACTTAAACGCGGTGTGGCTAGCATGGCTTTTGGTACGTCAATGCTGCCGTGGTCGTGGCCTACCTACCGACCTACTTCAATGGGGCCAGCGATAAGGTCACTCCATCGCAAGGCGGGGTGCAATGGGACGCCCTGCGAACCCACAGCGTGTGGCACATCATGCTGCGTCACTTCCGGTACACCACCAAACTCGCGACCTCAACCTTCACATACCGGCATGTTCAATCTCGTGCTAGCCTGGACTGCATACGACATTGCCCATTGAACCCAGCCGAACGCGTATGTACATACATTCGTCGTCGTCGTCCGTGATTCTACCACTACATTGCCCCCTTGTGTAACACTATGTTGCCTGCAGTGCATCTTTGGGTTCCACTCGACTTCGGCAAAGTGTCCCCCGAGCGTTGTGCTGTGTGGTGGCATGTGGGAACGGCTATTCCCCCATCACCCTGCACTGGTATTGCTTCCGACTCCGTATTTCTATGTTCCTATCCTCCGAGAAGTGTTGCTATGGTATGGACTAGCCAATTCCACATATACTGTACAGGAACCTCACAACTTGCTCAGGCTCGGATGTGTGGAAGCCACTGAAACTGTAGCCCATGATGCATTGAACAACGGGCTCAGTTTACTCTATTATCCCTTCAATGTTCGCATCGAAAACGAAGTGACAGTGGGTGGCGCCCCCAACGCAATGTCATTGGCGTTTGATTCAGAGGTAGGTAGACATTCCGTCGATATGCTCTCAGTGATGATCTGACTGTAGTCGCAGCCATCGCTAGCCTTGGTCAAGCTAGCAATGATGCACGGTGTATCTCTGATTCCAGTGCTAGCGCTTTGTACTCCAGCAAACTCGGAACGGTATGACGTTCACGTCTGCGTAGTCGATACTCACCATGATTAGGCGATTGCGATGGATGCCACTGCTCCCAGCATGGCTTGAGCATGCAGTGGCGTGGATGAGCAGTGTGGTGCTATCCCTTGGAGCAATCGGAACCTGCAAATCCAAGGCTACAGTGGTGTTTGGTTCCCCCCTCCATGTACGTATAGCACCAGTTGGCACTCCTGGGTCAAACCATGTTGCTTTAGGTTGAACGCAACGCTCGGCCATCCCATGAAGAGGTTCAGGAGGTATATGCCACGTACAGCCGGCACCTCCGCGACCTGTTTGCTTTGCCATAATTTTGATCCAGGAACGTTCGTAGACTTCCGTGTTCCGTTTTGGACCCACTTGTTCCCTCTGTAAATCGATATTTTAAGTGTGGTATTTATAGGATATTAGAGGTGCTTAAAGGCGCGAAGGAAGTACTGTAAACTTTTATACTTTGCAAGCACAGGAATTAATCATTTTACAGAGGAGTCCACATCAATAAGGATGTCTAAACCTATATACGTAACACGGTATTTAATTAATTATTTGTATGGGTCATTTCAGCACGATTAAAAATATGCCTCCAGCAATCCTTTACTTTGATTGGCTTAGCCGAGATGGATTTTTGCGTTTGATTGGCTTAGCCGATATCGAATCACGGGACAGAGGTGATGACTCGCACAAATACAGTAACTTGGTATCGAACATGCGCGAAGTCAAGAAGTCGGGAAGTGCGGTGTCCAAGCCCGCTGCGGCGGCGGCCTCTAAGGACGATGGCGTGGTACGCCTGCACCACCCAGATCCATCCTTCTGCGACACTCTCCCGTCGTTCCTATTGTACGTGTGATCCATTCTCGTTTCCACATTGAGTGGACATTCATCATGTTGGCCTTGTAGCAATGCGTTGGAGCTTGCCATCAGTATCATCGCTATTCATTACTTGGTGTGGCCTGTGTTCACTGGCGTCTTCTTGTACTACATCCACACGGTACCCTCCTCCTCCCATGTTGGCCACCTCCATACACCTTGTTTGGACAGCTCGGGTACACGTACGTGAGCGTGGCGTTGATTTTGGCGTACGTGCCGACGTTTCTGAACAATGCGCACATGAAGCTGACGCCAAAGGAAGGCGGCATGCAATGGGATTGGTTGCGACAACATAGCGCTTGGAAGTTCATGTGTAGCTACACCAAGTACGTTCGATCAATCCTCCAACCCTTTCTTGTCGACCACTGTAATGAATCTCATGTATATATATATATATATATATATATATATCTTCCGTATATATTGTGTTGTGCCCTCCACATGAATTTCCTCCGGCGATGGGTTCGATGAACCGTCCAACCATTGCCGGACCTTCAACATATGCTATAAAACTAAGTTTAAGAGGTCCAAACGCATTCTTCCAGCCAATCATAATGCAACCTTCATTCTTTTTCACCCAATCATACTGCTTTGTTCGATTTCACCAATCCCCCCAAACAATTGGCACACCATTGGGTCAAACATCACAATAATATGAATAATATTGTGCATTTCACCCAAATTTGGACTTGTGAGTGATTTCGCCAAACAGCATTCGAATCCATTTGATCTAATTGAACAACCTTGTACAAACTATACTATACAAATATTGGTATATATATATATGGTTTTGCCCATTGCGTTGTTTGGATTGGCAGAAATTCGACAAGACGTGATTTGATTGGCCTAGGCGGTTCTTTAATCCATTCGCTTACGTCATTCGATTCTGCTGAGGGCTCCAGTTTCGAATCGATTTGACAATACCTCCTTATGCTGGGATATTGTGTACGTTAGACTCGAGATTGTTCGCGAAGCAGAGCTCGACCCGACGAAACAAGTACGTCCGCCTTGTCATATAATAATTTGAAATATGAACGCTTTATATTTGAAATCTTTTATTATATACTATGAACATCTTCTAATATATTTAAATATACTCCCAAGTTTTTGACACGTGTTTGTGTACTTGTAGTATGTGTTTGCATACCACCCGCATGGTATTTTGATCTTGTCGCGCATTTCGACGTACGCTGGCAACTTTGAGGCGCTGTTTCCTGGCATTGTGGCCAGGGCGTTGGGGGCCACCCCCATGTTTTACATTCCCATGGCCCGCGAAATCTGCCTCTGGTTCGTACAACCGACAACTTCAACATGCATGACGGCAATCGATGGCTTAGGTTGGCGGCTGTGGATGCATCGCGGAAAAATGCCGAGCGCATACTGAAGGACAAGATGAGCGTCATCGTCTACCCCGGCGGATCCAAGGAGATATTTCTCACCGACCCAAAGTCCAAACAAGTTCGATTCTGACGGCGTTGCTGCCGTCGTTTCTGACGAACGTGTATATCATCGTAGACCACCCTCGTGCTCAATAAACGCTTGGGGTTTATCAGGCTGGCCGTTCGATATGGCGCCGACATCGTGCCGACCTTTGTATTTGGTGAAAAGTGGATGTACAAGTAAGTACGTTGTTTCAAGTTGAAATCACGGGATATATATATATATATATATATATATATCGTCAAGACGTAGTTGCATAGTAGACATTTTTGTGCGTTACAAAAGCCAAAATGTGGAGTTTTGTGCTATCTTATCCCCCAATCCAGGGATATATCGATTATTGTTTGCATTGAATTTTGAATGTACATATGTCAAAAACGACCTGGGACACACTACTAGAAGTCATACACTAATTCGATGTTGTGAATGTTTGAAGAGATAATTTTTGATTGGCCACTTGATTCGTGTTGTGGGTTTTGATTGGTCGACCAATTTTATGCTATTCATCTAAAATCCCAACACCATCGTATATATATATATATATATATATATATATATATTATATATATCAATATGCTGAGGATGGAGTGTATATGACATGAACGTGTAACGTTAGCATCTGGAATCCACCGAAATCCGTGCGCCATTTCTTTCTGTCGACGCTCAAGGTGCCGCTGCTGCTGTTCTGGGGGCGGGGCTTCACATGGCTGCCCAAGCGTCTCACGGGCAAGCGCAAGTTTGGCGTCGTGCATGGCAAACCCATTCCAGTACATTTTCGATGCATATATATGTATCATCTATCCAAACCTATGAACGATGGTGGGGATGATAATATTGGTGCTTGCCTATAGGTCGTTCAAAACGAAAACCCTACCGAAGAAGAACTCGTCAAGATCCACACGCTGTACGTGGAAGAGTTGAACGACTTGTTCCTCCGATACAAGGCGCAATTCGGCTACGACGACGATGAAACCCTGGTCATCCAGTAGTAAACTAGTCCAGTGACAGATGTCTCGGATCTCCCTTTCGAGGCAAGGAAACTGTTTTGCATGCAATACAATGTTCACGTACATGGCCAGTGTATGGTGCACTTAAAAGCGACCTCGTCGTAGAATGCAGCTTACTCGTGTCTCACTCAGGACAGGGATTTCATTTCTCAAAAGTGCTGCATGAAAGGTTGAGCGTTTATCTGCTTATTTACTGTTCATCGGCTTGAATGAGCAGCCTTCAGCTTAGCGTTCATATACTTCGATTTCCACGACAAATATAATACATTTAAATATTGTCCTTCTCACGCAATTTGGACTGTTCCGTCCAAAAGTAACACCGTTTTGAATAAACTTGGCAATATATTACTGTTAGGAGTAATCACTACATACTTACTGTATGTAGTACAGTGAGTCCAATGGGCAACGGATGGGCTTTAGAAAACGCATTGATTGGCTGAACCCTTCAGAAATCTTGTAAAGGGGGGGTTAGAATGGATTTTGATTGGCTAACGTAAATACAACTTTTTTTGTTTTTTCGGAGAATGGCCATAATTCTTGATTGAGGCACCCTTTTCGAATCCTGAATTGTGATAATTTTTAGGGCAATCCGACGGATTTTAAGGGACACACTTGCTACTTCGAATTTGCCAATTCATCGGAAATGATTGGTTGAATAACTTCGAACTTCGATGGAAATCTCAATTTTTTGGTGCTTCTTTTTTTTTTATAGTAGTTTATATTCATATGTTTAGAGGTTTATATTATGGATCATATATAACACCAAGAGAATATTTATGGTGTTCTGGTGTTTTAATTTTTATAGCTATGATGGCGACAGCATTTATGGGTTATGTTTTACCTTGGGGACAAATGAGTTTTTGGGGAGCTACTGTTATTACTAATTTATTTTCAGCTATTCCTTATATAGGTAAAGATATTGTTGAATGGTTATGGGGTGGATTTTCAGTAGATAATCCTACTTTAAATAGATTTTTTAGTTTACATTTTACATTACTATACTTTTGTTATAATTATATAAAAAATTATTTAATAATAATTTATATATTTTCCATTAGCCAATCACGGAATGTCTTTCACAAATTCAAATCTTATTGGCCATAATAATATTCTGTGCTTCCATAAAACTTCTAACTGTAAAATCCGTCGCCTCGTATTTCGCACAATTGAGCTCTATAAGTGGTGTGCCAATTGCTGACGTATTATTTTTATGTTCGCGATCTTTTATATTCATATGTTTAGAGGTTTATTCTGTGATTGGCGCGTTTCCAGTGATTGGCTTAGTTTTATACTCCATCATTGATTGGCACTTTACATTACTTTCAACTTCATTTGCCAAGTCTATTCGATTCTACTGGCGATAACTGACTTGACAGTATGACTATCGTTACGACGTACTACTTGGAAAGAATACTCCGGGGAGTGAACCATAAATAGTACTATTAAAATACAAAAAGACATTTATTTCACCATGTATTTCCATCAAAAGACGGTATACTACTGTGTGGTTCCTGTATTAAATAGTGTTTACACTATACAGCAAGCATGATATCGTGGGCGACGTTGTTTACGTCAAGTCGACAACTTGCGCGTCAGAGTGAAAGCCTCGTCGGGGAAGGACAGAGGTGATAGGTTGGGCGTCCGAGTCGTCCGAGTCGAATGTCAGATCGATCGCGGCAGTGCTTCTACTCAAGCGCCGCTTCTTCCCCGACGGCGCCACGACTTGCACGATCTGCAGGTCGTCATCGTCCGAGTCCTCTAGCTCAAATACCGCAGGACGGGGCATCGTGGGCGCGATCACCTCGCACTTTAAACTGGGCGACGGCGCGCGTCGTTTCAACGGTGGTAGTTCCGTGTCATTGTCTGAGGCGCCATCGTCGGGGGTATGGCCTACAACTACTATTCATCAGCATGAATATGTATCTCGTTTTCGTGACTATTCTTGTCGATATATTCGAAATTGGAGCCAAATCGGCTGCAGACAATCAAAGATCGACCAATCAAGTGGCCAATTAAGTGGCCAATCCAATGAAACCCAATTCAACACACCGAATTAGTGTGTGACTGAAATCAGTACGAGCTTTTCATAAAAAATAGGGCAAGAGAAGATTTGGCCAAACAGCACACAATAATCACCAAATATAAGTAACGAAGAACGTACTCGCAGCTGAGGCACTAGCCAAATGGGCTGTAGTTGTAGCCGGCGACATCCCATGGTCACGAGGAGGGTTTTGGGCAACTCCCTGTGCTCGTGCCACGTCAGGCAGTTCACACTTGATGAGACCAAGTGCCAAAGGGTGTCGCTGGTGTTGAAGGACATCACTTTGTGTGGTGGTCGTATCCCCTACATCTGGACTTGGCACGCCTACAGGCGCAGAGGTATCCAAGATCAACTGATTCGTACGCGGGAAAGAAGCAGCAACTGCTGTAGCAGGTAGAAGTCTGTTTCGAGGGTCAAAGGGTGCGGAAGCAATCGGCAGTCTGTCTAGCAGATTGGTTGGCTCGGGGGGCAGTGTCGCCACTTCACACGGACTTTGTAGCTGGGACGACTGCGATGGCTTCCCTTCTTCGTCTGCAGACTGTACTTCGTGGGGTGCCAGTCGAAGCGACTCACTTGTATCAACTGGACTCGTTTGAGTGTCGGCAGAAAGGGAGGTATAGCCGATTGAAGCTGAAGGCGGCGTCACCCGTGGATCATGTGCATTGATTGGCGTGGGAGTTGCCAACTTCGTTTCAAGGTGAAGACCACGTGAGGGCGACGACTCTGCCGAGTTGTTCATTTCGTCATGTGTCTGGGCTTGAAAGGTTGATGCAAGATCACTTGGTGGAACCGTAGCGGCCGCTACTAGTCCTTCAGCAAGCGTTTGATCAGATGTTAGTTCATAATCTTGTGCTACAAGCGGTGTAGCCGTGACCACATCAACTGGAGCTCGATTTTCGTCAGGAAGGGGGCTGCTGACAAGTGTAGCCGGGGTCATCATCTGCCTGTCTGTAGCGTCGACAGGCTCGACGTGGTGAGTGGCCACCGGCCCTTCTTCCGATTGAATTGGATGACGTGGCGACGATTTCAAATCTGCGTGGGCCTCAAGGGTCGAGCCATTTCGTGCCTCAGCTATGGGATCAGCAATTGTTGGAGCTTTTGCGGGAGTCGAGCTTTGGACAACCAGTGCTGTTGATGGCTTGTCAAAAGGATGTGGACAAAGTGGGGACGACTCAGTAGGTGTCTGCTCGTTTGGTGCTTGGGCTGCTCGAAGTCGAGGGTCTCTGGGTGTGACTACAGCAACTGGGGCTGCTGCAATAGTTTGAGCTTCTTCAGGAAGGGTGCTATGGACATTTGAAACAGAGTTCACACGTGGGTCGAGTGGCTTTGCTGGCTCGGTTAGCCGGGCAGTTGTCAATGATCCTTCAAACTGACTAGGACGAAGTAGTGGCGACGAATTTGATGGCTTCAGTTCTTGCTGTGTTTGGGTCTCATGAGTTGAGTAGCTGGATTTAGCCACAGCAGAAGGCGAGCTTGAACCTAGCTTTCCCACGGGAGGGACGACTGTAGCCTTCTTCACCCGAGGGTCAACCGGTGGTTTGGATAGCTCAGACAGGGTAGTTGCCCCCTTCGCTTCGAATGACGGCTTCAGGTCATCTTGTGCACGGGGGGCTAGAAGTCGCGGGTCGTTTGGTGTAGCCTTAGCTGTTCGATCTTGGCCTACAGGAGGGGTGCTATGGACAAGTATAGCCGGCTTTACCCGTGGGTCGATTGCTTTGGTTGGCTCGGCTGGTTGGGGACTTTCAACTTGTTGACTGAGAGGCGATGAATCTGACGGCTTTGGTTCATGTTGTTCCTCGGCTAAAAGGCGGGGGTCCCTTGATGTAGCCGTTGTAGCCACAGCCTGCGGACCTGCAGCAACCGTTCGAGATTCCAGAATAGTGGAGCTATCGACAACTGCAACCGCCTTCGCACGTGGGTCTCTTGGCTGGGTTGCTTCGACAGTTTCCACCTGCGATACACTTGGACGAAGTGGGGACGACTGTGCTGGCGTGAGTTCACGTTGTGCTTGGGCTACAAGTCGAGGGTCCCTTGGTGTAGTCGTAGCAACTGGAGGTGCAGTAATACTATGGCCTTGTACAGGAAGGGAGCTAAGAGCAGTATTTGCCGCGGCCTTCACCCGCGGGTCCATTGGCTTGGTTGGTCCGACCTGGGTAGCCACAGCAGCTGGCGCTGCAGCAAGAGAGCGATCTTGCACATGAAGGGTGCTGTGGACAGCTGTAGCCGCCTTTACCCGCGGGTCACGAGACGTCGTTGGATCGACCTGGGGAGTTGCTTCCTGTGATTCAAACTGTTAATAGGGACGACTGTGTTGACTTCCGTTCAAGTTGTACCTGGGCTACACGTCGAGAGTCTCTTGGTGTAGCCGTAGCTATAGCAGCTTCACCAATCGTTCCATCATCCATGGGAGTGGAGTTGTGGACAACTGTAGCCGCTTTTACCCGCGGATCACGGGGAATAGCTGGCTCGACCTGGGGAGTTGCCACCTGTGATTCAAATTGCTTATTGGGGACGACTGTGTTGACTTCAGTTTGAGTTGTACCTGGGCTACAAGTCGAGGATCTCGTGGCGCAGCCTGGGCTACAAGCCGAGGATCTCTTGGTGGAGCCGTGGCCGTAGCCACAGCAGCTGCAACATGGGTTCGATCATGGACGGGAGTGGAGGTATGGGCAAATGCCTTTACCCGCGGATCACGAGGTACAGCTGGCTCGACCTGGGGAGTGACCACCAGCGATTCAAGTGGACTTAGCGGGGCCGAACCTGAAGGCTTCAGTTCGAGTTGCACCTGGGCTAGACGTCGAGGGTCTCTGGGTGCAGCCGTAGTCACACCGACAGGAGCGGCCGCAGGCGTTCGAGCGGCAGTGGTGCTATGTACGATTGGAGCTGCTTTTATCCGCGGGTCGCGAGGCTTGAGTGATTCAACCTGTGGAGTAGTCTGAATCGCACAAAGTGGGGGCGACATCGCTTTAGGTGTGCGTTTGTTCCGTGGAAGAGACGTTTCTCTAGAGCTACTTCGCGGGTTGATGGAGCTGTTGAGTGGGCGTGCCAGTCGTAGCCGGAGGTCAGGTAGCTTGGCTGTGCCAGGGACTACTGGCTGTGACCGAGGATCGGCTGGCTTAATTCGCGGGTCAGCTGGTTTGGTCGTTTCACGAGGTTGGGGGGAGACCGATGGGGTGTGAAACCGCGTGGACGAGCGAGGTCGGGTTTCTAGCCCCGTCCAACGTCCATCGTCATGCGTAGGCACGGACGTGAAGGCAGGGGAGCTACGCCGAGGGTCGGGGGCGGTATGTCGCGGAGTGGGCAGCAGTCCCGGTTCTTTTGTTTCATCAATGGCGGCTGGCAAGCCAACAAAGTACGCTGCCGACAAGGACGGGGCTGGTGGTGGTGCACAGTCCAGCCGTGAAGGAGGAGGTCCTGCTACATAGGGGTCTGGTTGCGGTGGAGCACTCCAAAACGACTCCAAAAACTCCCTCGCTGAATCATTGGCAGCTTGCGACGTTGTTGTTTCTGTGGTCATGTCGTCGTCCTTGCGAGCCATGTACGCTCCCCCGCTTTCGTGCATGTAAACATGTCGAACAGTTCTCGGCGCTTCGTCCGTCATATTGCGGGCGGGGTCTTTTGGCCGAGGGGTGGGCAGGGCCGTGTCCATGGCAGGTCGGGTCGTCTTTTGCCTCTTCGCCGACGGCGTGTCCAAGAAGTAGGTTGGGGCATCGTCGTCGTCCGAGGCGGTGGCCACATGCAGGCGCACGGTCCGATGGGGCGGCTGGCGGCTGGCGGCGGACGAGTAGTCGCTGGACTGTCTACTTTCGTCACGGTAGCTTCCCTTGGGCGTTGACGGAGGGGTTCGCGCCGAGCTGGGCTGGCTGAACTCAACGACACGCCCCCGGGAGCTGCTCGCTTCTCGTCGCGTGTGGTCGGACCAGTCGGGTGGTCTGTTCATGGAGCGCCGCGGGGACGTGCGGTGGCCGTCATGGTTGTCGTGCCATGGTGGCGGGGTGGTGGTAGTTTGGCTATTGGGTCCGTACTGGGCAAAAGATTTGGACGGTGGTTCGTCTCGGTGGTTGTTGTGTGGTGGCTGCTTGCCTCGGAAGCTTGGGTGGGTGTACGCCATCGACACGTGGTTGGCTTCGAGTATCTGTAAAATGTCGTCTTCTGTGTCGAAAATGCGGCCCAGTGTGCCCGATATCGTGATGATGACCTCTTGCATTTCTTTGATTGCAAACCACTTGACAGACGTGCCGCGGCGCAGCATGATGGGTTTGAGCGTCTGCAGCGGCAAGAACTCCATCGCAGACTGCGGCACCACCGTCTTGACTGTGAGTTCGTCCTCTCGGTTCGTGGGCAAGTCGTTGTTGAAGTCGGCCAGTTTCTGCATGATCAGGTTCACTGCTTTCCGAGAGGACGATTCCGACCCGTGCACTAGCAGACGCCGAAGGGTGGTTCCAAGAGGCAAGTCTTCCACGGGGGTGAGCTGGAAGCGCGCGCCCGAGACATATGCGATCTGCTTCAGCACTGCGCCGCCCTTCGCCATGAGCATCGTGGCAAACGTGCTTGGAACCAACACGTACGTGTTGCCTTTGTCACCCACGAGCGGCCCCACATTCGTCGTCGTGTTGCAGCCTGTGGTGGCTTGAATGTCGGCAATCACGTCCCGGATGACATTGTATACGTTTTTCGTGTAGCCGGCAATCACCAAAAGGCGGTCGTCCGGGTGCGGCGAGTCTCCAGCTGGTCGAATCGTCAAATGCACGTGCGCACTGTGCGCGAGACGGCGGATTTTGGACCCACCATTCGCTAGAAGCTTCCCCGTGTACGCGGACGGGATGATGATGTGCACATGGACACGAGGAGTTCGTTCATCAGGATTCATGCTGGCTCGTGTCCTTCCTGTCCACTGCAAGTCCGTTGGGAGTTCCGGATAATTCGTTTTCCGGTTCGTTGTCAATAGGTGTACAGTACATACATGGTTAATCTAACATGGTACTACCGCCTTAAGAGTACTGTGAACCAGTTGACAGGAGGTCTGGGTCGACGACACCCTTCGAGTTGTTTGGCACAAGTGTAGTCGTATACTACTAACGTTTGTACATTGCAAATTCCTACTTACGTAATCCACGTCTAAATAATGATGCAGCAACCCGCTGGACCACATGAAGATGGCAGCAGCGGCTGTGACGGTCTGTCCACGGTAGACGACGTAAATCGGACGTGGCGGCCCGCCTTGGCTTGTTTCTTCAAGAACGACACGAATTCCATTTGGTTGTTGGCCTTCGCGCACTCGGTCGCCGTCATGCCGTCGTGGACGAAAACGTAGCCGATGTCCGCACCATGGTCCAGCAGCGTGGCCGCCACGTCGATGTGGCCGTAGTACGCGGCCCACATCAATGGACTCCAATCGTCGCCCTTGCCACGCACGTCGATGCCCTCTTCCAAGCACACTCGCGCGTCGTCGACGTTGCCTGTCTTGCACGCATGCAGCAACACGTCGGAGCTGATCGTCGGCATCGTGTCTTTATGGCGCACTACAAGTGGCTTCTTCGAGGGCAATGACGACAAGAACGTGACAAATGCCATTTGGTTGTTGTCCCGCGCGCAGTCCATCGCATCCTTGCCGTCAAATACCACATCGACCCTTGCATCGTGTTCGATCAATGCCTTCGCAGCGTCGACGTGGCCATAGTAAGCACACCACATCAAGGGACTCCAGTCGTCTCCTTCGCCATCTACATTGGCACCTTCAACTTCGATGCAACGCCGCAGGTCGTTGACGTTTCCGTACTTGCACGCATGAATCAAAGCCGCTTGCATGGTGAATGGCAATCTTCTTGTGAGCGTACTGGCAACACGACGAAACCTATATCAATTGATGTTCAGCAAATATTCAATCATAGAGGAATAATATTAAAGACTCTTTTATTATATATGGTGTTTTGTATCGAATCAGTAATATTATTATAATCGATGGGCGGCATAAGGTAGGAACATCAAAATCGAGTGACCTTTCGTTCGCGATCTTTCACTAGACCAAGTTTTGGGGAACAAACATAACGGCAAAGCAGCAAGCATGGGCGAAGCACCAAGTTGGCAGCATATGTGGGGTGCACGCGTGAAGATGCCATGTGATATGGAGGACGATGTGCTGGAAGACGTGATCAAAAGCGTGACCCAGCGACTGGGCCAGTTCGACACTGAAGAATGGGAGAAGAAGGGGTTGCAGGTGTGCGATGATATTCGAGACCATCTTGACAAGCGATGGGACCCGCACTGGGTGGTGTGCATCGGCCGCAACTTTGGCTCGTATGTGACGCACGTGACGCGGCATTTTGTGTACTTCTACTACAACGAAAAAGCCATCCTCGTGTACAAAGCCGGGTAGTTCGGACGTTCAACTGTGTATGTACCGGTACAACAAGGAGTACCATATAACTGAGATAAATTGTCTTGTATATCTACGCATTACGACCCATCTCCATGGTTGGTGTCGTCGCTTTCGTTCTCCTCCGAGTCCCCACCACCTCGTTCCACAGAAGGCGTAATGAGGAGCTCAATGGCGCACCAGTCGCCGCGACCCACGGCATTCTGCGCTCGACATTGCACTTCGTACGTCGTTCCCAACTGGAGTCCATCCACCGTGCACCCTTGGGCGTCTTGCAGCCGCGAATGGGCCGTCGTTTGGCTGCGCCATCCCCGCACCTGTAGTACAGTACGTCCTGTCAACACACAACTGCTGCACCCATACAAAATCGCACCATGGATTTGTCTCCTGGAACGTGGGTGCGGTACCGAGCTTCGTACTTTTCAATCATTTTTCCATTGCTCAATGGCGTGGTCCACCTGAGACTGGCAACGCATTTGCGCACGACATGCGGCACACGCTTTTCCACCAGGCGCAGCACCCCCTTGTCAGATTCTTCCGCGACTTGGATGTGGCGAAAGACATGGTCGGTGGTGATGTGGCACTGAAACGAAGGTTTCCCAGGCGGGTCCGGAACTGTTCCACCAGGACAACATGACACCCTGGAGATAGACTGCACAAACTGGCTTACTTTTCGGCGGTTCTTTCAAGAGGCGCCGGCATTCGTCCACGGCCGCGGCGTCCGTCGCGTGTTCGCCGCACAAATCCAGCGCCGTTTGTCCCAAATAGCACGTCGTGGATCTACATGTGTTGTTGGTCGTTGGCATTCATGGTCATGAACAGCCAACCGCTCAGCGCCGTGCTTGAGCAGCCAACGAACCAGCTTGGGATGACCAAAGACTGCCGCGACGAACAGCGGGGTTGCATCCTGCAGCTGCCACCTATATAACTGGTGACAGGTCGTCTGCTTCAACGAAACCGCGCACGCACATGCGCATCTCACCACTCGACAGTCTCCCACTCGAGTTTGCCCCGGCTCATGTGGGTTGTGAGCTTTTGGGCAATTGATGCCACATTGCTCGTCACGTCGCGCACCATGACTGACTTATTGCATTACAGCAATGCCTCGTGGGATTCATTACATGCACATCGTACTGTCATAGTCTCCGTGGATGAGGGCCCTCAATAACGTCACTCGCCACGGCTCGTTGCCTTCATCGTCTGGATCCAGCGTCGACACGTTCGTGTACGGCATGGCTGTTTCAAGTTGGAGCGTATCCACATTTGATTGGTTCCTGAAACGTCGTCTTCTCTTTATGATTGGTCCATTCCAGCCAATCAAAGCACATACACAGCCAAAAACTCGAGCTACAATCAGCAACAGTACGACCTCGTCAATGCTCTACATTATGTCGCTTATGCGATGGGAGCACGGTCAACAAGGCCGAGTCCCCGTCGTCGTCATCATCATCGTGGCTATCAAACTCGGACTTCTTCTTAACCACCGAGGCAAAGTGGAACGTGTTGAGTTCGTTCAGGTTCCGGTGGAGGAGGGGAGCGAGGCCGAGAAACACGGACGTGGCGGCTAGGAACTGCAGGTACAGCGACCTCGACACGAGCTGCGTAGCGTGCGCTTTGATCATGAAAATGAGCGCGACTTCGCCCACCTGGCACAAACTCATGGCGGCCTTAATGGACTTTTGAAGCGGAATGCGGAAAAACCACATGATACTCGTCACGAACGTCACCTTGATCGTGCACACGCATAGCATCATGCCACACACCGTGCCGCAGTTCCGAAGCAGAAACGCCTAACCACCATTCACCCATCCATCAATGCATGAATCATAGGCAAGCGACGTACATGGAGAGAGTGTGATATGTGTTGGTTTTCATTCGAGTATATACATGGATGTGGACAGACACAATCAGTCAATCAGCTACGTACGTAGTCACATGTACTACTTCTTGGTGGGGGAGACGACACAAATACATTTTACCGTGATATTGTGATTTATTCGCTATAAACTTCCAAACTTCGCGTGGTTTGTCTAAACAATATATATAATCACACTGGACATGTGATTGGTTGAATATATTTGTGCTTTCTGTAAGAGCCAATCAAATCCACTCAAAAACGGATATTAGCCAATAGCGTCGATTCGATTCGACGGGGTCTACAGTAGAAAATCCACAATAATATGACCAACAACAAATAGTACAACATACCAAAACGCGATCATGTTTATATTTTTCACAAATCCAAAAATTATATATATATATTTGGAGGTATATACACAATATACTACCGGATTCAGGATCATGCCGATGCAGGCAAAGAACATGCTCCCAAACAAGTTGTCTAGCACTCGAATGGAGGACAGTGTCGCCTTGAGGTTGCTCGCGCCTTGGAACGCTAAGCCAGCAAAGAATGCCCCGCACTCCAACGACAGCCCCACCGACTACAGAAACATGAATGTGTCGTTAAACCGAGGGAGCTAATAATACGATATCAGGTATATCGTTTGCACTTACCTCGGTGAATAGTGACATGAACAGACACACGGACACAATCCCGAGCAACACGAGCGGCGAGTGGTGCAATTTCTCCATCGACACGAGAAACTCGAGCAACGACGGCACGACATACCTAGCCATGTTCTTATGTCCAACATAGAAAAAACGACATAAACAGGAGGTATGTATATGTACCGATGCATGCCCATGGTAAACAATACCACGACGGCATAGGCGACGAACGTTTTGCACACGGCAACAGACACCCACGTTCCCTTGGGCTTCGCGGCAAACCAGTCGGGCGTCGCCATCACAAAACTCATCAAGATGTCTTGGATCGCAATGATCGCCGACACGAGCTACGATATCCTTAGGCCATAAATTGACGCAACGCAGGCCATACATGGGCTATAAACCGATAGAATTTTGGTATTAGTGTATACCTTGCCAAACGAAGTGTGGCGAATGTTGTACGTGCGAATGTACTCGGAAAGGGGTGCCGTGGACGTAAAGCACACCCCCACGCCCACAATGATACCTTCTGACAGGGAGATTGTCTACAGAATATAAATATATAAATATATATTTATATATCAAGCGAAGTGTTGCATACCCATCCCAGCATGACAGCCAAGAACGACACGCATACAATCGTGCATGCTACGTAGACCATGCCACTGACCAAGTACAGTTTGAACACTTCGTCCGTTGATCGATGGACAGAATACTCGGCACCGTGCGCTATATTTTAACAGTAAAAACTAATCATTGTCCATTTTCAATTAATTCAAGCGGTAAAACAACGTACCGAAAAGCAAAAAGATCGTTCCAAATAGGGAAATCGTTTCGACTTCTTTAAAATGGTGCACGAGGCCGAGGCCGGACGGACCCACGACGGCACCCCCGACCAAGTAGCCCACCGTGGGGGGCAAGTTGATGGAGGTCGAGAGGATGCCCCCCACGGCAGACACGCCAAACAAGAGCGCAATCTGCCCCAATAGCCCAAAATCGTAATGCAATACCTATGAAAGCACACCGATTCGCACAATACTATTAAATATATATATATATATATATATATGTGAAATGGTACCGCCGGGTCGGCTTGGTTTTTGACTTTTTCAAACTGTTGTCGCTGCGCATCGGACAAATTCACCATGTTTGACGTGTTCTTGAGCCGTCCGGACTCGTAGTCGACGGCGTCGGCGCCTCGCGCTTCCAGTTCGTGCGCGTTCTCGTCGGCCGCTTGTTTCTGAAGCACCTCCTCCAACTGTTTCTCCTTGACCTCTGTGTCCTTTTCGACGGAATCCAATTGGTTCAACGTCAAGTTCAAGTTCGCCGCCAGTTTGTGCAAGTTCAGCCGCACTTCCATGAGGTTGCTCTTCAGGCGCGAGTTTAACACAGACCCAGGCTTCTTCCCGCTGGACAGCAGCGAGTCCATGTTGTTCAGACCCGCGACCACCGACGCTTCCAGTTCCTCCATCAAGTGGAGTTGTTCCTCCAATTGGTCGAGGCCGGCGTGGGTTGGGCTTACCGTCGTCGTGGAAGCGGCCAAGTTGTCCAACGCCAGAGGACCCAATAATGTTTCGGCAGGTGTAGCTATCGTTTTTGTGGTGACGAGCGGAGGAGTAGTGGTGGGCGACGAGGTCGTCCTTGTCGTTGCTGGCACCTGTGTGGTGGTTGTGGTGGCGATCTTAGTCGTATGGGGTTTTCGAGGTGGTGAAGATGAGATAGGTGACGATGTTGCCGTAGCCTCACCATGCGTATTGCATGCGCACAGCAACACGACAAGGAGAAAGAGCCATCGGCGCTGTCGCGGCATCGGCAACCCTGGGGTCGCGCCTAGCATTTGCATTTTTTTGTTTTTGGTTGTTGCTTATGATCAGATGATACGGATAATAACTATTATCCGGACGTTGGATGGATTGGTGCTTGGCGTGAAGATAAGAAGAATGGCGCGCAAGCAGAAAGGTGCTGCGATCAAGCGCAAGGCCGTGGCGGAAGTGGAGGTGGCTCCCGTGGAAGAGGTAGTTGAAGCCACGGCTGAAGAGGCACATACAGAAAGCGACGAAGAAGGCCCTGCAGGCAGTGGCGCCGAGAATGACGTTGTAGGAGAAGGCGACGACGACCTTGGCGAGGATGACCACAATGAGGATGCTCCCGGAAGCGACGATGGAGAAAACGGCGAAGACAACGATGATAATGTGCCTGACCTCCGTGAGTCCAAGAAAGACAAGAAGAATCAGGATGGCGAGAAGAAAGGCGTGCTGTACATGAGCCGCGTTCCGCCCTTCATGAAACCCGACCAAGTTCGTCGCCTGCTCAGCGAATACGGTGCGATCGGGCGCATCTACTTGGTTGAAGAAGACAAGACGGCGCGGAAACGGCGGCTCAAGAGCGGCGGGAACCGCCAAGTTAACTTTACCGAAGGCTGGATCGAATTCAAGTTCAAAAAGGACGCCAAGCGTGTGGCCAAGGCACTCAACACTACCCCCATCGGCGGCAAGAAGCGCAGCAAGTACCACGATGACATGTGGAACCTCAAGTACCTCAAGGGGTTCCAGTGGACCCACTTGACCGAGAAAGTCGCGTACGAGAACCGCGTGCGGGACCAAAAGCTGCGGTTGGAAGTTGCGCAAGCCGCCAAGGAGAACGCGGCGTTCTTGGATCGCGTAGACCAAGCCAAGAAGCTCGAGAAGATGGTCGAGCGCAAGCACGCGTTGCATCCAGAGACCGCCAGTGTCCCCGAGCACATTCGCCGAACCTTCCGACAGAACGAAACCGTCGACAAAGCCGCGCACGGGTCGCTCGACGGCACGAATGACGTCCTCGGCAAAGTGTTCAAGAAGCGAAAAACGCAATAACAGCTATAACTGTTATAACTCATCCCAAATGCAATTACATATCCCAGTAGAATCAAGAACAACGGTGTTCCAGTTGTTATAACTCGGTTGTACTGGTATTTCTGTTATAACTAGGTTGTAGTGTTATAACTCATCCCCTACAGCTCCAGAGGTTGAAGTGGGCAACGAGATGGTTTGGTCGACCCCGTCGTCAACGGACAACGTGTGCGTGTGCAAGACAGTGTCTGTCCCCGCTTGTCGGAATGACTAGAAGAATATGCGATGATGGTTCAAGGTCACACAATATGCGATGATGTACTCTACCCAGACGTGGCCGTGGAACGAGCTGTACGGGACGCTGTGGCCCGCAGGAATCGTGGCCATCTTGGACTCTTTCCAAGCCAAGTCGACGGCGACACTCGACGGGTTGACAAACCGGACGTTGAGTTTGTCCGTGCGCGCTTGATCGAGGCCATACCGCCGCTTGTTCCACACCCACAAGTTGGCCGCCCTGCCATTTTGTTGACCAAAGCACGACGAAGAATGCATAAGTGTCTCGAGTTGCCCACACAAATGTATAGAGTCATTACAATGTATCATACCATTTCGTGCCTTCTAACACAGGGCAGCCCCCGTGCAACGACTGGGGGTCGAGCTCCCCTATATGCGACACCGTATGCAAACGTCAAGGATGTGTACGATCGATCTCATAGGGGACTTGGTAACCATTGGGCTTTTGGCTGTAAAAGAGGACGGCGTGGGTTTTACGGGGGTAGGAGGCCAGCCTAACGAGGCAGGTATCAACAACCTCGCTCGATGATATGTGACATCGTACTTGGTCGAGCACTTGGTGACCATGTCCTTTTCCCAGCTGTTGTCTTCAAACAGAGACTGGGCCAGCTCTTGGACGTCGGGGGACATGGGGGGATGGTCGTGGCCGGGCGGCATGTCGGCTAGCGGGAACACCGTCTGGCCGCCTGCGGTGACGTTGGACAGGTACAAGAACACGGTGGCAAAGCGGTTGGATCCGCCGGCTTTGGGGTTCCAGTTCCAGTCGGAGCTCGTGTGGGTGCTAAAGTAGTCGGTGTGCGCAATATACGCTTGCTTTTGGGTGTATCGGAGCAGCTGGAGCCCGTCCGACATGTCGTCCTGGTATGGGTGGACGCGAAGGAGGTCGAACGACCGCTTCCGAATCGACACGGCGGTGTCGCTGACTTGGTCGAACGCGTTCTCGCTCGTACGGTGCCGCGACACCTTTTTGGCGCCGCTCACGTGCCCCACATGCGACTGCTGAAGCTTGTCCAAGTCGTCATCGATGGTCAGGATGCGATCCACGAGCGCGTCGGCTTCGGCGTCGGTGAAGAAGTTGTGCACGTGGAACACCCGAGGACTGTCGCTGAAGCTCTCGAGTACGATGGGTTTCGTCGTGGGGCTTAGCTTGGCTGTCAAGTGAACGCGGTGTCCTAACTACCACAGAGATGCAAACGACGTCGAGGGCAAATGTGATGAAGATATTGCTACCGTAACAAACGGCCACACAAACAACAGCCCTGGCGCGACGAGATATAGTCGATCGCCGTGGACAATGTCGTCGAAGGAGCTCACGAGCATGCCGTGTCCAGTGTAAACGCGATCGGCCACGACCGGGGTTGGTGGCAACGTGGCCAACTGAATACCGTCGACAACAATGAACTCTGACAGATACGCGGCCAAAGCATGTCCCGACGGCACATGTGATGGAAAAAGCGTCACCTGAACCCCTCCAGAGGATTGACCATTGTCGTACACTGTTACGGTCTTGGGCCCATCGATAGATTCAAGCAGCACTCGCGACGATGATGAGGTTGTTGTCGAGGTGTACCATTGAAACCCTCCTACAACTGCGGCCGCGACCAACCCCACGAGAAGGAAGATACGCCAACTGGAGGGCGGCGACTTGTCCGCACTAGTTGGTGACGTGGAATCGTCCTTCGCGGCTGTCGAGCTCATAAATCCGTCGGATAGTTGAGGTGTGTGAAGGAATTTGTTACGCAAATACCTCGAAGTATTAGTTACCAAAGGATGTGATTTATGACTTATTAAACTGCTGTACCTTATTCTACAGGCTATCGATTGCTACGGTTATTACGTGGATTCAAATACAGAGGTTTGTACGGACCAATGAAGCATCGGCATAAACATGCACATTGCCACAATCTATGCTGACCTCGGCGCAGATCGAAGAGTTCCGCCGGAATGGCGTTCTTGTGGTGCCCAATGTGCTCAACGAGGCCGAGATTCAGGCAGCACGGGAAGGCTTGCATGCTGACCTGAAGTCCTACGGCGTGGTATGCACCATAGTATGCGGCAATAAGACGTTCACAACTTTTTGGTAGGATCACGACAACCTTGGCGACACGGCACACAATTTACGAAATCTATCGAGTACGGGCGGTGCTGGCGGCATCCTCGACTTGTTTTACCCATCGTGGCGTCTCTCTGTCGCAGAGCACGAAGGTGTGTTTGCCGTCATCTCGGACCTCTGGGACGCAACGTATGCCAATGCCACCGACCCCGCCGACTTGTTCTACCATCCGTTCGATCGGTTTCCAGGAAAGCAAGGCTTCATGTACATCAACCGCGTATGCTACCGCGTTCCGGACGCGATCTCCACGATGCCATTGGACCAAGAAGGCGTCTCAAGGAAGAAGAAGAAGTCGTTGCAGCGGTCGCTGACCCCACACATTGACTGCTGCCCCACCAATTTGTACGAGAGCGGCAAAGTGTTTCCACGGTGGCGACCCATTCAATGCATTACGGTGCTCACGCCCAACTTGGATCCGTCGACGGGCGGATTCGAGGCCGTTGCTGGGTTTCACAGGGAATTTTCCTCGTACTTCAAAGGGACGTCCGCAGCCGACACTGGTCGACCCCCCGTTTGCCTGGGGGATTTTTCCCCATTGCGCATGCAGGAAGACAAAGCCGTGATCGCGCGCTACAAACACGTTCCTGCCGACGCCGGCAGCGTCATCCTGTTTGACTGGCGAATTCCACACGCCAACAGCTACCGCCACGTGGGGAATATTCCCCGCGAAGTCGTCTACACTGGGTTTCTTCCCAACGTGCCCATGAATCGAACGTACGCCGTTGAGCAATTAAGGCGGTACCTTGCCCGCCTCCTCCCGGCCGACCACTGGCAAAAGGACACGACCGACAAAGCTGTGGACGAAACGTTTTCCAAGCACGAGTTTACTGCACTTGGCAGGAAACTCATGGGCTTGGACCCCTGGCCTGAGCACAGTCCAATGTGAACATAACTAACGATAAAGTTTTACACGTAACGGTACCGGTAATAAGGAGATTTCGCAATGAACGATATACAGTACCTGGTATTATTGTAAGCGATGCGTGGATGGCCAACACCAAGTTTTGGTGAAGTGGCTTGGACTCGACGACGAAGAATCGTCCTGGGAACCTCGACATTCCAGTCGTATTTCGCAAGTGGGCGGCGGCCAACAAAGAAGATCCTGCCGTGGCCGCCCTCATCAAGGCACTGGATTTTCCGTGTGTTCTGTAGCAATTGTGTCTTGTCCTTTTCGTTGAGATTTGTTGATTGGGGCGAGGATCGAGATTTTAAGCTTACGCAATATAGGGTATACAAAGTGGAAGCTTAACATTTTTTATAGGCCAACTATTGGGCGAAACTATACTAATCGAGGATTGGTTGAAATGTCTCGTAAGTGAAATTGGATTGGCTAGGACATTGTCAAATTCATTCGATTCTGCTCGGAAGTCCACATTGCAACGGATTTGACAACACAGTGTTGAGAGGCCCTTCACGGACGATAATTACGCTCTTAACGTTACATCAAGACGAACCCTCACGCAAACGATCAATGAATCGTTATGTGCATCAAGGCAAGAAGTCTGATGGAATACGATGTTTATGTCGCAGCATGATTCTATTTTATCCAATCAAATGAGCGAATTATCATTCAGCCAATCAGGAGCGCAATCAGGACCATCGGAATCGAAGCGCCATTTTCGCACTAGAACGTTGAACCACCCAGAATGAACGACCCGGATGATTGCTGCTGTGGGTTCATTCCGTGTCTGTGCGTGACGGAAGCCCAAGTGCAGCAAGCAAAGAGACTGGACGACCTGCGCACGATGTTCCGAACGACCACGTCTGCCTGTGACATTTGCCTCATGCTTCCGTGTCTTTGCGATGGCGACGCGCTCGAAGAAGAACCGATGGTTGCGCCGTCCGCACCAGCCAAAAAGGTTGTTCCTACCGACCCATATGGACGAGTAGAGCTGGTGTGCAGCGACGGAGCAACTGCGACAGATGCGTGGATCGCCTCGGAACTGGACGACGTGCTCAAACCTCATCAGCGGGACGGGATCAAGTTCTTGTTGCAGCACGTGTCAAAGGATCAAGGCTGCATCCTTGCTGACTACATGGGTCTGGGCAAGACGATTCAGCTTATCTCGACCATCCATAGCTTTCTCGTGGACGGTTTATCTCGGTACGACGATAATGACGACAACACCAAGCAACTACTCGATGTTCGACTCCAATGTTTTCAACGACGAGTAGGGATACACGGCCCACGGCGTTGGTGCTGTGCCCCACCGTGTGCATCTTGAACTGGGTGCAGGAGTTCCACAAGTGGCTCGTTCCGTCGTCGTTGGAGCGCTGCCCGATCTACCAAATGGACACGACCAACAGTGTACGACCACCGACCGTCCATATCAAAAATATATGTGTCTAAATAACGATGCCACAGTACAAGTCCAACACGGCGTCCCGTATCCAGATCCTCGAAGACTGGAAAGCCAGCGGCGGCGTCCTGATCATGGGCTACGAGATGTTTCGGCTGCTGCTGAATCCGTCGCGCGTCGTCCATGACCCTGTCATCGAAGTCGTGTCCCGCGTTGGAACGGGCGTCCTCGACGTGTCTGAGAAGAAGCAAGGCTTGATCGACCGCCAACTGCGCCAGCTCACGTCGTTGCTTTGCTCTCCAGGGCCGGACCTGGTACTGCTACATATGATTCCAGCGCAAGTTGTTTTTCATTTATATGTTATTTTCATCTATTCATTTATATATATTGTTGTTATAGGTGGCGTTAGATGAAGGCCATCGAATCAAAGATCCGTCATCTATTTTGTGCGCTACATTGGAAAACGTGGCCACACGAAAGCGCATTGTGCTCACGGGGTACCCATTGCAGGTATGTAACTAGTAGTACTAGTCCCTACGTACAGTACACATCATCAACAAGTACCTAAGTATGACGACATGGTAGAATTCGCTGGCAGAGTACTGGTGCATGGTAAATTTCTGTCGCCCGGGGTTCCTTGCCTCGTACGATGAGTTCCGCCAAACGTACGAGCGACCCATCATGGAAGGCGACGTGGCCAAGTCGACGCAACTCACGGCCCTTCTTGCGCCCGTGGTGCTTCGCCGCGGCCGCGATCTCCTCAATGCGCACCTTCCCGTGAAGAAGGAGTGGATTGTGCACTGCCAGCTGTCTCCGCTGCAGCACACCATGTACATTGACTTTCTGGACCGAGACCGCCATCAGAACAAGCACTGGGACCTCTTTACCACGTATGCGACGCTGCTCCAGATCGTCAACCATCCGGATGTCGTACATCGTCGCATGCAGTTGCTCTGCGACAAGGGTCCGGACGACGACCATGATGAAGACGACGACGTCGACGTGGCCATAGTGGACGACTGGCGCCCCGTGCTCTCGTCGACTGCCAAGCCCAAGCCCAAGAAACGAAAGCGGGGCATCGACGCCGATGCACGGGCCGCCATGGCGTGGGCGGAACCGAGTCTGCCGACGACGTACGTACCAGGAGACGCGGCGCACAGTGGAAAGATGGTCGTGCTGTTGCAATTGATTCGCGAAAGGTATGTACATATACAGTAGTACTCTTGTAGTAGTCTGGACACGAACGACATGTAGTTTTGAATCATGTGGCCATGATATAAACTTACTACCGTATATACTGTAGTCAACAGGCAGGAGACAAAGTCGTCGTGTTTTCGCAAAGTGTGACGACGTTACAGTGCGTGGGACACTTCCTGGACACCACCCAAGATGAAGAAGAGGCTTCCGTGAACGAAGGTACCGCGACGACGACCGTCAAGCCTCGACGCCGTTGCCGCCGCCATCCTACTGCCAAGAAGAACCCAACCGCCGACACCAGTCGAAACAAACACCAACGGGGGTACCTTGTCATCGACGGCAGCCTCTCGTCGTCGAAACGCATGGAGCACATCAATGTACGTCGTCCACGTAGTAGTTAATGACATGAGTACCTAACGTGTGAGCGAGTAGACGTTTAGTGATGCTAAGAGTAAAGTGAATGTACTCCTCGTGTCCACAAGAGCGGGGGCGGAAGGCATTAATTTGCATGCTGCGAATCGCCTTGTGCTGTTTGACGTGAGCTGGAACCCGTCCCACGACCACCAAGTAAGGATACTAGTAGTCAAATGGACATGAAGAGGGCGGGCGTTGTGTGGCTATAATGCTGTATATGTCGTTATATGTTGGTAGAGCATGTGTCGATCCCATCGCATCGGTCAGACCAAGGACGTGCATGTGTACCGATTTGTCAGCCACGACACAATGGAAGAGAAGATCTACCATCAGCAGGTAGGTACAAAACAATCCCAAGGATTTGATTATGCATGCATTGTGCAGTACCGACTACTCATTCCAAAGTACTACTCTTTTTTGTATTTTTTTTCGATTGAGTACTGTTTTTCGATTGACAGTGAGTACATTTGAAGTACTCGTGCAAAAGTACTTCTTTTTTTTTCGATGGAGTACTTTTGTACTTTTGTTCGATTGAGTACATTTGAAGAACTCAATCGACATTGAAAGTACTGAATCCGTGATTCGCATGGACTGCAGGTGAAAAAAGTCGGGTTGTCGTCCAATGTTGTGGATGCCAACATGTACTCCCATGATGGCGCGGGGATGGCAACGACGTCGTTCTTTGCGGCGCCGCAAGCGCCCGCGACCGCCGACGACATGTGCAAGCCACACGAGCCGTCGGGAGATGCCGTGCTGGACAAGTGCCTGGAGCAAGTCGGTCAATGGGTGGTGAGTTTGAAGATGTGGCAAACTGGTGGATACATATGTATGTATACAGTACTTATTGTTGTGTGTGATGATGTTACGTAGCCCAAGTACTTTGAGGCGGTGGCAGCACCGACATTGGCAGATACCGAATAAAAAGCAAACTTGTATCAATATTGCCAGCATTGGTCAATGCTGTGGTTTTGACATTACTTCATGCGTGGACACTGCCACATACGTATACATCGGGGTCATTTGGTTCATGTATCGCAGCAAAACAGGGCAAAGAATGGAACGGGTGACGTCATGCTGATACTATTGGAACGCGGTATGCACCAACAGGAAAATGATACCATGCGCCGACAAGACCAGGGTGGGGATGGCCTGCGCCAGCAACTCAATTCCACACGGTAGCCCCCAAGCATGCCTGTGAGCCCTTTCTGCTCACATCATACTACTCGCTAGGACGTCGCCGACTGCTGCAACGCGAACAGTGTGGGGACTGCATATCGAATGAATGAGGCGGACGTCACTCGGAGTGCAACTGCCACCAGTGAGACATGGAGAAGCACGTTCAGGGCCACAAATCAACGACCACCCACGAGGACGAAGGAGTCTCTGTCACCGGTGAGGAATAGCGACCCACTTGACCACCTTGGGCGCGTCAACGCCATTCTTAATACGGGACTGAACACATTGCATCCAGCGCCGCCAATCGGCCAAGGACAACCTGCCACTCACAGTGTCATGCAGGTAATCTTGAAATTGTATCATCCGGATAACATGTTTGAAATGTCTGACAATGACGGCAGAATACAGCAATGATGATGGGGACACATGTGGGAGAGGACTTATGGGTGCGGATGGCGTACTACATGTACGCATGTCTACCGGTACATGTAGGCTAGGAAGCCAGGCGATTCCATGCATGATTGCGTCGGAGAGCAGACGAATGATGTCACGAAGTCGGCAATCTCGCCTGTTCGGACTATCCTAACCATACTCCCCATCGTAGCAGCTCGTACTTGAAGTATGTTATTCCACGAGCCAACCACGCACTATATTCTTAACGAAGTAAATATTAACAGCAGCCACCCTTCTTGCTGTTGCTGCTGTTGCTGCCTCCACCTGCCGCGGCGGCAGCTCCCCCCGTCGCCGCTCCGCGCCCCGTGGATCCGCGTCCGTCGTCCACGATTTGAATCGTGTTGCGGCCGCCATCACGAGTCCGACTAGTCGCATCTGTGGTGCTGCCTGGTCCATAGGATGGCGCGGCCACGGGTTCGTCGTCGGCAATTAGCGCGCTTTGCTTGTTCTTCTTGGACCGAGACCCACCCCGCGCCAACATGCGCTTGGACAAGTCGACAAACACATCATCCAGGCCCTTGTTCAGCTTAGCAGACGTGTGGAAATGGGTCGCGTTCACCGACTGCGCATACTTGACGGCGTCGGCTTCCGTGACCTTGCGGTTACGATGCAAGTCGATCTTGTTCCCGGCGATGGTGATGTCGATGTCGTCGCCGACAATGCGCCGGAGTTCTTTTACCCACGTCTTGACCTTTTGGAACGATTCTTCGTCCGTGATATCGTATACAAGAAGCGCCCCATCTGATGGTAACACGCACACGTCATCACCTCGACAGAATTCGAGGGGAACGTGATGGTCTTACCAGCGTCACGGTAGTAGATCGGGCCCAACGCATGGAACCGTTCTTGCCCCGCGGTGTCCCAGATCGAGAGCTGCACGTTGTTGTTGTCCACCGACAACTTCTTGTCCAAGTACGATGCTTGCAACGTCGACACTTGTCGGTCGTCGTACTCGTTCTTAATGTAGCGCACCAGGATTGAAGTCTTCCCCACGCGGCCTACGACCATGCAGCTTGTTAAGGCAGTTCACGCATCGTCCTCATGGACACGCCACAGCCATTATGGACGAGGAAGTACCTTCGCCGAGCAGCACCACCTTGTATCGCTTCGCCGCCATCTTCTTTCGTTCTGTACAGTCCGAAGGAGAACGGACCAGGCGAAGGGGGCGGGGTGACGGGACGGAACACGGCGGTTGCATCTGGTTTATCGAGCAATGATTGGATAAAATAAAATATTTTCATCCAATCCAAAGCCTTCTATGCCATGTTGCATATTACCCACACGGCCGGCTCCTTGCTTCCGTAGAAGTCGCACTCGCGAAATGCGTTGACAATCGTCCATCACGCAGCCATGATGGGGTGGAGGGGTGGTGGACGCAATGCATCGACATGGTGGCCTCTAAACGAGAGCGATAGGTGCCACATGCTTTCAATGCCGTCCCGCGATCGCAGTGCCAGACACGGCCACCGTCGGTCAAACGACCTTGCGCGCCCGAAAGTTCCGGCGAATCTAGCGCCCTTCGTCACATGTCCATGGATACACTTCAGCGCACCATATACAAGCGCATGCACGGGTCGTCAAATCTATATATTACTTCCATCCACATGTCTACTACTTCTTGGAAAACACCTTCTTGAGCGCGGCATACGTGTCCTCGGGTTTTTCTTCGCGCAAGACCAATGCTCCGTCCTTGTGCTTCTTTGCAGCGGGGACACTGCTGCTTTCGTCCAGTTTCCGGACGCGACTTCCTTCCCGGCCACTCGACCCATTCGTGCCTTCGTCCTTGGCTAGAAGGATCGTGTCCAGGAACGATCGATACAACGACCTAAGGGGCGGAAGCACATGTGCGGGCGCGTCAAACAGCCCCTTGTCCCGGGACCGCACCTCTCCTCCAATATGGCTGTCGTTGTCGTTGGCTTGCGAGACCGCCGCCGGCGCCAAGCTCGGTCCGTACATCTTTTGCAGCGCAGACGACTCTGGTTGCAGACGCACGGGCGCCACGGCATCAGCTGTCACAACGGCATGCTCGTCGCCCACAACGTACACGTGACTGACCGTGTCCATCACGACCAGCCGCTTCTTGTAAAACACGATGGCGGCGGTGTCCACTTGCGGAAGGCGATGGAGCGCCGTGGGATGGGGTGACGCAATGTCGAACGCCAGCACATGGGTCGTCACGTCCAGCGTCTTGGCTTTGGTTACCACCGCAATCACGAGCTGGTCAGAGTCGGGGGACAGCGCCAAGCAGGTCGCGGGGAGGTTGTAGAACCACGCGACGGTCGTTGTGAGAAGCGACCACACGTACACCCCCGACGGGGTGCGCACGGCCACATGCGGCGAGTGGGCGGCAAACACAATGTCTTTGATCGGTGCATTCGGGTACGACAGCACACTCTGCAGCACGTTCGTGACGGGGTCCCACAGCGTCAGCAAGGCCCCGTACGCGACCGCGAGGAGCGAGCCGTCGTGGGAGAAGGCCACCGCCCCGATGCTGACCTGCCGGAACTGCGCCAGCGACCGGCACGTCCACCCATTCGATGTCGGGTCGTGCCACAGTCGGAACTCACCGTGGTCGTCGGCGGTCACCACGACGCCGCCGTGGCTCGCCGTCGCCGTCACCACGTGGTCTCCGTGGGGCATGTCCACATCCGTGTGCATGGCGAACGTGCCGTCGCTTTTCCGTGACCAAAACCGCAATACGCACTCATCCAGCGTCGTCGTGACTGTGGCCATGGTGCGTGCTGCCGGCGCAAAGCAGATCTGCGACGCATACGTTCGAATCGGGGCTTCGTCGTCCGTCTAGTGGAGGGTTTGAAATACATGACTTCTTACTAGAGAACAAACGGGGGACTAGGTATATATATATATATATATATATATTGGGAGTCAAAATCGACACAAAAACGAAAAATACATGGACAGAACAAGTGAGCCAATCAGACGTCAGGAAATCAACATCTTCATGTAATTAGTGTGTGACTTTAATTCGTGTGATTCCAAGCCCACGTTTTTACATACAAACTTCAGTAACGTTATGACAATTAAGAATCGATCCATATCGAGTTGGCAAATCCACTCAAACGTCCAAGTCCAGTTGGGTCAAAGGGTATAATTCTCCACAACGAACGCAGGACTAGAAAATGACGGAGATACATATATATATATATATACCCGAGACACTTGGTTGCGCTGCGTAAGGGCGAGGGTCGCAACGACGCGATCCTGGAGCGGGTTGTAAAACTGAATGTGCCCCACCAGACTCTTGGCCTGCACCGCCAACGTGTTGGCCCACGGCTCGACCACCATGCGACGCCCCACAAGGGTCTTGGACGCGGACAACCCCACGCGCCCCAGCCCGCCCTTTTGCCACTCGTGCGAATTCGTCACTGGGTTAAACGACAAGATCGAGTTGTCTTGGCACGCGACCAAGTACCCCGAGCCGTCGGCTTTGGTGGCGATGCCGCTCAGCGCCGCCGACAGGCGCGGCATGTACTGACGTCGGCCGCTTTCCAAGTGCCACAACACGAGCACAAACTCTTCCCCGCCAGATGCCACGTACGAACCGTCTCGAGAGTATGCGACGCAGCCCACACGGTGGGCGTGCCAGTGCAATTTAGACGGCTGGAGGCCTTTGCCGGCTGTGTCGAGATGGCGCCATACTTGCATTTGCCCCATCGAGTCGCCTGTGATGACCTACCAACCAGAGAACAGTGTTCACAGATTGACGCTATTGGCTGCTCATCCAATTTTGAGCGGATTTGATTGGCTCTTACAGCAAGGACAAGTATATTCAACCAATCAGACTCAAGCGTGATTTAGCGTTAATTCACAATAGAAGAATGAATATGAAGCCAACAATCAAATTGCAGGAAACCAGTCGCAACACCGAATTCGTGTATGTGACTTGATGTGATTGGCATAGGCAATAATTCTGTATACGTACATAATACAGTACAACTAAAATATCGATCAATAGATTTGGCGAAATCCGCCATAAACTGAAAATAGAAACAATCAATATACCTCGTCGGATGACGGATGCACCGTCACACAAGACAACTGGCGGACGTGCTCGAACCGGTTCACTGTCACGACCCGAGGCGCGACGTCGCCAGTGTTTTTAACGCCGACGCGCAGGTAGAAGAGCTGCGACGACGCGATCACCGCGACAGCGGCAATGTAATCCGAAGGAATCGACCGCTGTTGCATGTGGGCACCGTAAAACGGCATAAACTTGCGCTGGAGATGCTCTTCTTCAACAGCCCCCTTGGACAAGTTGTACGACACGAGTTTCCAATGGGTCGTCTCGAGGCCGTGCAGGTTGAGCATCCACTTGGGGCGATGCTCGTCCTTCTTGCGCTGCTTTAACGCGGCCTTCTTCTCTTCCGCGGTCAGGTCGTCCGGGATGGCGGGCGCGGCGCCATCGTTCTTTTTGGCTTCCTTCGTCTCCTTGCTCAGGGCAACAGCATGCATGCGATCCAACCTCGCAGTTTCGTTCAACACTAACAACAACAGCGACGGATCCACAGGACTCGCGTGCAGCCACACCGCGGGCGAATCCAAAGTAAACGACTCCAACACCGAGCCTTGGGCAATGTCCCATACACGAAGCATGTGGTCGGCCGTGGCCACGAGCAGCTGGCCAGCCTTGGTCGGGTGCAGCGCAAACGCTGTCACATGCGATAAAAAGTCGGCTGGGATGACAAATTTGTCGACCTGGCGCTGGATCCACACCGCTTTGTGCGCCGCGACCGTCGCCGCGTCGTCGTCTGGGTGGGGGTTCTTGTACTGGGTTTCAAAATGGGCGCGGATGTATTGGTTGCGGTAGCGCAGACGAACCTTCTCGGCATGTGCATTGGTTGTCGGGTCGGATGGTGGGCTGGCGGAGCGCAGGTGATGGACTACTTCGCCGGTCTTGGTGCTGCGGACAACGACACAGTTGCCTTGGGCCTCAAATACAAGCTTCCCATCCGCAGACGTCTTAATGCCGATGCAGCGCTGTGCGCGTGTGCATCCGCTGCTGAGTTTTTGGGCCGTTAAAGGAGCTGTCATCGGGCCAACGCACTCGCGATGGAATCAATATGAGATTATTGCCGCAGCTTCAAATTGAAAAACGTCCAAATGAATGGCTCTTGCGTGAACCAATGGAAATGAGGTATCGAATTCACCCAGATATAATGTTATTGCCTTTGGCATTATATAGTGTCAGACAATAGATTTAATAGTGTGAGTGGACATGTCCAAATAAAGAAAATGATTCATTTATTATAGCCTATCCCCGAAATATATTACTCCGGAGTACCAGTACTTCGTAATAGTGTAAGTTCCTTTGGAAATGTTTTTCTCCCGAGTACAGTACCAGTAACGAAGGTGCGCAAAAGTATGAAACCTACTACAAAAAAATGCATTGTCTTTCGACAGCTATTCCAACTTTGTACTCAAGGACTGTATTGATATTTTTTAGGAAAATAAGCCGTAATAACGATACGGTAGAACTGGACAAGCCCAACAGAAGTTACGGTTCAGATTTTCAATTGGTGAAAAGTTGATCGAGTAACGTTAATAGATTTTAAAACCAACCGGCCTTTTGTATGGAAATATATGGAGCCAAGCACATTTTGGCCGAAAAGGAGCATCAAGTTATATCTTGGTCTTTGTAAAGAGAACTTATCCGTACGAACATTTCCATTTCATCCGGATTATTTAGGACGTTTAACCCTTTGTGCTTTGCACATTTTTTGGCAATTCCAGGGTTAAATTCATTGTTTAAAAATTTCTCAGGCTTAAATAATGTCTAAAGTAACTTGAATAACGGTTGGGTGCGTTGTTTAAAGTTACTTCATCTAATGCGATGATTGGTTGGTTGAAGGTGGTTTTACTGGCACTTTCGTAAAACAAGTTGTTTGCCGTTTTCATTCTGGCAAACAACTTGCTTTACGTCAACATGTCAAGGTGCTTGACGCAATGAAACTGAAGGAGCTATGGCCACATACATGACCTCCCATCCGTGATCACTACAGTACTAACATTATCTACTCCGAGTAATGTATATAACGTTAGGGATATAGTTAGGCTACAGTACATGTAGTCGTCGCTCTGTCCAATGATTCAAAGCTATGCCATACCTTCAACTCTTGATCTGCTCTAACCTTAGCACTGTACGTGGAAGGCAATGGCGCACTACGACTACATGATGTATAGTACTCCCATTTCACATCCTAATACGGTATGCATCGTGATGAACTGGTGGTTGTACGGCGTAAGTTGGCCTGGTGCTGCAACTCGATTAGTTAGCAGTTGAAATAAAGTAAGCGTTGTTTTATTCTGCTGAAATGCAGAACTTGTGTTTAGCGTTGTTTTATATTCAATCGGGCTTATATTATTTTAAACGTCTGGTTGTTTAACGCAGTTAAACAACGGGCAAACTATATGAAAAGCACAATAGGTAAAAAACGTAACTAATAATGATTGCTGACACCGTTAGTATTAATATAAGGCCTACACCAGCTCTTTGCTTAACCACTCAAGGCCTTCATATAGTCCCTTGCCGGTGAGGGCTATGCAGGGCTGGATGTAATAACCATGCGAGGTGACACTTTCCACTTGCATCTTGTCTGCGATGTCGGAGGTGGTCATGGCGCCAGGAAGGTCTTGCTTGTTGGCGTAGACAAGCAACTTGGCATTTTGGAGCTCAATCTCTTGAAACATGTGATGGAGTTCGTCGGACGCTTGTTGAAGTCGAAGGGTATCGTTCGAGTCTACGACGAAGATCACAGCATCGGTGTTCTTGTAGTAGTGATGCCACAGCCCGCGCAGCTTTTCTTGTCCGCCAATGTCCCACGCCGTGAACTGGACGTTGTTGTATTGAAATATCTCGACATTGAACCCAATGGTCGGTAGAGTGTGAATGGTTTCGTGCAGTTTGAGCTTGTACAAGATGGTGGTCTTTCCGGCTGCATCGAGGCCAAGGAGGAGGATGCGCCGCTTCTTGGTCGCGAAAGAGTCCATCATGTGCATCAACTTGGCAACGTATGCTCCCATCATAAAGTGTGTTTGCTCGGTGGTAACCTTAAATGTGAAAATGATCACTCAACATCGCTTGACAATCATGTTTCGGCGGCCAATCATATCGATGCAACGGAATCGGATTTGCACCTGTTTCATTGGCTGTACAAAAACATGAGATCTAAGTAGCCAACCAAAACACGATTTGGGATGTGCTTAGCAACAAATGATTGGTCAGTCCAATCTATGTACTTCGAATGTATGACGAAAAATTTCAAAGAGGTAACTACTACACCCTCCGTCCCACTTTAATTGCCCGATCAGAAATACTTCGAAGTATTATAAATTAGGGGCTGGCCGCGGAATATTTTTGTAAGCTTAGTGGTATACTTCCTTGAAAAAATATCATTTTGCCTATAAAATATGATACTGAACTTACCATAACGGTAAATCAACACCTTGTAATTAACGTTAGATCTTCTGCACGCTAACTACTTACTGTTAACTGTAAACCGCCGCTATGTTGCCAACTGTAATTGGCTTGATGTTTGGCTCTGACATGGGAACGTTATTTGCATTGATCAAACACTGTTGGCATTCTTACCGTACAGCTCTCGGAACTATTCTACGAGGCTTCATAAGGATTCATTCTCCAGTCCATTGAGAATTGTGAATGTTTGTCACTTGGGAATGATGTTTGCATACTCCGAGTAACAATTATTAATAGATGTTGCCCACTCAAAGTGCATCAGTCGTAGTATTTCTTGTGGAATAATCCCCCCACATCAGGTGTACTTTACCTTCAAAGCACCCAAACTATACCTTTACAAATAGTGGAGGAATTCCTAACAGTAAGATAAGACTCCGTACAAATGTACAAAAAAAAACCTTGTAACCTCCGACTTCGTCCTACCTGGTGGGTACAGATACTATTTCGAAGTATACTGTTATTCCCGAGGTACATCACAGCATCAATCGAATGAATATGTCAGCTTGACCACCGCAGTTTGGTGTGACTACAGTACCGGTAGAGACGTCGATATTCTCCTGAAGTGAATGAACTATCTAACGTTACGCTAGAATTGCATTAATCGTCAGGTGTCAATATTAGAATATACTAGGAACACTTGAATAGTATTAATACCGATAGGATTCGATGTGCGCGGCGTGCCATTGAGCATAATATCTACTCCACTTGTCCGAATGGTCTGTGAGGATTAGATTGAACGGTTCAAATGGACCCGAGTACGCCGTGGTTGCGTTATGGAGTCCGTCCAAGTACGTTGCGAGTGCATCTCCGACGTGGCTGCTGTCGATGGTACCTCCGAGCGCAGTGAAAAACGCGAATTCCAACTTGCGCAATGGCAGCAGGCTGTGGGCGCACGGCTGCCGCATGGTGGTTTCAATGTGTTCCCACACTGGTTTCCAAGCATAGTCGGCGTGGAATACATCGACGTGGAGGCTGTCCTCGTACCATTCGTCGTTGCAAACGCGGTCGTCTTGGCCCCAGAACAACAGGTCCTGGCTCTCGGCCTTGTCCACGCTGACAATCACGCGCCGATTGGCGATGATCAAGTCTTCGAGACGAGCTGTCCCGGCACGCACCTCCAAGTCCATCGGGTCGTGTCGAAGGATCACCATATCACCAAACACCTGCCTCACGACTGCCACGACTTCGTGCTGAAGTCGGGGGGTTGGCGTCGCGTCGCCGTTGTCGTCGGGGGCTGTAAAGTCGGACAAGTCGCCAAAGTTGAGAAAGATCACTTCGCGGGGATGCATGTCAAGCCAGTGCTTGATCGGCACTAATCCTGCTTCAGTGGGCTGGTACACTTGCGTCCGCCACCACGAGTATCCGTGACAGACCACGGGGGAGATTCGCTCGCCATGCTTGTCGTACGCACACGAGTCCACGTCAAAGTACCGGATCCCAGCGTCCAGGAGCTGGGGGCCGCTCACGAATTGGTTTCGTTGCAAGGCAAACCCGACGTCCGACAGGGCGTTGTGGGCGCCCATCCACAGCACTTGGCCGATGCGCTTGTTGCAGTATCGGACGTAGCCATTGCACCCGCCTTCTTCGGGCACGACAGTGGTGTCCAAGAACAACATTGCGGCCGGCGCCGAGCGATCGGGAAGCAAGTCGGGGTCCATCGCTCGAACGTAGTTGTGTCGCGGGGGGGGCTGCCGTCGATGCCACGTCTTGTGAGACGAGTCTGCGCAAATAACATGTGTCAAGACGACTGCCACGTACGTAGCCTTCATTTCCACGATAAAGTACAAGGGGGCAGATGCTACCACCTCAATCTCGTACGAATTGGCGTGAAACCGATATACTAGTATACTAGTAATGAGAAGTGCAACTGCCAGTGTCGGAACTGTAACTGCCGCTGTGGTTACGCTGAAATGTTGGTTTATTACTCTCTACCGTGGCCGCATTGGCTTGATGTGTTCTAGTCGTATGTCGAATTCACTAAAGTGTCCACTTGCAAATTCACAGCGTGGGGTGAAAGTGGGCGCAAATGTGGTGAATTCTCTTCGTTCGACTTTTCACGCTCGATCTAATAACTCCTTAATGGCCAAGAAAGGTCAAGTGGTTGTTGTGCCATTGGGGGTACAACTCGCGCCACTTGTCCGAGTGGTCAGTGAGGACGAGGTTGAATGGAAAGTAGGGCGACCGGCGGATCGATGGACTGGCGTCGTTTTCCGTCTTCAGTGCTTCCATGTACGTGGACAGCGTGTCACCCACATGATGGCTGTCAATGGTGCCGCCTAGCGCTGTATGAAAGACAAACTCGAGCTTGTTCAGGACGCCAGGCTGGGCCGCACACGGCTGTCGCATGCGCGTTTCGACGAAGTCCAGCACGGGAGTCCACTTGTAGTTGTTGTGTATCCAGTCAGCTTGGAGGCTGTCGTCGTACCAGACGTCGTTGCACACGCGGTCGTCTTGGCCCCAGTAGGTTGGGCTCGGGTCGGAGGCTTTGCCGATGCTCACGACGACACGGCGATTGGCATCGATGAGCTGCTGCAATGTGGCGTTGCCAGCCTTGATCTGGGCGTCCCATGGGTCGTTCCTGAGTACTGCCATGTCCTGAAACACGCTGCGGACGACGGACGCAATCTCGTCGCGCAGTTGGACCGTTGACGTGGCTTCTTTCTTGGCGTTGACAGCCGTGAAGTCGTTCACGTCCCCAAAGTTGAGAAACACAACTTCTCGAGGATTGGCAACCAACCAGTCACGAATCAAGGTGAGACCAGTTTCAGTGGACTGGTACCATTGGGCGAGGAGCTTCACTTGACCATGGCACACATACGGCGCGACGCGCTTGCCTTTTTCGTCGAACGCACAGCTGTCGATGTCAAAGTACCGGACACCAGCGTCCATAAGGCGCGGGCCGTTGACGAACTGGTTCCTCTGGACGGCCAAACCCACGTCGGTGAGCGAATTATGAGCCCCAATCCAAAGCACTTGGTCCACACGCTTGTTGCAGTACTGGGCAAAGCCATTGCACCCTCCAGCTTTGGCCACCAATGGATTCAAGTCGATGACGAATGGAGTCTCCACGTCCGGAAGCAAGTCCGGATCGTTGGATCGGTCATACCCTGGACGAGGAAGGTCGGGCGGGATACGAGGTGAAATGGGACACGGGTGACGTCACGAAGTTGTTGACGTCTGTCGTATTGTCAGCCGACGTCGTCCAGTGGTGAGATGCAGTGGATGCACCGAGAAGGGCAGCGGCAAATGCCGCGACCTGGGTGTCCTTCATATGAAATGATCCGATCTGTGCGCCTTTTGGAAGTCCTGATGAAACGCTTTCTATACAATTCGAATTCTTTCATTGGTGGAAATATATATACGATTTTCTGATTGGCTATATAAATTATATACGAACTGAGCCCAGTTCGAAGTACCGAATTTCCGGAGACTTGACCAATGAAATCACTCCGAGTCGCCGGAATATTTTTGCTTTACCTCCTGGTTCCAATAAATAAATAATTCCACCAATAAGCGTTGGCTGTGAGTAAAAATTTAATGTCTGGAGACAATCAGTACTGTACTTCGCACGCCTTTTTGACCATCGACTTTACAGTTATACTTCGCGAAGTATATTATATTAATACCATCTGCTTCAACAATACCACTCCACCCGAATAAATAGACTTCTCGATGTCGGATTGACTATTATAGAGGGCTTTTGTAAAATGGTTTCAACTTGTCCTCGTCGACGAGTACAGTACCAGTACTCGATAGTGTAATAATGGAGTGTGAATAATCAACCCAAGCTAGCGTTCAAGATATTTCAAGTGACGACGATGCCAATTGGGGTAATACGACTTCCACTTGTCAGCATGGTCGGTGAGGATCAAGTTGAAAGGGAAGTATGGCGCCTTGTCGATTGGGCCGTTTCGCCGCACCAGGGACTCCATGTACACATTCAGAGCGACGCCGACCGAAGCCGCGTCGATGGATCCGCCCAACGCGTTGTGGAACTGGAATTCTAACTTGTTGAGGAGCTGTGGGTTGGTGGCACATGGGCTGCGCATGGTGTCGTCCACAAGTTGCACGACGGGAGCCCAATTGTAGTCGGTGTGGTCGTCGTTCCATTCAAGGGCAACGGGATACCACGCTTCACGACACACACGATCGCTCTGCCCCCAGGCGTTGGGGCTGTCGCTGCGGCTGATGCCTACATTGACCACCACACGGCGATTCGCGGCTATCAAATCGCCTAGCGTGGCCTTGTTGGAGTTGACGGCGGCGTCCCAAGGCTCGTCTCGCCAGATGGCCATCGATCCAAACACTTGGCGCACCACATAAGACAGTTCATCTCGCAACTGGAGAGTAGATGTGGCGATGCCTCGGATATTCACTGCGGTGAAGTCCGCAATGTCGCCAAAGTTGAGAACGATCACCTCGTGGGGGTGCTTGTCCAGCCATTGCTTGATAGGCAACAGCCCTGCGACGGTTGGTTGGTGCACTTGGGCTAGGTACCATTCATAGCCATGACAGATCATCGGAACCGTTCGCTTCGCATTCGCCACGAAGGCGCATGTGTCAATGTCCAAGTACCGAATGCCAGCGTCCAACAAAGCAGGGCCACTGACGAATTGGTTGCGCTGCAATGCAAACCCCGTGTCCGTGAGTGCATTGTGCGCCCCTATCCAAAGCACTTGGCCCAGTGTTTGATTGCAATAGCCAACGTAGCCATTGCACGCAGTTGATGATACCGCCGTAGTAGACGTTAACATTTTCTCCATAGTGTTGTTATTCCCTCCATCAGTAACCCTAGAGTCAGTGGGCATGTCGCCGCTGGCTTGTCGAAGGGTTGTTGTAGCTGTCATGCCAGGAAGTGTCAACACTGCCAAAACCATGACGGCCTTCATGGTGATTGTACACAGGCGTGGTTAATTTGAAATGCAATTGCATTTAGGTGGTGGACGTCCCTCTGAACGTTACATGGGAGAAGTGTCAAACTTGTCGTTCAACGGCGTCGAGTGACGAACGCGTGCCGTTGGAATTCATGACTCGATCCAAGTAACAGTTAGGTACGCATGTTACTGTTATTAATAATATTAATACGTACGCTACAGTAGTACAGTATTAATGTAACGTTAGTATTAATACTACAGTAGTTGAAATTCAAGTTGATTTATATCATATAAATGAATCCTTATTTATTTATGTTGGCGATCGACCTACAGTACTTGTGTTACTGTGAGAATCCAGCAGCATCAAAGAATGGGAGGCGGCATTGCGTACACGCGCGGCAACTCGTTCGTGTTCAAGCACTGGGTCGAAGAGCCCTTTGAGCTATCTCCAGCAGATGTATCCACACTGGATCTACCAGGGTCCAAGAAGACAGGGCTTCTCCTTCGCTATCGAGACATTGAGCTTGTCGTGATCAGTGCCCGGCCATTGCTAGGAGACGGCGCTGCCACAAAAAAATCCCGCATTGAATTCACGGGACGAACTACCGAAGCAATTCGAAAGGCCACCAAGTACTTCACGGCGGCGACCACGACGAGTGTGTCCTTCTTTGTGGGTTCCGAGGTCGAACGAGACCACTTGCTTCACCTGGTCGAGCTCAACACGGTCGTGAATCCAGCCACACAGTCCCCGAGTCTTGCACCTCAAACACCTTCGACATTGACCATTCCACCACCCATCGATTTGCATGCTCCAGTTCCTGCTGTGCCACCATCCACCTCGTCCCAGACCCCGCGCAGCAGCGATGCCAAGCTCGCCATTGACGACGGCTTTCGATCGTTAGAAACGGCCGCAGTCCTTGAAGAACAGCAAGACTGGGCAGCAGCATTACACGCATACGAGCATGCTCATCGGTTCTTTCTTCAGTCGTGTCCACACATTCCATCGGACAAGGCATCGACACGGCAGCTACTAACCGACAAGTGCGCTGAGTTGACCACCACCATCGCCACCCTGCGCGACCGAGTGGCGGCCACGTCAAACTCGATTTTGCCCCCTCCAACGTCGTCACCACCACCGCCGCCAGTACCAGCCATCCCGGCCCATTTCGCACCCACGATTCCCCCGGCATCGGTGCCCACAGCACCTCCCCAGCAACCGATCTCGCCACTGGCGTCATCATCATCGTCGTCGACGTCCATCCATCCCCCCCATAACGAACTGACGACTCCATCTCCGCCGTCTCAGACCCGTTCAGTGGACGAACGAATGTACGCGTTGCAAAAGTTTGCCGAAGCGCAAGACGTCCGACGGGCACAAGACCAAAAGCTGCCCATCGTGTCCGACTTGGCGCTGCGGTTGGCAGCTCTCAAGAAAGAGACGACGGTGGCCCCTCCGATGGGCACCCTGGAAGCCAGATTACAGCGGCTGCGGGGCGGGGAGCCAGCCCTACAACTGTCGAAACCGGCTCTTTCCAAATACTACGAGGACGAGAACCTGTCGTCATCATCCGAATTTGAAGACTTTAGCCAGGACGACACCATCGACGAGGCCATAGCTGACGTCTTGCAAAGCGACGCCGATGTGAATATGGCAGCGCTTCTCGAAGAAGCCCAACAAGCACTGGCGTGTTCCTCGTCGACACCCTCGTTGCCATCAACTTCCACCACACAAGAAGAAGACAAACTAGTGGCTGCGCTAGTCAAGGAAGTTCTAGACGAAGCGGACGCAGTGGAAGCCACAGACGCACTCGACCCATCAAAGCCGACGACCCCAACAGACGACAAACGGAACAGTGACAGACAACACACAAACGTCCAACCTAGTAATCGTCCACCTACCTCGCCATAACCTATACACTAACCAACGTTCCTCGAATATATATAATCTACTACGTACTCGAAACCGTCGAGATTACCTTTTGTAACCGCTATTGATGAACAAGTTCACGGGTGCCGAAAGTGCGCGGCTGCTGTCGGTGCTCACGGAGGCCGTGGAGAAGCTCACGTTGCTGTCCCACCTCCCTTATATTAACGACTCCGACGATACCCGGGCGGATGTGGCGTTGGCCCAGTCCGCCCTTCTCCACGCCTTCCCGCCTCCGTCCAGCGCCAGTGGCCTGTACGACCAGCAGCAGCCTTCGGCCACAACAGTCCTCAGTCAACTCGTGCGTGCTGTGTGATCTTTGTTGCAATTGATTGAATGACCAAGCTTCGAATGGCCAGCAGCCATTGATTGATTGTGTGTGTCATGACGAGTAGTTTGCACAAGAAGACGTGTTACTACAAGCGACCGATGGTGGCAAGTTGGACCTCATGCACGACGGGGGAGGAGACGGTGGTTCTGTGGCGTTTCGAGAGGCCATGGCGTTAGCCAGATCGTTCTGTCGGGTGGTTCGGCACGACGCGTCTGCCCACGCTGTGCTTACGACGGTACTACGTCGCCACCATTCTTGTTTCACATCGATTCTTTGCCGCCAATATCCACAGTTGTATTCTCATCACGGCCTTAAAGCCTGACGATCGTTTCTGACGTGGCAAGTTGTATGGCTATTTGTAGGTGGATAGCCATCGCGGAAGTAGTGGGGGCCCAGCTCAGTCTCGAAACACTTCTTCCTCCCCAAACCACACTGGCCACATCATTCACACACACAAGAGCACATCGACCAACCATCATCGATCCGGACTCGTAGCCCTCAGCGGGTACGTGGCGGCGGTGCGCGACCAGGCGGCGGGGACGCTGTCCACGAGCGTGGAGCAGGACGAAGCCACTCGACAGATGATGGGCGACATGGAAACCCGCATTCGGGAAGCCGAGAACGACTATAAGCAAATGACCGTCGATGTCCGCGCCCAGCGAGAGATGCGCGACGTCGATGTCCGCCGGAATGCCCACAAGATTCATGCATTAACCAGTACGACCCCAGAATCCCCCGACACATGCCCACAATCCCCCGCCACATGCAAACCATTAACAAATTGAGTAGACGAACTGCACGACATTGAACAAGGCGCAGACCAAGCAGCGACGTTGATCGACCAGGATGCCAAGCAAGCCGAGTTTTCGCTTTTAAATGGCTACGAAGGCAACGTACGATATACTATTCGAATAATCGGCGAAAAGGACCGATGGCGGCTTGTCTTGATTCGTGGATTGCATGCAGGTTACCCAATGCCGCGACGAGTCGGACTTGTTGAGTGTCCGATGCACCAAGAGCAAGGACGAACACCACGTGCAAGAAGATGGCCACCGGAAGCGCAAGTTGAAAGCAGCGGTGGAAGTGAGCAACCAGATCGAACAGTACGACCACGTGCTCGGTGCGTTGCAAGCTCAAATCGATGCGGCCAGGGCGGCGATGGCGACCGAAGTGGCTGAAGTCTCCCGTCTGTCGGCGGTATTTCATCGGTTGGATGAAAACTACCGGCTCGCGGCGGCCGACCACGCCAGGTGGGACGCTGAAGAGAAAGAGCGACTGGCCAAGGAAGCCGCGTTTGTCAAAATGGTCGCTCGGATCCAAGCGTCGTACCGAGGGTACATGGCTCGCAAAGCGTTACGAGAACGCAAAAAGAAGGGCACCAAAAAAAAGGGCACAAAAAAAAAGGCGGTCACAAAAAAAAAGAAAACCAAGGCCTAATAAAACGTTAACGTTACCGGTACAGTACGTTGGCCAAATTGACAGTGAACTTGACTGTGAATATATTAATACCGTTATATTGTCGATTTGATACAAATTTGGGGAGGGGGTGCAATCGAATCGCGCCGACCAAATCGATCCACAATCGATCTGATTGGTTGAATTTCATTGAGAAGGTTTTGATTGGTTAATAATTCTGAAGTAGCCAATCAAATCGATTTAATTTCCAACGAGAAACCACGCCACAACACGAAATTTCACTCGAAAGCACAATACAGTATGTACTTACTTTATGAAGTAATACGACGTAGTATTAATAACTGTTACCAAACTTGACTGTGAATACATGTATTAATATACGTAGTACTAACTTAGTATACATATATAATTTATACTAGTCTACATTTACCAAGAGGAACGTGATGAATCAATCACTGTTACGAAAATGAACTCGATATAAGAGTGATTTTGCTATTATTGTATTTTATGTCTGAACACATGAGGCAAGAACGTACTGTTTCCATCATCGCTACGTCGACTTGTCCAATTTCGAGCGCCGACGAGGTCCAGATGGAGGTTCGGGTGTCGGTGATGGAGTGGCTACAGCAGCGACAGTTTCACTTTCCTCGTGTGCGTTGGCATTGGCAATGGCGGCAGCAGGTAACAGTTCCGGGGCTTGGTCACCATCATCTCCGCCTCCTTGCCCGAACTCGTTCACACGGGTCTTGTCCACGCGGTAGATCCACCTTTGGTACAAGTACACAAAGAAGATGACATCATCTCTGAAACACGCGAGGCGATGCATCATGGGCATGGTAATGACAAATGCAAACAGGTCATCGATGAACGTGTTGAGGGACTTGTACACCATCGCGCGCCACGGCAAGTGCGCGACGCTTTGGAGCTTGTAGTTGATGTACAGCTGGGGTGTCATCATGATAAACCCAAACGCGTACACAAAGCTCGTGAGTGACGACAGCACCCAGCTGTACCAGCTCTTGTGCTCGCTAAACCCGAGCTGGTACGCGGCGTACCCGACCAGCAGCGGGTACATGACGTACGACACGTGGGCAACTGCCACGCGGTCGTGCTCGGCCGTCGACGAGTCATAGGTCGCCTCCCCCTGGACGCTCCACTTTCCAGAGCTGGCATCTCGCGTCACTTTGACCGCCTTGTGGATCTTCCATACATCCAATACCACGCCCAGCCCCGAGCTGAAGAGGATCATCCACGACGTGTCGTTGTCCAGCAGGTACAAGAAGATAACCAAGTGGAAAAACGCATTCAGGACCACCGTGCGCACGCTCAGCCCTTCCATGCTCTTTTGTTTGCGCCAAAAACTCACGTCATTCTTGAACGCGAGCATGTCAAACACTGTGTGCAGAATCGACACGACCACGGTCACCGCCAACAGGTACGGATTCGTCTCGATGAACAGCTTCTTGATCGCGTCCGCGTCCTTCTTGGTGCCCGTGCCCATGGTCTGCTGGTTGCGAAAGTTCTGCGTCATCTGCTGGTACAGCCCAAACTTGATGAGCGACATGGGGTAGTACGTAACCTCCAACGACAACGTCGTCGTCGACTGGTTCACACGGATCAAGTGGTCTTCGAGCACCCAAAAGTCGTTGAGATACAGGATCGGCAGGTACTGTCCCGAGATGGGATCCACTTGCATGTGCGGTGCAATGAACGGCAGCGGCGCCGTCCCCCGCGCGTACGATGTGTGGTCGCACACCAGGTTTACAATCAACGACGGCTTCCAGTGCGCCACGTAAGTTGTGACGAGGTCGTCGGCTTGTTGGTCGTCCGAGTCGTCAACTTCCGCCGCGGCGGCGTGCAGCAAGTTGCGCCGCTTGGTCTTCTTGGCTCGAGGACGGTACGTGATGAGTTCGACTTGGCGGTACACTGTCGCAGTCGAGTCGAAATCTACAAAGCATGTGGTCAATGGTTGCGACATGGTGCAGGACAAGGAGGCACGATCGTACTGGCATGCCGGGGGTTTGGCGAATGACTCGATCGGGTGAAGAACGCGTGGGCGTACAACGTGGCGTTGTGGTTCAACACGCGGTCGCTCACAGTCACGTTCAGTTGCGTCTTGCGCTCCGGGTCGGCATCGACATAGTCGTACGTCAAGCCGGGCTCGGACCACACTGCCGCGGCCGTGGATGCATCGTCGAAATCAAACTCCACCGACTCGGTCACGTACACGAGCAGGTCCAACGACACGCCCAGAGGAAACAGGTTCGTGTGCGCTGGCAACCGCTTGCCCGATGGCGAGATGGCGGCAAATTTGCGAAACGGGTTGAAATTCGGGTCGAACGATTCCAAGCCAGATCCTAGCTGCGACACCACGGGCGACTCGGGCACATCGTCATCGCCAAGATCAAGCTGAGGCGAGGAACCGGGGTGGATCGCCACGGGCTGTTGGCGCTGCGGCGATTGGTTTGGCTGGTCAGCAGGCTGCGCACCGTTGAAGCTGCCAGTCCACAGGTACGACGTGACCTTGTTGATCCCGTACCACAGCACAACCATGCGGAGAAGACTGAACCATCCCATGCCCCCCTGCTCTTCCGCCGCAGGCGCGACACCGGCAGCAGCTCCATTGGCAGTTGGCGGAGCAGCTTCCACGGCCACCATAGTTCCTTTCGTTTGCGTCGACTTTATCCGGATAAATATCATCCGGATGTCACTCGCTTGCCTCCGGAAACATTTTTCATCAACATGACGCGATCGTCTGTGGTGCTCACTCTACTGGGCGGCTTGGGGGCTGGTATCGGCTTGGGATACGTGGCAGCGTCTAGACTTGTCGCGAAGAAGGTGGCGCAGAAGGTGTTGACCAAGCCTCGCCTGTACATCTATGACCATTGTCCATTCTGTGTTCGCGTGCGAATGATCTTCGCCTTGAAAGAGGTCGACGTGGAGTTGGTGTTCTTGGCCAACCACGACGAAGACACGCCGATTGGCCTTGTGGGGTCCAAGGTCGTGCCGATCTTGGAAACCCCCGACGGAGTTGTGATGCCTGAAAGCATGGACATCGTCCGCTACGTGGATGCCCATTACGGCGGCGCTCCCATCCTGGCGGAAGCCGACCCGACTCGCGAAGATCTCAAGAAGTGGATTCATGACTCGGCGGACGTCATGCGTCGTCTGTATCATCCTCGCTTCCAAGCGGGGTACTTTGCCGAATTTGCCCAATCCACGTCCCGCGCGTATTACAAAGCGAAGAAGGAGAAGAGCATCGGGTCGTTCGCGGTGGCGATTGCGAATTCCCCCGCCTACATCGACGCCCTCAACGGGTACTTGTTGGACTTGGAGGGGCTGCTGAAGACACCGCAGTCGGTCAATGGCACCCTCAGCTACGACGACATCGACCTCTTTGGCCGCCTCCGCGGACTGACAATCGTCAAGGGCGTCGTGTGGCCGGCACGCGTCCGGGCGTACATTGACCACTTGTCCACGGCCACCGATGTGCCTCTTTTGGACTCCATCGCTCGGTTCTAAAGACATTGGTACCAACCCTATTGTACTCAACGTGAATTGTAATACAGTAATCCATGGGACCATATTGGACCAAGTTGCAAGTGTTGACCTGAAACGTCCGCATCCTACTTTATGACCGCAAATTGCGATAACGAAGGTCGATAACGAAGCCATTACTTCATAGTAATGCAGATGGATGGATGGCTGTTGTGGTGGCAACAATGGCGCGAGTCCTGTGGTGATTGGTATCACACTAATTGAAGTCACACACTATTAATAGTTTGACGTTGATGATGGTTTCCTGCAATCTGATTGGCTAAACCCTTCTGCCGATTCTTGTCTTACATTTATTGGTTGTGTCGATTCATTCTCCATGTCGCTCCAGTTTAGAATAAACACAACAATACCACAATTGAACAAAATTCAGTTTGGTGTTTAACGCAACCTTTTCAGACACGAAGGCCTGCAATACAATCCACAGTTTGTGCATTTGCATAACTGGAAGATACTTCCTCTGTCCTTCTTTACTATGACCACTTCAAGATTGCACTTTTCCCACAATACTGCGACCATATTATTGTGATTGGTTGATTTTGAAATACATACATTTCATTGGCTATAAATCTTATCGACTCAAGGACTGCTGGACGAATGAGTTCACGTGAAAGAAAAGCGAAGCAGGACATGTGACGTTCGCCATGAGGGTTCCAGCACGTCTCAATGTATGCTTCTTCAGGTGGGGCAACTTAAAGTTGTTCTCGCCGTGGTGTTCCATTACAAGGCACATCACCGCCTGCAGGGTAAGGAAGATGCTACTCAACTTATCACTACTGAGAACCTCGAAGGCGGACAATGTAGCTTCGATCACATCGTCCATCGACCGACTCACCATCTTGTATTGTAGTGCTTGAATCGATGCGAAAAAGCCGAGGTCACGGACGTTAAGGTCCGGACTATTTGGCGGCTGTCGACGGACCACAAATGTCCACCCATCCGTCGACACAGCAGCCAAGGTGTCTTCATCGATGGACCCATGAAGCGTGGCATTGTCATGCTGCAGCACAACTCGTTTGCTTCTGCTCGGGAATCGCTCCTTGATGGACGGTACGACCATGTTGACGGTATGTCTTTCCATCCACGTTGACCAACACCGTCACCAATGTACCAGCAGGATGATTGCGGGAGTTTCGACGGGCCGGCGTTTTCTCAACAAAGGGCCGAATGCCAAGCTAGGCGAGGACGGACCACGGCCGCCAAGAACATCACTTTTGGTATGAAGCGCTTTGACTTCCAGGCACGACGTTCATGGGCTTCCCCTCTCGTCAATTAAGTATTCCGGCAGTCCTTGTCAGCATTAAAACAATTTTCGTCGAGATGCACCACGTCCCACATGTCGGAGAAGTCAAATTCGGCGGGCCCAGGGGATTCGTCGGGTTCGCAGGATTCGACCGCGCTGGCAGCGTCTCTGGCGCGACTGCTGATGTAATCATTCATGGCATCCAACTGAATGTTTACGTGGGCTCTAGAGAATGTCAGCCGCTCGAATTTGTGGCTATCAGTCAGTAGCGTTTTGAGTCGGTACGATCGACGGTTGATCGTCCCAGACTTCAAGTGGCGGCAAAGAGTGCTTACGGAAATCTTCGTCAAGGATGCCATATGGTGCATGGTGCTGCGATCGCGGGCCGGCACGCTACGAACGATTTCGGTGACCTCAGCCGGGGTGTGGCAAGGTTTCGGTCCGACACGCCCTTTCTTCTTGGATGTCATCGACCCGCTCTTGAAGTCGCGCCATATCTTGCGGACGGTGGCTGCGACCGACTTGACAGCGAATAGCTGTGGCTTGAATGGAACCGTGTGCGAGCTTGCCATTGTGTATGGCATCTTGGAGGCAAATACGACTTCCATATTCATGCCTGGGGTGAGTTCGCGTGTTGACCGTGGGGCTGGGCTCATGGCGGCAAATTCAAAATTGAGGTTTTTATAGACATTTTTTAATAATTTTCTGAGGGCGTTTAGTCTCCATTGGTTTTTACCCCCAAAACCTGGTTTTCACCTCTTATCGCCAATAGGCGCTACCTCTATATTTTGATTGTCGAATTTTCTAGATGTCACTCGTCGAAATCCGATAAAATATGAATTTTTGGTGTCGCTAGAAGTACAAATGGTCACAGTAAAGAAGGACAGAGGAAGTATACTTTTCTAACGTAGATGGCCAGTTTATGGTGCACTCAAATTGGCCAATGGAATTTCTTGATTTCAGGAATAGCCAATCGATATCCGGTAGAAATACGAACTGACCAAAAAGAAGCAAACATAGTATACATATTTTAAGCTAAAGCTTAAACCATGCATCATAAACCGTCACGTCCCACCTACTACGTAGTATTTTGCCTTGATTTGAGTGGAAATCGAAGTAAATGAACGCTAAGATGAAGCGATTCAAGTCGATTAACTGTAAATAAGCAGATGTATGCCCAACCTTTCGGCTTCACGCAGCACTTTTCAGTATTGAAATCCCGGTTCTGAGAGACGAATAAGGTGCATTCTACGACGAGGTCCGTTTTAAGTGCACCATAAATTGGCCATTTACGTTATGGGCCTCTTATTTTTTAGTTCCAGTTAGGGAAATATTCAGTTCCTTGTACCCTACTCGAGTATTTACTTTCCAGGTAGGAGGCTTCCCTAATTACTTACAGTATAGGGAAAAAAGGGGAAAAAATTTCCCTACCCTTATGGGTTTCCGAGGCCTCGCATCGTACTGTAATAATATCGACGACTGCCAGATGGCATTTTAGTAAACCAACTTGTACTCGTAGTACTTTTTAGTAAACAGTTTCAAGATATTCTTTCAAAACTCCACCAATGAAACCGCCTGCAGGGGCACCATCGATGGTTTTAGTCATCGTTTCAGAACCACAAACACTGGTACCTTTCGCCGCGTTTGCGATGACGCACAATCAAAATCGCCGGTTAACACCACATGAGTGTAGGCGGGGTATCCAAGTCGGTGGTCCTAGCAGTGTTGGGGAGCCTGGGGGTCGGCGCCAGCGTGGGCTATAGACTCGCGGCATCTCTGTTGACCAACAAGGCGGCTGCAGTACAAACCACGAAACCGCGAGTGTACATCTACGACCATTGCCCGTTTAGCACCCGCGTGCGCGCCATCTTCGCGTTGAAGGGGGTGGACGTTGAGATTGTGTTTTTGCAAAATCGCGACGAAGCGACCCCCATTGCACTTGTGGGCTCCAAGGTGGTGCCCATTCTCGAAACCCCCGACGGGTTGATCATGAAGGAAAGCATGGACATCGTGCGGTACGTGGACACCCACCTCGGCGGCAAGCCCATTCTGGCCGAATCCGAAGCAGCGTCGCGCGAAGACTTGAAAATGTGGCTTCAAGACTCAGCCGACGTCATGAACCGACTGTACCATCCTCGAGCCGAAGTTGGGTACTTTGCCGAATTCGCCGAGCCGGCGTCGCGAGCGTACTACCGCAAGAAGAAGGAGCCGTCCATTGGGCCGTTCGAACTTGCCATTGCAAACTCCCCCGCGTATGTTGAAACGTTCAACCAGTTCTTGGTCGAGCTGGAAGGACTGCTGAGGACACCGAAGTCGGTCAACGACACGCTCAGCTACGACGACATCGACCTCTTTGGACGGCTACGACGTCTCACGATCGTCAAGAACGTCGTTTGGCCTCCCAAGGTGCGCGCATATATCGATCACTACGAAACTGTCACGGGCGTTTCCCTCCTCGATTCCATCGCCCAGTTTTGAGCTCTGGAGCGACAATTAGAACGGTATATTTTCAAGTAACGTGAAGCAATTGTCAGTATAAAATGATGCCCTGATCGTGTTGAGCTGCAAAGGAGGAGTTATTATACTAACGTGATTGTGTTGGTAGCTACGTATTTTATTTCGAACTTGACGAACTCACGACTTCGGTGGACGATCCACCGAAGTCGTGAGTTCGTCAGGTAAGTTGCCACATACAGTAGTATGGCTGTTTGCAAGCGTTGCATCCACATGTAGATGATCTCGTTATATATCATTCTTGTGTCTAAAAAAGCAAAACCGTGTACTAATAGTGTCCAGAGGGCAGCTATAGCACAGCCACGGGCGTGCTCACGGCAAAGTCGATGGGGGTCAACATTCCCCCAAATCCAGGCGTGTTTGCTTTTGCTTGCCGACGCACCCGGATGACCATCACCACAGCGGCGACAAGCCCGATCGTCGCTGCAGAGACGCCTACGATGGCCCCGGCGCTTGGCCCTTCCTCCGACATTTCTGCCGCCGCAAACCCAATGGGGCTGGTTCCCACCACGGATGGGATGCTGCACGCCCCCGACGGCGTCGAGAACGTGATGGACGTCAAGATCAAGACGTCCGTGGTATTCCCCAGCACCCCCACATGATTGGGGCCGCCAAACGAACGACGGGACGACACCGGTTTCAAGTGCAACGTTGCGTTTGTCCGCGACCACTCGCAGTTCCACGGCTCGTAAATGCCTGTGATGTAGCTGGTTGTGACGGCGGAAGCGGTGGCGTCAACTGTCCACGAATCGTTGTTGGAGGCCTCCGTGATATACACTTGGAGGGCAAATCCTCCTTGCCCTTGCTTCAGTTCGTACGATACTGTTGACGGGTTGCAGTGGGGTAGGCCGCCACCGTAGCCGCTTGATGGAGAAGGACGGGGCGAAGAGGGGGTGATGGGGGGGAGGGTAGTTGTGGCCGTGAGCTGTGTCGCCGTAGCAATAGAGTCGTCAGGACGACGTGTGGAAGTGGGGGTGCTAGTAGTTGATGCACTGGGAGGGTTTGAAGAACTTGGAGATTTTGTGGTGCTCGATGGGTTAGGGTTCTCCTGGCCCACCGTCGTGGAAGTTCTCGTGAACTGTTTTGTGCCATAGAGGGTGCCACTGGTGGGCAACTGATCGAATGACTCGACAAGGACTTCTCCGGACGTGGACGTCGTCCGAATTTGACACGGACCACCTGGTAGTCCGCCTTTGTCTTGGTCAAGAAAGAAGAACGCGTCAATGCCGTTAGTCGTTGGGTCGACCAACGTCACCCAGTCTCGCCCTTGCGCCTTCAGTTCCACGGACCGGATCGGCTGCGCAAAGTTCCGCGGTTGGAGCGCCCACCAAAACGCATTCGAGCCCTCTTTCACGTCGAACTCGAGGCTGCCCTTGACAAACTCGACCGGGCACTCGACAAACTGCCAGTCGATTTTGTAGCGTGCGGGGTCGTGGCCTGTGAGCGCCTTGAAGCCTAACATTGCCATACATTTGTCAACCAACCCACCCACCCACCGACGAATGCATAAAAGGATGACGCGATCATACTCTGAATGGACAAGTCCAAATCCCCTGTCTTGCATTCCGGACACTGGTCCGTGATCGCGACGATGATGGCCGGACGACTTGCACACGCCGGACTCACGCACGCGACGCGCGCACAGCGTCCACATTGCATCTTGTTTCCCCATTGCGGTGCGTTCAACGCAGCAAAGTACGACTGTCCATCCCCCCCGACAGAATTGAATCCGCAATTACCGCCCTGCCACTTGTCCGAGTAGGCAGTGACGTCGCCTGAGAAGCCGTCGGTGGGCGCCAACCCTACCGCCAAGAGCGCCACAGCGCTATGCAACCGACGCATGACCATTCCAAGAATGCGACGCCATCACAGCCATGTTTAAGATTTGACTGCGGGGACGAGGTATTTATAGATGGGACCTGGTGATGTGGAGCTATCTTTAGTTTGGACGGGCGAATGCAATATGGACGGCGAGAGCAACGGGTACTTCTCTGCCTGGCAAGCCACTGGCCTTGCCAGCCATGTTGCACTGACCATAGCCTTAAAATGCTGACATGATCAGCTTCTTATATGGCACACCAGGCTCTGTAGGTCTACCTCCGTGGCAGGAACGTGCCTGCCGAGCCATAATGCACACTAGGCACTCGATATGCACGAACCGTGAAGTACCACTTTGTGCCCATCACCCAGGGTCACACTACGGCTTGCATCATGGTGTCGTCAAACTGACTCGTGCCTGAAGTTCATCACATTTTGATTACATGGTTGCCGCCATTAACACCTGAGTAGACCTCTAGTCCAACATTGCCGATGCCGACAGCGGTACTTGGGATGGTTGGTTAACCGCGCCAGACACGGCAGATTACTCACTTGGGATGACCAAATTCATGGGACCGGGGGTAGGAGGTCCCATGAAAAACGTGTCAAAAATGCGTTTTGGGGGGTCCCAATCCGGAGGGTAGTCGGCTGTTTGATTTCGGTAAAGACTTGGTGCTGTCATTGGCTTCATTACTTCTCCACCTACCCGAGGTTGTCTATAGACTGCATACTCGATGGAGTACAACGTGACATGGGGTGATGGCACCCTAGGCTTGACATTGCGTGCCGAGCTGGGAGATGACATGCCTCCAGTGGTGGGACGGATCACCCGTGAAGGCTCCGCCGCGGCTCTTGCTGGCGTTGCTGTCGGGCACTTGCTTGTGAGCGTTAATGGGGTCGAGACAGCGCGACGAGGATACACTGCTGTCGTACACATTCTCAAGACAATTCCACGACCGTGTGTCCTGCGATTTCGCGTGCCAAAGTCCCTTGCCATCCACAAGAACAATCGCCACAGCGAAGGCACGCGCGCCAACGGCAACAGCGACAACAGGTCGGTACGCACTCTATATCGACAGGCGTCTGCCTACGGCGACGGTCGCGACCATTCCACATGGTCAGAACCATTCGCGTATCCTCGACAGCAGCAGCACGCGTCTTCGTCTCCTCGTGAGAACCGATCCACGTCCAGCCTCTTGGCCACAAACCTAGCATCTCCCGACCCCACTCGCCTTTCGGACCGTACGTCGCAAGGCTCAGACCACCGAAGCTCAAACCAGCGACGATCTGGCGGTAACTCGTTGCCGCCCGCGTTTCCCACTGAGCAACCCACCATGTCTCCATCACACGCCGGCAGTATCACGTCCGACCAGGTGCTGCTGCTGCCGCCGCCGCCTTCGTCCTCTGGCCGTCCAAAACGAGAAATGTACACGGTGGAATGGGTTGAAGGACCGCTTGGCATGATCTTTCGCCCAGACGACATCGACTGCCACATTCCGTGCATTCGCAAGATCACTGGCAAAGGACTCGGGTCGCGCGGAATCGAACGCGCCCGCGTCGGCGACATTCTGCTCGAGATCAACGGTGCCTCGACCAAGGAAATCGGGTTCCGGCAGTCGATTTCCACGCTGAAAAGCCTCGAGAAACCGGCGATCCTCAAGTTCAAGCGCATGCGGCGACGGGTATCTCGCAGTCGCGACAAAGAAGCGGCTTCCGAATCGGGTATGAGGACGGTACCGCCGCCCATCATGGAGGACCAGGAAGAGCCTGCTGCACGTATAGCTTCTCCTGCACCCACGCCGCACCACCCAACCACAGCCCCGTCACCGCTCATCTCGTCCGACACCACCACGTCGTCCATGCAGCACCTTCCATTGTCTGCCAAACTCACGTCCGACGCTGGTATGTACGACATTGTGTGGCGGGAAGGCGAGCTGGGGCTAAAGCTAAAGCCCACAGCCAGCGACGTTCCGATGGTATCGCGGCTGACGGGCAAAGGAAGCGCCAGCGGCCTCCACAACGCGCACGTGGGGGATGTCCTGGTCACAGTCAACGGCAAGTTGGTCGACGAATCGTCGTACACGAGTACACTGCGGCTGCTCAAGCACACGCCCAAGCCCATCATCCTGCGCTTCCGACCCGTGGTGCGGGACATTCACCTTCCTCACCACTCGATGCACCCCGGGGACGCCGCTTCATCTTCGTCGTCGTCCTCCTTTCACAAACGCGACCAGATTCCACTGGACGTGGCCAAACAGTTGGTGGCCACGTCGCAAGGCCTGGATATTATGACAGACGACTTTGCTGGCGTGTCGATGCGGGAGATTGAAGAAGGGTCCAAAGAGGCTAACTACCTCCGCGTAGCCGCCAAGGCGTTTGTGGCCATCCAAGCAGACAAGAAGCGTGGCCAGAAGAAGGCCGAGCTGACGCGCGCCGAGCGCGAAGCGCAGGTGCTGGCCGAAGCGCTGGAACAGCTCAAAGACCAAGCCCGAAAGTACGAAGAGAAGCTGGCCAAGCAAAAGACGGAGCGCATTTTGCTCCCCGCGACCGCCGACAAGTCCAAGGCGGTCATCGCCACGGCCAACTCGCTATTTGCCGAACTCAAATCAAGCGACAAGTTTTTCAGTCGCGACTCGATCGACTTTACACATGTTGAAGTGAACCAAGACCATTTGGACAAAATGCGCGACGACATGCTCAAGGACCTGAGCTCCATCACGTCGTCGGCACCAACGCTCGACAGTGCCCTGGTGATCCCCGCGGCCGCGCAAAAGTGCTGCTTTCAGTGCGCGACGGTCGAAACCACGTTGCTGCCGTTCTACTTGGACGATTCCGACAATCAATGGTACTGCGAAACGTGCTGGGTGCAGTACTATGGTGACCCGATATTGGACCCCGTGATCGTCGTGCAGGAAGACGCGGCGGCTGAAAATGACGTCCCATCTACGCCAGAGGCGGCAGAAGGGGCGGTGGCACCGGTAAAGTCGGGGGGGGGTTCCCGACGCCCGAGCACGCGGGAAGGTTTGTCGTTGCTGAAAGAGATTGAGGAAAAGCAAGCCCGACGAGAAGCCGAGCGAATGATCAAAGAGCTCGAGGAATTGAGGCGGAGTAGCAGTGCCACGGGCAGTAGTGCCAACACTGTAGTTAATGCCATCGCGAGTTCGGAGCGGCTGTCACAGCCGTCGTCGACCGATCGCATGGAGCGAGACAAGCGCGGCAAGGAAGAGCTGGCGCGGCACTTGCAAGCGGCGGAAGCCAAGGCCAAGGCGGACGGCAACGACGCGTTGGCGCGGAAGCTCGAGGCGCAGCGGAAGCGGTCGTTGGTGGACGTGACGTCGTCGTCGATGTTGCTCCGTTCGACGTCGGACGGCGCGATGTCCGTGTCGTCGATTCGAGACAGCAACACATCGCCGACCGCAAAGTCGGACGACGAGATGCATGTGCGAGCGTACGACGAGGACGAAGACACGTACGACGACGAAGAGTACGACCAGGACACGGAACTCCTCCAGAACCGCGAAGACCAGAACTTTGCCATGGCCAAGGAGCTGCAGCGCATGCATGAAGTGGTGCACCAAGCCCACCGCATGAGCATGATGATGCTAGGCGAAGAAGAAGACGAGGACCAAGTGTCAGACTTTACTGGCCTCTCGGAGGATCAAGTCAACTTATTTAAGAAGCTCGCGCTCGAGTCGGACCACCGCGTGTCGCTGGCAACCCAAGAGTACTTTCGCGGAGCAAGCGACGATTCTGATTCCGACTCGGAAGGCGACGACGACGACGACGGCGGCGACGGCGTCTGGATTTAATGTAGATAGACGCAGGCAGGCAGTGTTTATATGCTTTGAAGTATAACGTTATCGTGCTGATAATGCAAGGGGTTTGTCGTATAACAGTTTTACAGTACTTGGAGGTAGTAGTTTATATTGTATGGCTGGGGGGAATGATGCGTTGCAATGAGGACCATGTTTCCGGTCGTAAAGAGGAGATGCAAGTTGCAATGGATGGCTCGTTGTGTGTGTGTGGGGGGGGATCAAAACAACTCGCGAAGTTCCGAGTGGACGTCCACGTCTGGTACTGGTGACCGGACGCTCAGGTACCGCGTGGCCACGTCGGTGGTAAAGTTGATTTCCTCGACGATCACCGTGTCCACGAGCACAAACGGTGGCACCACCGCCGTTCGCTACAAGAGGTCGATCGACCGACATCATGATGAATCCGTCAACACGGTCTGATTGGTCAGAATGTAGGTGCAGTTTTAGTACCCCATAAACGACCTCTTGCTCAATGTCATCGTGTCGATACAGGCCATAGAGGTTGGCGGCGCAAATTCTACATTTTAACGTCCCTATTCCAAGTGGACAAGAGCGTCATGTTGTATGTTTGGATGCCAACACTCAGTATCCCACCCACTCTGTGCGAACGCACCTTTCCGATCAACTCCCAGCGTGACGTCCAGTGGCGGCGGCGGCGGGTCTTGCCGTGGTTTGATCTAACAAGACATGCACAATTGGCGTGCGTTAGTACTAGTTTGGTGATTGTCGTAGCAATACCAGTGGTCTGAATACTTACGAGCAAATCAGGGTGGCCAAATAGTTCCTGGAGGGCAAAGTACGAGTCTGCGCCACTGGTAGGGTTTGGTGAGTGGCGCCGTGGAATTTGATGTGCCTTTATTGTTGTACCTGTGCGTTCGAGAGCAGCTTCGCATGACACGGTCCGACACGTGCAATGACTTTTTGGGCGTTGATATGTACCTAAGTACAGATGGAGCAATTAAGAGTTGATTTTCAGCGGACCTTGGATCGTGATCGTGTACTTCTCCACAATGCGCTTGACAGCGGCAACGAACGCTTCTGTGCGGTGGTCCCCGACAAACTGAACGCCTGATCAAGTCGTACCGGAGATTGAGCCTCGTAACCAAGCGTGCATCTCATACCATTCAATACAATGTCTTCTCGCACAGCATCGCGAAATGCCTGGGCTGTGTCGACGTCGCAACGAGGAGATAGCGGGATACGACGCAAGACGGACGGAGTGTGGCTTGTGCCGCCGAGTACTTCGTGAAAGTCAGCCTTTCGACATGATTGAACCTGGCGTCGAATCGGGTCGGCTAGCGCCGGATCCAACACTGTCGACGATGGTTCGTCGTTATTGCTGCCGCTCGTCGGGCTGTGACGTGGAGACCGAAGGGGTGGGCCCCTCTGCGATCGCATGATGCAATAATGTCTATGGTTGTGTTTGTTTCTACAGTTCGAAAGGCCACGTATGCTGAAACCGCTAGGCGTTACACAAAAAACAAAGCAAGCCCCAAAGGAAGGTGGACGGTCCAACACCAACACACTTTGTTTCGACTATTAAAAGCCGTCAAACAGGTAGTTTTCGGCGCCGTCGTAGTCCATGTCTGAACTTCGAATCCCTTGGTCGCCTTCAAACAAGGACGTGTCATAGCGACCGTTGAGCTGGGGCAAGTACGGCACGGACAGCTCCTGGTCACGCAGCTTGTCCCAGTCGAGCCCTTCAAACCACGGGTGGTTACGGATCTCATGCGAGCCGTTCTGGCCCATCCCGAGGCGTTTCGTGGGGTCGCCGTGAAGCAAGCCCTCGATAAAGCTACACGCGATGGGGTAGTCCACGGTCGACTCGTGCGGAAACTGAACGCAATTGGCCCCCGTGCGCACAAACGCAATGTTCTTGAACAGTTTGGCAATGTCGCCATCGGGCGTTTCAAACGGCGTGTACCCCAAAAACATTTCGTAAATCAAAATCCCAAACGCCCCTACCATCATCAATCATCATCATAGATACCCCCCCCCACGCGGTATAATTGGTAAAGTCCTAGCTAGTTAGTTGCGTACAATAATCCACGGCCAAGTCGTGGCCCGTGTTGAGGACGAACTCGGGGGCCAAGTACTCTTGCGTGCCGCACAGCGTGTAGCTTCGCGCGTGCACTTCGACACGGCCGTGCTCGTCTGTGATTGAGAACGGGATCTTCTTGGCAAACCCCATGTCCACTACCTTGAGGTACCCATTTTCGCTGCAAAGCACACACATTCCACCACAAAATGTGAGTGTGGAGGGGGTGGAGGAGGGGGAGGGGGTGTTGTGTGTTGCTATGAGACCTGAACAAGAGGTTTTCCGGCTTCAAGTCTCGGTACGCAATGTCGCGCTTGTGCATATGCTCTAGCGCCAAGTACACATTTGCGGCAAAGAACTTGATGTCTTCTTCCACGAGCGGTCGGTCAAATATGTTGGTGTGCAGCAGCCCAAACAATTCGCCGCCCTGGACGAGTTCCATGAGCATGTACAAGTAGTTTTGGTCCTAATTCACAGAGGTTTAGACAGCGTTTGTGCATTTCATCTAGAGGGTATATGTATGTATGTGTTCTAGCAAGATCAAATGGACCTGGTATGTAGCATGAAGCTGCACAATGAAAGGGTGATACGGCAAATCCTTCAAGATGGACCGCTCCCGCATGATGTGTTCTTGTTGGTGACACTCGAGCACATGCGATTTGGACACGCACTTGAGCGCAAGGAGGTACTCATGGGCATCCACAAACGCTTGTACCATCGACACCCGGCCAAACGATCCTTCGCCCAACACGCCAATCTATGCTCTCAACCATTCATATTCATTTCAAACGGGCAGTTCAACGGAAGTAGTCCCAGTGATGTAGTAGATACGCTATACAGGACAAGAAAACAATATTTGTTGCACATACATGGACGAGATCGGACAAGTCGAGCAAACTCAGGGGGTTGACATGGATGGCTTTTTGAGATTCTGGGCGGAGGCAGCAGTTGCGGCCACTGGCCAGATCCTGGTTGACAAATGTCTTGGACAGGCGAAAGCAACTCGTGATTTCGTCGCCCGTGCGTACAGTTGAATGGTACGTCGTTCCCCTACGTAATCGATCTAGGTGTGACCATCGACTACACGTTTCATTCAATGTTATAGTCGATTGGGGCATTCGTACTGGAAGACTTCGGCCCCGAAGTAGTCCTTGACGTTGAGGGTCACGGGGTCGACGCCCACAGACGAGCTGCCGTCCGCCCCCGGATGCAACGACACACTCCCCGTCCGGACAATGTAAAAGTACTCGGCCACGTCGCCCGTCGTGAAGATAACGGTGTCGCAGCCAAACTCGACGATCTCAAAGTGGGTCGTCAGGTGCTCCATCTCCTCGTCGACAAGCGCCTTGAATATGTCAAACATGCGCAGGATGCGCTTGAACGCGTTCATTTCCAAGATCGCGTACAACGGCCCGAGCATGCTGTCAAAGTCGGATCGGTGGAGCCGGAGACACTTCACCGACCCCACCGCGCGGACCGTGCAGTTGCGCGGCTGGTCGTTCAGCAGCGACGTTTCTCCAAAGTACTCGCCTTCGCCCAGCCTTGCCACCTAACGTCATCCCGAACGAACGAAATCGTCAATTCGCAAGCAAACACATGGCAAAGCATAGTATGGTCCACCCACCTCGTCGGCGGACGTGGCTTGGATATGCAAATTGCGCTTGGAGCCTATGTCGTAATACGGCTTGGTTTGCACACGAGCGGACAGAAAAACTCAATCTACACCAGTGGCGAGTATACCGTCCATAGTGCACAGCACGGTGCCGGCCGAGACAATGTAGAACGCGTCGCCCATCGCGCCTTGCTTGACGATCACTTCGTCGGGCTCGAACTTGACCACTTCGAACGCTCGGTTGAGCAGGGATAGCTGCCGCGCCGAGAGGCTACTGAAAATCGGCACGTTACGCAACCAGTGCGACCGCTTGGCGAGCGAATCTTCTGACGATTGCGCTTGAATCTAAGCCCAACACCGAGCACGGCATGATAATGGTCAAAGGTGCTTTGGAAATAACAACAAGCACAGCGGGCACGGGCATGACTGGTTATGTACCGTTCGGAATTCATTGCGACCCAACGTCCACAGCGTGCAATCCCGAGTCGCCCGCACCGTCGCCGCTCGAGGGGCTGGCGAGAAACTTGGTGATTAATCCATTTTCAACGACACACAATACTATCGTACCGTCATAGATGAGGGCGAGCTCCCCGAAGTGCCCCGCCGCCTCGACGTCGCCCACATGGACATCATTGACGAGAAACTCGCACGATCCGTGCTCGAGGACTATGCAACAACAACCACGTCTCAGTTTCTTTCGACCGCTTCATTTTCATGTTTAGCCGCGAGATTACCGTAGAACTTGTCGCCGTGGTCGTTTTGTTGGATGACCACATCGCCTGCCCGCACATGCATGTCTGTCATGACGGCTACGACTTTGTCCATTTCGTCGTCGGTTGTGGCTTCGAAGAGCAGCGCTTGGATGTTGTCTCGAAGGAGTTTCATCACGTCTGGAGACTTTGTCGGCTGCTTGACATCGTCCACCCTCGGCACCGTTTGCAAGCCCTGCCACAACAACACATCAAAACCAATTAGAATAGAGGACGAGGCAGTACCAAGCCGGGCGTAAACACGTTGGCGCGTTTGGCTTTTTTGGACTTTTCAGAATTCTGACGCGCCCATGACCCGCGTTTGTAGAGGGCACGCGGCGTGCCAGTGTCGGACTCATGCACGGCCTGCACGTACATCTACCAAGCACATGTTCACGTGGATGGGATCCTACAGCGAGCGATCGGTAGTGTGTGTACTTACCTGCTTCAGCGTTTCAAACATGACTTCGTCGGCGATGTCTTGCGTCACAAGGTCAGAGTACTCGTCTTTGAGGGAATGGAACAGCTTGAGCGACCCCGGCGCTTCCGGCTCAAGCGGACTGGACACGCCGCCACCCATGACGACCCAAAATCGATGCGCAGGAAAACGAGGCACTGGCAGCGTCGGTTACCCCGGTCATGTGTTGTTGGCTACTAGTACTAGTAGCTAATTATAACCGGCTCATGCGAAGCTAATAATACTCTACGCCTGCGACAGAGCAAACACAGTACATAGTACATCCCATACCGGTACAATTGGGTTACATAATTCTGTCGGACGTGAGTTCCAGCTTTACCTTGTCGGTGCGGCATAACTAACTACAACTGAGCCTATACTTGGTTCAAATTATTGGCATGGTCAACACGTGGGATTGGCTTGCGATCCCAGTGTTTGCACTTGGTCACGAAAATGCAAACTCGTGATATTTCAAAGGAATATTACAGTATAACGTTATGACTACTATTAATACAGTATTACATATTAATAAATAACGTTCCTACTATTAATAGTACTACATTTCAATCCGATTCCACCGTTAAAGCAACTACTACTAACAAAGTTAACCTAGCGCCGCCATCCATTAAAGTTATCCGCCATTCACACTGTGCTACGAAACAATTCCCAGTACAAACTGTACATCGCTTGAGCGTGCGACAACTCGTTCCAAAAGCGAGTAAGTTAGTACAAAATACACTGCATAATATTAATGTCCTTGATCTTCTCAATCGAGCGATCGTCATCTACCCCCCTGTGTTGCTGTCGACCCAACACACTCGCTCAACCTGTAAACTCAGTCGTGCCTTTGGGGTGAAGTCCCACCACACGCTCGTTGGACTGTTTAGCAATTCGCGTGCCTATCGTACATATCCGTGACACTTGTCATCGCTTTCGTCAACCTTATAGTATATATATATATATATATATATATATATTTATATATATCGAACCGAATTGAATCGCCTGCTTGGCCAACGCCGTGCAATGTTTTAGTCCCAACTGCCTCGCCACGATCCTCAGAATCAGCTTGTCGCCCACTCCTCTCGGCTGTGCAAAGTCGACCACGTGGTCCAGCGGAAGGCTTCGCAGGTACGCCACGACATCTTCGTCCAGGTACGGGAACCGGGCTTCCCGCCCGTGGTCGGCAATCATGCGGTCATCGCGGCCGAGGTTGCGCTGCCAAATACGTCGCATGTCCTTGTCGAGCTCGGCGCGAAGGCCGTCCCATCCCCCCGTCACATACGCGTGTTTGTGGCGTCCGTAGCCTACAGCATAAGCCGCAATGTCAGTTGAATCGTTGCATATTTTCACATATTCACACACACTCCCCAAAACGATGTGTGTCCAGTTGGCATAGTTAGGCGTACCAGCAACTTGTTCGTCGGCGCCAATGCCAACGAGGAGCACTTTGGCCGGGGACGTGTACGACTCGCCCAGCGTCACGGTGTCGTCGTCAGAAGGAGATGGCAAAGCTTTCAGGCTCGTGACTGGACGACACCCCCTCGGTTGGTCGAGAGGTACAAAAGCCAGCAAACGCTGCAACTTGTCGCCACTAATCCCCATACTTTCCAGCGTTGCAATAGCTGATATGATTTGCTGGGGGTGGGTACTCGTATGCTTCAATGTCATGGCGAGTTTGTGAATTTTGGTACAGCACGGACGACAGAGGTGGCTGTTTAGGGCACATCCGGGGTGGGGCCTCCTGGCGGGACGACAGGTGCGAACCGGACAGAAGCCGGATGTCGACTCGAACAACGCCAACGGCTCCACTACTCCAGGCGGCTCCGACGACGATAGGTCCGTGGGGTCGCTTGTCGGAGGTTCCACGACCAACCTGCCTTCACCTCGCGCCAGAAACCAAAACGCGGTGCCAATATTGAAATCCATGTGGGTTTTGCATGGCTAAAGTGCATTGTTGGTCCATTGATTGGCCTGTCAAACGAAGCACGAGTTGTACCTGCATGAGGGCTAACATGTGTGGCTGGTGCGTGGCAACTTGGTGAGAGGCAATATCAATAGCCACAAAATGCCACTGTCGGGTCGGGAACAGATGCTTCAACTCCGTCCAGCTGGCAGTCGCAGCTCTCCGATCGGGGGAGTTGTGGTCTTTGTCAAAGCAAATGGCCAGCAAGTCGATGGGCTCGGTTGGCAGGACGTGCAAGTGGCAGAGGGCGGCTAGAACCACCGAGTCCAGCCCACCCGAGAACAACACTCCTACCCGCGCAGAGTCGGCATGCCCTTGCGTTGGAATAGACTCGACTCGTTTGGCCACCGCCGCACTGAGCACTTGCAAGAGCCCCTTGGCGGCTAGCATCATGCCGGCATGGTCGCAGAATGGGTCAGTATCGAACGACGTACCCAGCGCTACTACTGATGGCGGTAGCGGTGCAAGGCATCGGGGAGAGGCAACGGATACTACTCGAACAGGCCAAGGATGCAGCCGTGGCAACGCACCCAACATGTTGAGGTCCAGGCTGAACACGCCCGTGCAGGCCACCTCTTTCCACCCGTCACGTTGACTGTTCAGCGCAACCGATGCGAGCAAGAAGTATGACCGCTTGGCATCGTCTGGCGTGTGGACCACCAGACTTCGTCGTCCCAAGCCATCTCGGCCGTAAAACAATGTGTTGGTCGACACATGCAGCCACGCGAACGCAAACGGACCTTGGATGATGCTCAACGCGTCCACGACAAGTGTGGCAGCAACCTCTGCCGAAACGCTGTCGTCGTCGACGGATGCAAGTCGATGGGATACATACTTCGTGTCACTTTCATAGATGGGAATGCTAGCTCCACCAAAGACTTCACCGTTCCATAGCAGCACGTTGCCGTGGCGGTCATGGACTGGCTGTTCGCATAGCTGAGTGCCTCGCAAGTGGAGCACGGCACTGACCATGACAAGTGTTCTGTCGATGGAGGCAACTCTTCTCTCGTAGGTGCCCACGTGGTCAGGTCCTCGTCTGGACACTGCAACCACGGCGGCTGTGGTATGCTCTTGGACGTCGGCACCGACGACTATGGCAATGCCGCACATGCGATTTCGCGGGAAGGATTTGAATAGAAAATGAAGATGACCATTGAAATTCTACATTTATAGTTAATTACAGGTATGGGTAACGTTAGTATTAATAATGTACTATTGTAGTATACCGCTATGTAACTTTTAATGTTATAAATGAAAATCATGAAGGTTACATTAATGCATTTAAGAAACGGCACATAGTTGAAGCGATCGTGGTTAGACGAGCAAGTAACTGGAGGCGGCACCAGTGGTGCGGGCCTTGAGCATGACTTGGGCGACGACAACCACGGCGGCGCCAGCAACGAAGCCAGCCATGGCGAGTACTCCCGTGTTGACTGTTTCCAAGGCCACCATCGAACGCTGGTAGTACGAGTTGCGGTAGCCGTTGTAGCCAGGTTGGGGCTTGGTCACGTAGTCGTAACCAGTTTCCTCCTTTTCAGGTACGTCAATGCATTTGGCGAGTTGGGCGAGCACACACGACTGAGGGAAGCACTTGGTGCTGACAATCGGCACGACAGTGTCCAGTTCCCAGCTACGCTTCAACGTTTTGCACAAGTTCTTGAACGCACTGCTGCTGTCGAGGTAGTGCGAGTGCGTGTGCACGTCATCGGTATCGGCAGGGACGGACAAAGGCGCGCCATCAACGATGAATTCTGCGTCCGTTGTCGCGTGGTCCAACCACGCTTTGTTGTCCTTGTCGGCGGCGAACGCAGCCACTTGGGCGATTTTCGCTTGCTTGTCGCCGTCCTTCAGCCACGTCTTGACCTTTTCACACCACTTGGACGCAAAGGCAATAACGGGGGTCTTGGACGTGGCCGCCTTGTACACTTGTGCACAATGCTGGCCCCATCGGACCCAATACGGGACATCAAACGCTTCCAACGCAGCGTCGACGGACGTGATGTCTTTGGTTTCCAAAACTTGATTGGCGGTAAGTGCGACAGAGTACAGTGCGCCGTTCTGGGACACTGCAGTGTCGGCTTTGGACGTGAGGACCTTTTCGTACACAGCGTCTTCAGTGTCGTACTTGTCGGGGACGGCGATGGGGCGTTCCGGCTTGCTCTTGGGCTCAGAGTACACTCGTTGTGCTTGTTTCGAGTACCGGCTGGTGGGTCGGCTGTACTTGGCATCCCACGCCGCTTGGACTTCGGCCAACACGGTTTCATAGCTCTTACAGCACGCCACGTGTTGTTCCCACTGGGTCAAGTGCGAGCTGCACGACCGAGGTTCAGTCCACGACGCAGTCTTGCAGTACGGAGATGGCACTGTGTGCGTGGTGCCGTCGAACGTGACCGTCGGGTCGCTGAACTTGATCTGCTGGGTCTCGCCGGTTTCCAAAAACTTGATGAAGTGGCCACTCAGTCCTACGCATTTATCGCTTTCGGGAATTGGACGGATGCTCGCGGCAACGACAAACGATTGGTACGCGTCGTCAACTTTGTCGCCGACTGCAAACACAGTCACGGACGGTGTCGCAGGAAGAGCCGCTACAGCTGTGGCCGCGTCGGCAGAGGTGTCGTACTCGGCGCACTTGGCAGTGCCGACGGACGGCTTGACGCACTCGACGTTGGAGTTGGCGACCCGATGACCAATGACATACTTGCCAGACGCGAGCACGTACGGCTTCCACTCGCTAGCCGCGGCTTCGCTCTTCTCGTACGCAGCCTTGGTCGCTTGGTAGAATGCGTCGCACGTCTTGACGATGGGGGCAACTTTGTCCGTTTTCGTGGTTTTCCAATCCGTGTTGGTTTCGGCCGTCCATCCCAGGTCGTTGTCGGTGGGGCTCCAGTCGCCAACGTTGAGGGGCAAATGGAACAGAATCTTGTCCGCGTCCGCGCCCACCACGACGCCCTCCTTGGTCAACCCCACGCTGTGCGCAGGAAGTGTGTTCGTGCACACTTGCACACTCGTGGTGCGCTTGGTGAAGTCGTAGTTGGTGTTGATAAACTCGACGAACTGGGTCTCTTGGTCCTTGACGGCTTCGAGCAAGTCGGAAATCACATGGCCCAGTTGGCTTTCGTGGGACGTGCCAAAGCGCTGCTTCATGTACTTGATCGCTTGGTTGAACGCGAGGTCGCCGTACCGCTTCAAGAAGGACGGCAGGTTCCACCCGTCCGTCGCATCGGCTGCCCACTCGCAGCTGTCGTTGTTAAGCGCCTTGTCCAGGCACTCGGTGTCTTGCTTGCGCAACACCTTGCTCTTGGCCGACTGCGACAAGAAGTTGAAAAAACTCTTGATCACGCAGTCGGCGTGGTTGCGCGTGCTCGCAAGCGCCAACTTCACCGCCGTGAACGTCCACTGGTCGAACTGGGTCGTGATCGACAGCGCCGTGTTTACTTCGCGCAGCATCCTGTTGTACACCAGGAGCGAGTCGGCCAACGCTGCGTCCACGCACGAGTCCGTGGTCGCCTTGAAGTACCCCGTGTCGTACGCACCCGTGGTGGTCGTCGCGAGCTCCGAACACAACCCCGTCACGAATTGAGACGTGCACGACTTGACGCGACGGTCGCCCAAACAATCGTGGCGAGATTGCGACGTGGCAATGCACAATGCGAGGTCGCCTTCGGCCTTGCACAGCTTGAGGTTGTCGTAGAACTGGTTGAACGGCTTCTTCGGGTCCGCCGTAGGCCTGGGCTTGGGGGTGCGCGTTTCCTTGCTGTATCCAGCAGGCGCCTTGGTGCCATAACCCAACATGGCATAACCAGAAATGTCCTTGTCGGCATACCCAGCAGAAGGTTTCTTGGTGCGAGCAGGCTTGCTGCCGTAACCAGAAGGCGCGTCGTTGTCGTCGCCATAACCGGAAATAGGTTTCTTGGTGTGATACGAAGAAGGCTTCCTTGTCGGCTTGCTGCCGTAACCAGAAGGCGCGTCGTTGTCGTCACCATAGCCGGAAGTAGGTTTCTTGGTGTGATACGAAGAAGGCTTCCTTGTCGGCTTGCTGCCGTAGCCAGAAGGTTCGTCAGTGTCGTCACTGTAGCCTCCGTATCCAGATGAAGGCTGGGGGTATTGCGACGGTTGTTGGTTGTAACTGTTGTCTTGAGCAACCACAGTGATGGCCGCAGCCAGGCCAAGCAATGCCACTTTCATTCTTGGTGTCTTGGAATGGCCCGAGGAAGGAAATTGCAGAATGATACATCTTGCCTTTGCGTGCCTTCACGTCAAGCGCGAAACGACTCAAAGAATTGGCACCAATCGTAGGCCACCCAAATTGTTTGAAGCCAATTAAAACTGACCGAGACGAAACCGCTCAACGAAGAGCCGCGATGAAAGGTCGTGTTGGGGATCATTGTGCTGCCATTACTTTATGCACAAACCAAACACATTGCATAGGTACAGCGATGGCCTGATATATTCCAAAAAGTGTCGTAACTATTAGTTATAGGAAGTATTTGATATTCTGCCTACTCGCTTTCCTGGTACGTTGCCGAAATGGTGGAAGGCGACCTTTGGTGGAAGCAACCGTTACACTTCGTAGAGCCACATTCGAAACCGCATATTGTAATAGTGTGAGTGAGAATTAGTTTACAATACGATTTCTACGTGGAATTTACTACAGTAATACTATGTTAGATAGGCGAAGACGGTGACGTGGCAGTCTGAAAGATGATCATTCACCGATTTGTGGCAACTCGCCCAGGTCAAGACTGAGGCTACGATTTTGCAATGGTGTCGACGGGGCTGGTATAACAGTAACGGCCAACACACAGTTTCCACCTGTCTTGAGTTCTTCGTTCGTGCCAAAGAACGGACGCTTGGAGATGGGGGAGTGGACTCGTGGCAGGGCGTCGATGCCGTTGTCGTCTAGGATTTTGTACCACGAACTCTTTCGGCAAGCCATGAGGGTGCCAGCTGCAGTCATGGCAAATATGTGCCACAACGAGTGCTCCTGTAGCCACGACATTAGACTCGTACATGTATGTGCTGGAGCTAGTACAATGTAATACTAACCAGCCAGTACGACGGCCCTCGGTTTAGAAACCAACAAATGAGCCCCGCGGCCCAAAGCAACACCCCGAGGACCAAGAGCGGAACGTGGAAATTTCCACTCAAGAAGAAAAACGAGTAAAGTATGCTAGATCAAGAGCGACCTGTGAGCCACCTACGAAAGCGGAGATACTTACCGTCGAACTTTGGTACTTCGGCCCATCACAACGCGAGCCAAGACGATCTATGGCCACAAATGTAAAACAATTGCTGCATGAATACATGGCGTGTGTACATAAGTTGTCCACGCAATGACAAGCTGACCGCCGCCGAGGCCACCAATGATGAGCCAATTGGTCATGGTGGTAGGGTCGATCGCGATCAAGATGACCAGTAGGGTTAGCCCCACGAATTGCATGATGGCCTAGGGTTTGATGGGTTTAATGCTACCGTGCTAAACTAACCTTATGATGCTAACTAGGATGGGGTAGGTAGGTAGGAGGTACCTTTCGTTTCGGACGCACACCGGAGAGGTGAAAAAGGCAGAGCAGGATCGAGTTGAACGAGAAAATGAAGTCCAATTTCTTTGAAATCGCGTTCAATCAACGTGACGAGAACCGACCGAATCGTACCTGGAGATATGTATATTGCACTACGCACACCCAATTGATGTCGCACGCGTGGTAGAGGCTGGATAGTACCCCCAGCGACAGAAACATAAACGCTTCGACTGTCCAAACGATCTTATACCCTCGACATATATGTATAGATCGGAGTTTGTCTACATACCATAGAAAGATCGCTGGAACGACACGATAGCCGCAGGCAAGATGGCAAAGTTGGACAGAATCAAAAAGTACGACTGTGCTGCGTAATTCTCCAAGTACAAGTGGTCGCAGTAGTCCCCAGCGTAGCCGTAGATGCACTGACATGTGCCAAGTACAAGCCCTTGGTACGTCGTCGACACTTCGCACGCCCCGTGGTCGCCACACATGCCAACGGGGCACGGCGAGCTTTGCAGAACCAGCATGTGTTTCCATGATCTACAACCAGGAACATATCCCATGAGTGTTGTTGCAATTGAATGGGCGAAGCCGAGGCTGTACTGGGTTGGACTGGACCGAACCACGACATTCCACTTCCCCACTTTTGGAAATCGGAGCATCGGCCATGCCACCGTGACCAGCGGTGTCACAGGCTCCTTCATTCGCTCGCGGAGGGCGTTTTCGTTGAAGTCTAGAAATGTCTTGGCGCGTCTGGCTGAAAGTTCCATGGCATGTTGCCCAGACAACTTGTAGTCGTAGATCGCGTCGGTTGGAAGCCCGTCGGCTCGAATCAAGAGCGTCACGTTGGCTAAGTTGATGGTGGTCGTTGACGTAGTGACAAGGTGCATGATCAAGTTGGATCCAGCATAGTTATCACGGATGTGTACAGTGTAGCCCTAATGAGCCAAACGACGTCAACAACTACTACCGACAACTGGCACTACCGCGGCATATGCAAACGATCCAACGTCAATAAGCACTGGCGAATCTGCGAGAAACCACGAGTCCAATACGCTCTGGTTGCGACTCGGGTCGCTGCGCGCTTCGTTCATACGCAGCCAACTTGTATGGCACATGTCCGCGCGGGGGGTTAACGAGCACGATTCCGCCTGCCATGCCAACGTGAAAGCGACGCCAGTGGACCGAAAACATCGCGATGTCTTGGGCGGGGCATCCATGTACACCAACATCCAGTATGTTCTACAACAACGTCAGCAACACAAGAATGACGGCGAGGTCGCGTCTTGCTTTACCCGAGAGTAGGTACGTCTTGCTTGAGTGTGGCGTTCCCGTCCGTCAAGTACCCGGCGCCATCAATGAGGGGAATAGCCGCTGGATCGAGGGGGTTCGCGGGGCTGTCGTACAGGGCCCAGTAGAACACATCGTTTCGTGCGAATGTTTGAGGAATGCTCAACTACACCAGTACATCCAATTCACATAACTATGATGCACGCTAGTCGTGGGTACATACCGTGGTGACGAGACTGAATTGAGGGCTCGTGATTTCAATGGAGAAGAATTGCAAGTTGGAGATGTAATCCATGCATCCGGTGATGGGAACACCTTGCTTGGCTGTGGTGTTGACCACACTTTGTGATGGATACGCAGTGGCTACTCGCTGGGCCGTCGACGCCACTTGGATATTGCAACTGTAGCCTACACACACACTGTTGTCGAAACAACAAATTGAAAAATGCAATTCGCTGTACCAGCTTTGTCGGGGTCGAGGCACCCAATCGAGGTAAAGTCCAAGTAGTACCACACGTTGGTGCTGTTGCCAATGCCAAAGTTGTTGATCGTGCCTGGCAGGTCGCCCCCCCACAGCGCAATATAATACGTCCCCGTCTGTGCTTAGTGGATGAGCCATCACTACCCAGTAAAAGACAATAATGCACCTTCAAGTTTGGAATGCTCTCAGTGAACCAAAAGCTGTCCAATGTCCCGTTGAAGTTCCAGTCGTATGACGTTAACGTTGGAATGGACCCGAGTTTGCCGTACAACATGGGGGCGACCACACGACCTCGCAAGTCGCTGCGTGAAAACGTCACTTGGACCTCCGACACCCCTTTCTCCACTGCCATAAACAACGTGTGTCAGGATGGAAATGTCATGATTTGCATCTTCACCTTGAAAGGACGAATACTCGACGCCATCGCCCGCGACTTTGCCGTACTATACTGGTCTGTCAAGACAATATCCTTGATGTGGACCATTGGTATGTCGTACCACGTGCTCTGTCCACTGCGTGAAGGGCTTGGCCCAGTGGCAGCAGTCCCCCCACAAGGCTAATAGAATTGCCCAGAACAAGGCTACCCGACACATTGACACGATTTTGACAACAGGTTGAGAAGCTACGCTTGCGTCGCAGGTCGTTACGTGGCGTTTCAAAAACGCTTCAACGTTTGACTCACACTTGGTATATTTCCTCTCCGAATGGTTGGACACTTGGGAAGTGACCAGAATCTCTGGAGACAACACGGTAAATTAAGTAGACTTAGTACTACACAATGTACGCTGCGCAGTACACTCGACTAAACGCAGACACTACTGTTGGAAAGCGGCTGCTGGTAGGAGTTTTACACGGGCACGGAATTTAAGCGCGTTCACTCGAAACACAGACTACTGATATGGGATTATTACGTGACGACGTTGGCACGATGCTTGGACTTTATCGGTTGATGCTTCGTACTCCTCCGTACATGAGATATCAGAAACAACCATCCCCTCTGACAACTTGTATTACTCGGAGGCGTCGATGACTTGGGTGGCCACGAGCGAGTGGAAGATGGTGCCATCGCGGTCGAGTTGGTCGTACGTGCCGACTTCAGCGATCGCCCCTTCTTGCAGCACGGCGATGGTGGCGCAGGCTCGGATCGTAGACACGCGGTGGGCGATCACAATCGTTGTCTGGCCAGCCGACACGCGCGAGAGGATGCCCCGTTCGGTGCTGCCTTCCAGCGCCACCGTGGCTTCATCCAAGATGAGTACCTTTGGGCGGGTGAGAAGGGCGCGGGCGAGGGCTAGCCGCTGCTTTTGGCCGCCCGACACGTTCGACTGGGTCACGACAGTGTCGTAGCCTTGTGGAAGCTCCGTGATAAAGTCGTGGACGTGGGCAAGTGCGGCGGCGGCCCGGACGTCGTCGTCGGACGCGGCCGGGTTGGCGTACTTGATGGCTGCGTGGGCAGTTTGGGCGAAAATCGTGGCATCCTATTATGGCGTTCATATATTTACAAACAAAACACTCAATACACGAATGAATCTAGGTGGGAGAAGTAGGAAGTAGGCAGCGTACCTGAGGCACCATGGCGACATGCCGGCGAAGGAATTCCTTGTCGAGGGTAGAGACGTCGATGCCGTCCAACGTGACCCGACCCGACGACGGTTCCAGCAGCCGCGTCATCAATTTAGCGACCGTCGACTTGCCGGCGCCACTCGCCCCCACAAGCGCCACCGTCGAACCGGCTGGGACATGCCACGTCAGGTCTTTAAAAAGGGGTCCGTGGTCGTTGTAGCCAAATGTGACGTGGTTCAATGCAATGGCTCCTTCGATCTCGTCCTTCTTCTCACTGGATGCAGTCACGTCTTCTAGTTGAAGGGTCGTTTCAGCCTTTAGCTGCGACTGGTTGGGGTCCACGAGGTCGAACAACACGGCTGTAGCTTCGTTCGTGGCTCGTACTTTCGACCCGAGGGTGGACAGCTGTGCAAACCCTAGACACATGAATCCGCTGTACATCATGAACGACGTCAGTTCTCCGGTCGTGAGGCCGCCACTGCCGACGATTGACCCACCGACCCACAACACACTGGAAAGTGACAAGTTGATGGACAGCGACAGCCCGCCCATGTAAAAGCCTTCAACCGCTTTGGCTCGACGGCCTGCCTTGGCCACCGTGGCCGTTTGTTGGACGAACGACCGGAGCTCCGTCGTTTCTTGAGTGCACAGCTTTACGGTTTCAATTCCACCCAACCGCTCGTCGGCGGATGCGCGAAGGGCGGCAAGGGTCGCGTCATACTGCCGCTCCAAGCCCTTGAGGTATAAGCGCATGGTCATGGCACCTGCCCCGAGGAAGGGCAGGACGGAGAGGGACACGAGGGTGAGGGTGGGCGACAGCCGGAACAGCATAATGCTAGCCCCAATAGACGAGTTCAAAGATCGATAGCCGTCTGCGATGATGTTAACGACGGCGTCGGCGGCGGTTTGGCACTCGTGGGTAAGTCGATGAACTAGCTCGGTGCGCTCCGACTGCGCAAAGAACAACATGTCTTTGGTGATGTAAGCTGCATACACGCGATCGCGGAGTCGCTTGGCAGTGGATTCCGCGACAGAGCCAAGGCAGTATACGCGGACGAAGGAAGCCGTGGCGCCAGACACGAATATGGACAGGATCGTTAAGAAGAACGCCTTGTGTGACATGTTTCGCGGCGGAGGCCGACCACATGCGACGTCCAGCGCTGCCCCTAGGACTTTGGGGAACAGCAGGTTTGTAAGGGACGAGACTGACAGGCCGACGATGCCGCTACACAAGGTTGGCCATTCCAACCAGATCAAGTCCAAGAGACACCGCACATTACTGCGCGAAGTTAGATGACGGTCAGTCTTGGTCAAAACGGTTGAGTCTGAGCTGGACTTGGCTTCGCCGTTGGCTTCTCTGAGCCGGCGTCGCAGGTAGAGTGGACGCCACGGAGTCATCCACCTTCGGCTCAAAAATGATGGGGCTCGCCGGATAAATTGCGAAGGTGCAGCATATTGCAAATCTGAAGAAATAGATGAAAGTGAAATGACATTTCATTATTTACTGTTAATTTCGATTTGATTACCGGATACTGCTTGACCAAAGTACGGATAACGACAGCTCATTTGCGCGACCTCCACCAAGTTCGACACATGTTGGCGTCCTTCATTCGGCGGACACAGCGCCATGCACCGCTTAGGCCGTGCTTCTCTTCGATTGCATCCAATGAACCATATCGGCGAGGGAACACTTGGCCTTCGTTGACACTGTCGGAAGAGGCAAAGGTTATGAAGGAGCTCGACGCTATCAAAACCAATTTGGAAAGTACACCGACTGCGGTGTCGGTCGACTACTGGCGCGACGTGGGCAGAACTTTGGGAAAGTGTCGGTCCAGCGACCTCCTCGAGGCTGCCCGTCCACTTGTGACCAAGACCAGCCTCTTAGCGTCGCCCGTTGGCGTCGTCCACAACGAAATGATTCGCATCTTGTTGAATCTTGGCCTGCTGGATGACGTCATTGCGATGGCCAAGTCGGGCGCGTTGCCGCTGACGAGCCGCACTGTGTCTCGTATCCTTGGGGCATGCGTCCGTGAGTCTAACAAAGACAAGTTCGTGCAGGGCTTCGAACTCTTTGACTTGGCCTGTACTCAGCAGCAACAAGTGCCGCACATGTCCACCTTCCATTCGCTCTTCATCCTGTGCGCCAAAAGCAACGACCAAGCCCGATTGGCGCAAGTCAAGCGATACATGCAACAACATAATGTCGCGATGGATGCCGTGTGTCATGGCATCTGCCTTCGCATGGACTGCCGCGCCGGCAACGTGACCGAGGCCATTGCTCGGTACCACCAGTTGACTAGAGACGGCATGACGCTGCCCGTGAACCACTTGAATGATTTTCTGGACGACTTGACCGAATCCGATCATTACGACGACGCGGTGCAAATCTTTGAAACCGCGCAAACCAACATGCCCATCAAACCGTGGGGCAAGGCGCCACCTCTCGACGAAACAGCCGGTCGATTGCCTCTGAATGTCATTTCGTACAACATTATGATCAAGTTGTGCGGCAAGGAGCATCGGATGGACGAAGCGTTCAAGTGGTACGAGGCCATGAAGGCCACGGGCCTCAAACCATCGACGGTCACAATCAACACGATGCTGCACGGCGTATTTCATGGCCAGTTCCGGACGGTTAACGCGGCCGCCATCTACTCGGGACTTGCGGGGCTAGGGGCCATCGTCGCCACGGCCTTGTACTCGTCCGACTTGTCGGAGTCGACCGGCGCCATTGGCATCACGTCGGCGGTCGCCGCGTCCATGGCCGTGGGCATCTACGTAAACCCGTTCGGCGTCAAGAAAGCCATCTACCCCAATGAATCTGGCCAGCGCGAGCCCATCCCCCAAGCAATTCTGCGACGTCTGGACGAGGAAGAACACATTGGTCGGTTGATGTTTCTCTGGCAGGAACTGCTCGGATACGGCCTAACTCCAGACCTCGCCACGTTTGACATCCTCGTGCGCACGTGCGTCCGCAAACGACATCCGGAACTAGCTGCCACCGTGCTACTAGACGCGACCAACCCGAACTCGATCGTGTCCCGCCGCAAGGCCAAAGGACCATCGTACCACTTTGAGCTCAGCCTTGCCACGACCGTGCAGCTGCTGCAGGCGCTGGTAGCCCAGAATTTGTTGCCCCTCTTTGACCAAGTGTTTACGTTGGCCAACGGAACCCACCGCTTCCAAGACATCACAAAGCGGGTGCCAGAAAAAGGGGGACGGGGAGGTATCCGGTATACCCTTGGTGTGTTCCAGACCCCCAAGGCCACCGCCCTCGCCCTTGTGAAGCTCTTGAACCCACACATGAAGCACTCGATGCCGTCGCAGCCGATTTCGTTCGAGGTGCAAAACTCGCATGCTGTGCTGGACGTGCTCGATGCCATGTATCCTGCCACAAGGGCGCTGTTTGTGATGGAAGACGTGCAAGGGGCTGGCCATGGTCTGGGCGTGCTACCTTTGAACCGTCAGCGCCTCCAAGCGCATTTCAAGTCTCGACACCGATGATCCGTCGCCCTCGTAGTACTGCGATAGGTGTAGACGCCATTCTATTCTTAGACAACCAACAATCGATCTTGCTTTGGAATATATCGTCACAACCAAATACATACTATGCACGATGGCCACGCCCAGTAGTGGCGTTCAGGTGAGTTGTCGCTTCAGAACTTGCACAGACGTCGACGCCCAGGCAGGAGCAGTCGCGTGCGTCGAGTTTCCCGACCCATATACGGTGCTGCTGTCCCAAGCCAAAGGACACCATACCACAAGACATTCGTCGTTCGCGCGAGTGTTTTCCGGCGAATCGACACAGGACCAAGTGTATGAGCACGTGGGGGCCCCCGTCGTGGACGAGCTCTTGCAAGGGTACAACTATACGATCTTGGCGTATGGGCAAACTGGTATGACGGCGTCGTAAACGTGGCCGTTCGTTCCAATGTCTTGAATACGTAGGCAGCGGCAAAACGCACACAATTCTAGGCTCCAAGGCCGATCCGGGCATATTACCCCGCCTAGTCGAACGTATGTTTGATGCGACGGCAGTGTTGGCTCGAGGTACGACTACCATAACGACCGCTACAGTATTTACAACAACACTTTGCACTGACATGGAATGTTGCAGACGAAGCCATTGTTGTGAGCACTAGCTGCTTTGAAGTGTACCAGGAACGAATTGGCGACTTGTTGACCCCCTCGAACGTTAGTTTGCGGGTTCGCGAAGACAAGTACGATCATTTTGCCAAACAATGCAGAAGTGCATGGAATAAACTTGACGTGGTAGCGATAAAGGCATTTGGGTCGAAGGGGCGACGGACATGGTCGTGCGTACGACGGCAGCGGCAATGAAAGCCATCCACCGGGGCATTTCGAATCGATCGACGGGGAGCCACCTCATGAACGCCGCGTCGAGCCGCAGCCATTGCATCTTTGTCTTGACAATTACCCGACCGACGGCGTCGGGGCTTAAACAAACCGGTTCGGCACATGACCAAAATACACTAGCGATGCTATGCGAATCGTAGGCAAGTTGTTTGTCGTCGACTTGGCCGGGTCTGAAGTCGTGCGCAAGACGGCAGCCACGGGGAAGCGCTTGGACGAAGCCAAGTACATCAACAAGGTACTTGGCAACTTAGTTGTGTCTCTGATGCTATTTTTGTATGCATGGTGCACAAAGTCGTTGACAGCGCTGGGGTTGGTGATCAATGCGCTCACCGACGGCAAATCCAAGCACATTCCGTATCGCGACAGCAAACTCACACGATTATTACAAGTGCGCTAAAGTCCATCATCCTACCTACGATCAAATACAATGCAGCAATTCACGCATCTTTTGGTCGTAGAATTCCCTCGGTGGAAATGCCAAAACGCATTTGGTCCTCACGTGTTCTAGCAGCAGCGACAACCTTGTACGCCTCAGCTATGATGTTCTATTTGTTGACCTCGTTTTGGTCTATCGTAGGAAGAAACGCTGTCGACCATTCGCTTTGGATCCCGCGCCCAACACATTCAAAATGCACCGCATGTGAATGCCGAAAAGAGCACGTCCGACTACAAGCAACTTGTGGCCGACATGGAGCGTAAAGTGGAGGCGTTGTCGAAGTACATTGCCCAGCTCACGACGTCCCCCGCAACCCCAACGATCTGCGACAGGTGTCAACAGTGCCTCCACCTAACCCACCAGGAGATGTCAATCGCCCCGATACCACCATTAATGACACAAGACGACGACGCCCCTTCGGCCTGTGCAAAGTGCCATTCCACCAGTGCCCGCTTGATTCTATGCGATGGAAACTGCGGCCTCTATTGGCATCGGGCATGTGTGGTTGGGCATGACGACGAGGATAACGATGCGATTAACCACCTCGAATTCTACTGTCCATCATGTCAACTTGGTTTGGTCACGGGGGACCATTCATCGGTGCAAGTCGAAATCACGAGGTTGAAGCAATCTTTGCACTTGATGAAACAAGAGCGGGACGACGCCGCGCAACGCGCCACTGTGGACAAGCACTTGTTTGACTTTGCCGACCAGAAAAAGAGCGACATCCACCGGTATGCAATTCACTCTAGTCAAGTTGAACCATCCTGGCAACATGGTGCAGTCTGTGACAATGTCAATCTTATCTTCCTGCGTGTGGTTAGCCAGCTCGAGAGTACGATCGCGAGCCAGGACCAGCGCATCCAAGGCCTGCTGCAGCAACAGGAACTCTGGCAGCGCCAAGTCCAAGACGCGAACCAGCGATGCCAAGCAACACAACACGAATTGGCTGCCGTGCAACGGTCGAATCAGCTCGCGACCGACCAGAACCAAGCTGAACTGGACATTGTCCGGCGGGCACTCGAGTCGTACGAGCGCGATCATCAACAGCTCCAAGGTCAAGTCCATGACCTGCAAAAACGGCTGGCAGGTAGGCTCCTCTCCACAAGGCTTTATAAACATGTTGATGTGGACATATAGCCTCCGACGCGAGGTCCCAGGAACACCTAGACCAACTCGAGGAATGCCGCGCTATCCTCGCCCGCAAAGACGAAGACCCCAGTCGCCTCCACCGCGGTGTCAGTCACTCGCAGTCGTTCCCCATGCTCGTAAAACCGGCGCTGTCCCCTCCCAAACTGCCCTTGCGTCCTGTCACAGTCTTTGGCTGCAGTAGCAGCATCGACGACCCGCGCCTGCAGCTTCAATCCCGAGGCAACATTCAGCAATGGTGGTCCGGTCCTCAAGATGTTTCCGTTGTGGCTACGCCTGTTTGTACCAAAGTACCGCACGACGAACAACTGGTACATCACAACAATTTGGCCGAAGACGTTGTTCCGTCAGGTACTGCCTATGCGATGTAGTTCCGACCATGATCGAATGGATGGATAGTATAGACGATAAATATGGTTGGTAGGCGACACCAAGACGCCGTTCAAAGCAAGGTTGGTCGGGCTGTTGGCGTCGCTGCAAGAAGAAACCGATGCGTTCAAGGACCTAGGGGACAAGATCAACCAGGAACACACGAGGCAAAAGACAAGGCAGAAGACCCGACGCACAAGGCGGCTTCTACCCGACTTGCAAACATCTGATGAATTCAGCGACTCTGTCACAGGACCACAACGATGATTCTATCCGTCTCAACCACCACCCATGATAATATTATGGTGGATGCTTCGTAAAGAAGTCATAACGAAATTATCTACAAAAGGCAAACTAAATTAACACAACTATAATGCTACTTGGTGGATGGATTTCCGCCGGACTATGCTGGGCGGTCGCAAGTCGGTTGACTTGCCGTTGCCTGGCACCGTTTCCAGCACCGACACTTTGCCGCTCAACGTCCGCTTCTTGAGCTCTTCCCGAGCCGACACGACTCTGTATTTGTGGTTCGGGCCAGTCGTGTAGCGCAAGTAGAGGCGGCCGACGTGGGGAATTTTTCCCTGCACCCAACTCAGGGGCAATTCCCACCCAAACAGGTTGTTGTACGTTTCGTCGACCCAGTTTTCCCCGGGTTCAATGTCCCCCAACTGCGCCAAAATCAGCGCCATTTGGTGATCTTCCCACACTGTCAAGTTGAGCGTATAGTCCTATCGAACAACATACAATCATGTATCTCTGTGAACGCTTTTCGTTGTAATCAAGCAATGTTGGGAGGATGTGACCCCTAGCCAATGCCGCACCATCTCAGCGTACGCGGGGTTCCAGATATTTAGCCATCCCACTCGATGCACCAGCGACGTCACTTCGCTTGGCGCCCACGACGCCCGCACTCGCGTAAACAAGTCCCCGAGGTCCAACACATGGTTGAGCATCGTCACGACGCAGTCCACCCGACCTTGGTCCACGTCCCGAAAGCACTCGGCAAGCTCCAAGACTTGTGTGGCTGTGACGCCGACATGGCCCAGTCCAAACATTCGCTTCATCTCTTCACACATACATATATACACATACACCCCATAAACGTCATTACTACGTCCAACCAACTAAACATGAATAAAGGTAGAAGGGGTACCTGCTCGACGGGCTTCGTACGTTTCATGCGTTACGGCTTTGGGCGGCGGTAGCGCCACGGTCACGGAAAACGTGTGCGATGGCTTGGCGGTTTGCGCTCGATGCATGTCAGAGCGAGAGGGCAACGATTGGGGGCTTGAAGCGCCCGCTTGTCTGCACACGGTTTCAAACAGCTATACGCATCAAATAGCGTCCTTGCATGTCCCCTTGCATGCTCGATGGCATTGGATTTGACAGTACCTCGGGCGAAATCGTGGGGGTGGCCAGGGGCAGCCGCGACGTCACGACAAAGTCGAATGCAAACAGGCCCTTTTCCGGCAGCCCAAATGACCGGTTGAACGCGTAGCGGTCACCGTCGAGTGTTTCATTGCGAAAGCATTCCCAGTTGCCGGTCTGGCTCGTGTTGGCACCGTCGTGTTGCTTGTTGTAGAGCTTGTCGTCGCCGGAAATGCGAAACAGTTGCGAAGCAATGCGTTGGTCGATGGCCGAGGACAGGTCCAGCGCGTACGCGCCATTGGGCATGCTGCCGTCGAAGTAGAGCAACTTGCCGGCACACTGATTGAGAAACGATTGGTGTTTGGTCGGCAGCTGGGGTTTGGACGCCCACGCCAAGAGGTTTTCCGTGTCCGACACCTTTTGCAGCAGCCTACGAGGGTCATAGTTAAAATCGTCCACAAATGTTTGCATTCAAAGGAACGTCAAATTGACCCACGTACAAATGGACGAGATCAGTGTGGGAATCGATGGACGTGACCGTCGTGAGGAAATGACGCGCTTGGGCGGCCGTCACGTAGTGGTCGTTCAAGTACATTTTGATGTACTTGACGCGATCCGAGTCGAACTCGAGCGTCGAGTATATATTCCAAAACACCGTCACAGCGTCTACATCGCCACAACACCCATCACAGGGAAATCAGCTTTGATTGTTCCCCCCATATTAAAATAATGCAGACAAAATAATCCGATGGGGGGAAAATACATACCTAGGTCGGTGGCGACGGGGTTGTGGACCTTGGTGTGATATTTGAAGTCAAACGACAACGTGCCCGTGAGGGGGACATGCCAGGGCGTCGAGTGCGACGCCAGCGCCATCAAATGCACCATCAAGGGGGCTCCTCCTCCCCCCGTGGAGGTAGTGGTGGCCATCGGATTCTCCTCGGCAACGGACGGCGCGCCCACCGCGAGACGATGGAACGTCAAGTGTTTGGCATCCAAGGGCGTGGTGTGCACGACATTTTCAAACTCGCATGCGCTCGGATACAAGTTGACAAGCCGGAGCACTTCGAGCGCGCGCCAAAACGTGTGGACGTTGTCCATGTCAATCACATGGTGCCCGCCTAGACACAATTGAACATTCTTTCAAAGCATGCATGAAACGATAAACAGCAAACTAGTGTACAGTACTGCAACTGTTGGGGTCAAACACAGGGTCGTTGTGGTGCAACGTGCACGAATCGAACTGGATCATGCGACCCTGGGTCTTTGTCGCAGGGTTGCTGTACGCCCGAAAGATGGACCGCAGCCCTTCCGTGCCAATGGGGTTCTGGTCCAAAATTAAGATCTCCAGCACACTCGACTCGGCCCACATGTTTGCGAGGGCCAGCGTAGCGTCGGTCGTGATGGAATTCCCCGTGAGGTCGAGTTTTTGAAGGTACCCGTTGTTTCGCAATGCATGGGCGAGGCGGTGGGCGCCGTCGCCGTGGCCAATCCCGTTCCAGCTCAGGAGCAAGTTCTGGAGACACTGGTTTTGCTGCAGCGCCTCGGCGAGACCGGCCGCCCCCTTGGATCGAAAACTGTTCCAACTTAAGTCGAGGGTGGTCAAGTTGGAGTTGTCTTTGCAAATGGTCGCGAGGGCGGTGGCACACACGTCGTCTAGCTTGTTCTTGCTGATGTCGAGTACCGTCAGCGACGGATTCTTGGCCAGCGGTTCCTCCACGCACTTGATAAAGTCCGAGTGGAGACTACAATCACAAGACAAAATGTCAGCAGATTGGAAGAAGCGGGACGATTTTTTGTACTCGCAATCGGACAAGACTAACGTCTGCACCACCCGATTCTGGTTTAGAAACGTGTGGATGGCATGCGTGCTACGCTGGCGGATGCGGTTTCTGGTCAAGTTGAGGGTCAGCAGGCGCGTAAAGTCTGAGCTCTGCAGTATGTTGACGATCGCGGCGTCCGAGAGGCGATTCTCTTTGACCACTAGCGTCTGCAGCTTTGGAATGGACCCCAAACTACAACCAAACAGCACCACTGGGTCAGGACAAACATGCTAAAACACGATTCCTAGTCACCAGGACGACAGCGCATCCATGGGTTTGCTTCCAGTGCCGTAGTACGACAAGTCGATGCCGTTTGCTTCTCGCTTGGGAATGATCAATGGCTCTGGCGTGACCTCCATCTTGAAGCACGTGTGAATGTACTTTTCAGCGCATAGCATGTTGTCCAAGTTGACATGTTCCTAGGGCAGCCTTACGACCAACATTCCCGTGTCGTTGGTACGAACCATGTCCGCGGCGTCGACTTTCACGGGTGATCGAGACTCGTCGGGTTGCTGGGAAGATGGGGCAATAACGTTACTGTCGTGATTGGTGTTTCGAACTTGCGCCATAAACTGCACTTTGCCTCCCTGGAAACGATGCAACCATAGTGTGCTTAATGGGCATTCCAAGGGGAAAAAGTACCCAGCCATAGTTGTTTTTGACATCTTTGATGTTCCACCCATTGTGACGGGGGGTCTTAGGGATGTTGATTGCTACGCCAGTCGTTATTATTTGACACAGCTAGCATCCAAGCGCGAATATCATTCTCAATATATACAAACCTTTGCCTGCTTTGTTCGTGATCATGGTCGTAACGTGGGCTATGTACGTGTCGTCCTCTTCAGGCATACCAAACTTATTCGTTGCCGAATCGATATCCTCGTCCAAGTTCAACGGACTGACCGATGGTTTCCGCCGCGGCCGCTCGGGTTCGGGCACAAACAAGCGATGGAATGTCTACGAAATCAGACCCCATTGAATGAACGAGTACGTCATGTGAAGAGATAGATGCCTTGATCGCTTGTCGAGTTTCGGCCCTGGGGGTATAACGATGGGGAGACGGAAGGGACACCGAGATTCGCTGACTGCTGCTGCCCTGATTCAGTAGTTTCGAAGGCTGCTTTGTAAGGCGTCTACAGCCCCAGACATGTGAGGTCAGCCTTCGACATGATCCTCATTATGAAGAATGGATTACAAGGTCGTTTGAAAGGTCTCGTCAGTCGTCGGGTCGACGTTCAAGAGGATATTGATCTCTTTTTGAATCGACGCATGGGCAATGTTGAACTTTAGATTCGGCAACACAGACGTAGCCTCTCGCGACCGATCCTTCCGAGGCGATGGAGTCGTCGCAGGTCGATAGGGTGTGCCCGCCTTTTTCATGTCATCCTGCACTTTGCACTACGCAGTACCAAAATAGACGGCTTGGAAATATATATTATTGCTGTGATGAAACAATTGAATTTTGCCGTTTCATAAGAATTCGGGAAATATCACTTTGTTTCAGTTGGTGTGGAAAACGTCCATTAAACCACGAAGATACAGTAACGTTAGTACATATAATACAGTGACTTTTGTTTGCTATAACGCTACCGTCTAAGGTTACCAGGGTGAATGCCATTTGAGGATGCCCTTGGCAAGTGTTAGGGTAATATGTGCAAGCTGTTGTTTGTGCCTCATCTTAGCACATTAGCCATTTATTGCGATACAATTCCAACGAGATGAATAACGTCCCAACGCATCATGTTATCCGCTTCGTTTTCACTTTCGATTTTGGTTTGGGATGGTCTGAAGTCCGTGCAGGCTCGAGAACATTGGCCGGGATGTGTCGCACGTTGTATGGGTATTTGGCGCCGAGAATCCCTTCTTCCGGGTGCACATGCGTTGACGCTTTGCCGAACGTGGTGCGAAATGGCCCCCCCATCCATCGAAGTTTGCTCTTCTATCATTGTTCCAAGAGTCACATGTGTACTCACTCATATATATGAATGTACACCAGCCTACCTCGCCTTCGACAACATGCTTCTCGAACATCCCCACGTATGGTGCATCGTTCACGACCGAGTAGTACGTCCCCCCCAATGCTGCTGTCTTTTCCATCTTTTGGAATCGTTGGTACGCGCAGTACGGCTTGTGGGGGTCACCCACTCGACACACTTTGATTCTAGATGCCTTTGCTTTCGGCGGCATGAATTTCATATCGCCGCTTGGATGGTTGTTCGCGACGGGGGGGATTGGGGTCGCAGGATCATGCTTCTTTTCAGGGGAACCATCGGTCCGTTCAGTTTGATTGTCCGTGGTGTTGTTGTCTGTCCTTAGGCGATTGACTTGACCAAGTTTGGCCACCATCGTGGGCGTCGCGGAGTGGGGGCGGGGCTTGGCTTTAACAGTAGATGACGCGGCCGACAACGGGCGGCACTTTTTCGGGGAAGTTTTGCCATGGGTCGTAGAGTCCAACCTCGGGGGCGGGGCGGGGGGCTCAAAGTTGGCTGACAAGCCTATACAAACAACAACCACGTCATTCATTCATAAATGAGAGGTGAAACGATGTCTCACTAGCTATGTGTTTGGGGGGGCCTGCGCCCCCGCTTGACGACAACATCCCAGACACCGACGACATGTAGCTACGATCGACGTGCTCATGCAGTTTGATCTGGTCAAACTTGGACACGACAAAGTTCTCGAGAATCGTGCTACGATTCGTATACGAGTTACACCACAACGATGATGTTTTGTTGGAGTGGCGTACGCTGTTTCCGGGTACTCGTTAGATATGGAGAAGTGAGCACACAGGGCGTTGCCAAACTCGATCAGGAGCGGGCCACGGGGGCTATCCACCACCACCGTGTACCTATGCATAAGCTATTAACATAGGATGTCGAAGGTGGTATTTCGATCGTACTTGTTGCCACTGGTACATGTAATGCGCTCGTCCAGATCCCATTTGCTGGTACAATTCACAATGAATTGCCCATGTCGGAGGCCTTTGAGGTACACATGATTTTGCATTTCGAGTCGGCCACAGCACTTCAAGTCGGCTAGACGGGACAAGCACGGCGTCAAGTGGTCGAGCTTCCCATCCCGCCTTCGAGTGCCAGCCCTGGCCGAGTTGGGTCGAGCTCCGAAATCTCGATCTCGATCGCTGCTATGCAGCACGAGCCCCGTGTTTCCTACCATAGATAGCTCCATCGTGATGATACTAATTCAATCATGCATGATGACAGATTTCACAAGTCCCTTGGCCGTAGATATATCATCGCATGATATATTGGTTTTGAGAAAGCAGTGCAAACTCGACTTTTGGTTACTTCACTACCATCCACAGAACATACCCTTGGGCTCCCACTCCAAGCGGCCGGCGTTATACGCATAGTAGTCGCCCGTGTCGCTATCCAGGACCACGGCGTGTGGTTGAAAATCTAATGGTTTTTCATAGGCTAGGTAATGCAATGCCAATGATAGGGGGGGATACCGTCGTCGACGGGGGCTGGCATCGACTGGACATTCTTTAGGGGGGCGCCCCGGCCGTTCCCGTTGAGAGCGTGAATCATTTCGCCTCCCGTGGAGCATAAATACGCCAAGACGGACGCTGCAAAGTTGGCTCCAAAGAGGCACTTGCCGGTCATCATGCACATTTTGACCAAAGTGCACACCTAGATGCAGGTCTCGTACAAACCCGCGACAAGAAGCAGCAGCGAAACGAACGTTATACCTTTTTGTAGCCAGGATGCCACGGCGGAATGGTACAGTCGCCGTCGAGAAAGACGAAGTCGAGCCCGTCAAAGTGGGTGATCGCCGCTGGGTCGGCGTTGCCCGTGTGCAGTTCAAAGATGTACTCGGACAAGTCACTCCGGTGTTTTTCCTAGCCATTAAGTCATTTCATTGAACGACATTGTGCCACGACAACTTGGTGGAATACATACCACAATGGTGATGCCGGTGACGTCGAGCTTTGCAATCGAACGTAGGGCGTGCATCACAAGCTGTTTGAAGTGAAGGTACCGCTCGTGACTGCCATTGGCAAAACCATTTACAATAAGGATCTTCATGGCTATGATACCCCGCTAATGTTACACCTTTTCGTTCGCGATGGGTGGCGTGTTGACAAGGCAATAGAAAGGCACCCAAAAATAGTGTCTACGGTTACAACATTGGCACTTTGCCACAATCGAGTGCAAGTATTCCAGTCGCGACAGATGCAAACGGAAAGTTCACAGTGCGCGTACGCGGGGTGGCCTGAGTGCTTTGGCAACCCCCTGGAGCGAGCTAGCCATGCCGACCACTCCAAGCGACTGCTTCTGAAGCCCCCGCTCCTCCCCCCGACCATGCAAGACCATTCTCACGTGAAACGGATCTTGCAAATCCGACCCCCCCTTGCGCCACAGAGTCAAGCATACCTGGTGCCGTGTGCCTCGTTCCACAGCAGTGTTCTTATAACGATGGGGACTAAGTAGGCAACGCCACCGGCCTGTGCGTTTTCGATCCATTGCAAACGCACCCTGGCCACCCGCAAGTGTTATCACTGCGCCAAGTAACGTTTTCTTCTCCCCTGTTTCCCCCCTGGAATACAAAACGCAAGTACTTCGCTTTGTCTTTGTAGATTCGATGTACAGCGAACAGGGTATTACTGCGACGAGTGCTTTGTCGCTCGGCACCCCCCCTTGCGTCTGACTCATTCGTGGACGTTTTTGAAAGGTCTGTCACCATCATCGCTGTGAATTCTCATGTTTTTCACTCATACCTCACGCCTTTACTTTGCAGACGAACGAGACTCAAAAGCAGATTGGATCAAACACCTCACACAGTACAACACATAGCGTCATATCGCCAGGTTACTTGTAAGCAACTACGGACACGTAGGCTGAAACTCGAGCAAGATTTTCACGAACTTCGTGGCATGCTCGACCAAACGAGCTCGTTCCTGGATACGGCCGCAAAGGCCGGTGCGTCCCACCACCCAACGGAGACAAAGGTGAAGAAAGCCATCGAAGACATCTCGACCATCGATTCTGGGATCCGGTAAGGCTATTCCCCCGACATTTCACGTTATGACATAACACGTTTTGATTGCAGGACACTTATGGGACGCGTCAAGAAGTCGCTCAAGTGCAAGCACCTCACGCGCGCCGACGCCGTGCGCAAGATTCAGGACATGTGGAAAGTGCGCAAGGCACGGAAACATTTCAAGGCGCTACTTCGCAGCATTTACAAACGCATGGAGGACCCCGTCACGGGAAAAGTGTAAGGCTACGCCTAATGTTGTACATACGTTGTACTTAACACCAAGTACTTTCGTTGATACTCACTAGAAAATAGTATTGTGTATTTGTTTTACTAGTCAGGCTGTGATGTGAATGCACTGTAGCCACGACTGACTTGTGAGGTATTATTGTAGGTACTACTTTAACACACTGACGGAGATGGCCCAGTGGGACAAGCCCCTGGGGCTTGGTTCCGACGACTATGCTGCGAATAAGACGAAGAAGAAGGCAATCATGACACGGGTGTGGACACAAAGCGATGCCGCCGAGTTCATTCAACGAGCATACCGGCGTCGACAAGCCACGGCCACCGTCCGTCAACTGATTCATAAACTGTACCGTAAAGTCAAAGACCCTGCTTCAGGTGATTTATGTTGGGTTTAGCCATTATTGTACATGTTGCTCGTGCAGCAGTTAGCAGCTATACGGCGCGACTCTGTACGGACTGAGTATAGTATATTATTGTGTAGGCATGTACTATTACTACAACAAGCAGACGGGGGAAGTCAGCTGGACAAAACCCAAGCTATTGGGCCAACACGGCGACATCGCTGTTGAGAGCACCGCGAAACACCACGCTCGAGCTACAGTCAAAGCAGACCCGCCCAATGAAATCGACGCCGCGCAGCGCATTCAGCGCATGTTTCGATGCGGCATGGCTAGGCGGCAAATGCACGGGATGATTTCCCACGTATACGTCAAGATCTGGGACGACACTCGAGCGCAATTTTACTTTTACAACACCTCTACGAAAACCGTGAGCTGGGCCAAGCCAAAATGGGTCGACGAAGACGACTTGATGTCCCCTCGCACACATCAAGCCTTCCTTCTCCAAGAAAAGGTTGACGCTATTCGCAATGGTCCACCAGATGCCGCGGTCCAGTACCTCCAGCGGCTCATCAGGCGGCGTCAGGCGCGGCGGAGGCTGCAGGTGATGCTCGCCGAGGTGTATGAGATGGTGCTGGACGAAGCTACGGGAGAGTACTTCTACCATAACAAGAAGACCGGCAACGTTACGTGGACTAAACCTCCGCTGATTTAAAAATGATCGAGTCTTCAACTTAAACGAGCCAATCATATTAGCGGATTTCAGGTTATTTAAATATGTTTTTCGCCCTTGAGAAAAAGCATTTATTCAATGTCAATACATAATAACGCGACGTGAAAAAAGCGTTTTTTTCACTTGGTATTGTTTTAAATTATCCGCTGGTGATAATACTAGTAAGCACTACTACCGTACTTACTGGGTTGGGGTTGATTTTGACAACCAAAGATTTCAACCATGTTCCGCCGAGTTCCGAAGCCGGCGGTACTCCTCCCGCTGCGCTCCATGCTTGCATCCTCGTACAGCTCCACGGCTGGTAAAGTTATTCGATGCAAAGCAGCTGTGGCGTGGAAACCCAACGCGCCGTTGTCTGTGGAAACGATCGAGGTGGCGCCACCGAAAGCAGGGGAGGTGCGAGTGAAGGTGATTGCCAACGCGCTGTGCCACACCGACTTGTACACGTTGAACGGAGAAGACCCGGAAGGTTTGTTTCCTTGCATCTTGGGCCATGAAGCAGGGGCCATCGTGGAGAGCGTGGGGCCAGGTGTGACGTCCGTGCAACCAGGCGACCACGTCATCCCATGCTACACACCCGAGTGCCAAAAGCCCGAGTGCATCTTTTGCGAATCGCCCAAGACCAACTTGTGTCCCGAGATCCGAGCTACCCAGGGCAAAGGTACATACGTACAGTACTCGATTTCTATTGCACGCCTCGGTGGACATGTCATTATGTGCAGGGGTGATGCCTGACGGAACCTCCCGCTTCTCGATCAATGGACAGCCGTTGTATCACTTTATGGGGTGTTCGACGTTCTCGGAGTATTCTGTGATCGCTGAAATCTCCGCCGCCAAGATCGACCCGTCCGCGCCGTTGGACACGATGTGCTTGTTTGGGTGTGGCATCTCCACTGGCTTTGGTAACCTAGGACTCAATATAACGAACTGACGATCTTGACGAGTACTGTAGGCGCCGTGTTCAACACGACAAAAGTCGAACCAGGTAGCTCCGTGGCCGTGTTTGGCATTGGCGCCGTGGGGTTGGCCGTGATCCAGGCCGCCAAGCAAGCCGGCGCGAGTCGCATCTTCGCCATCGACCCCAACCCCACCAAGTTTCGCATGGCCACGCAGTTGGGGGCCACCGATTGCATCGGTGAGTGCATTCTCTCTCATCTGTACCATCCTTCCGTCCATCTGTCGTCGGTCGCAGAGTCCTGTATTTGGTGGTGGGAACGCCTGGGTACACTTACTTCTTGTTTCGTAGACCCGACGGCGTCCGACACGCCGATTCAGCAAATCCTAGTGGAAACAACCAAGTGGGGCGTCGACTACACGTATGACTGCACCGGCAACACCGAGGTAGGTTTCCATTTCGAGTGCTTCTATGTGATACTGCGTTTTATGTGATACTGCTGCGTTTTATGGGATACTGTGTTTTATGTAATACTACTGCGTTTTATGTGATACTACTGAGTTTTATGGGATACTGTGTTTTATGTGATACTACTGCGTTTTATGGGATACTGTGTTTTATGTGATATTGAGTTTTATGTGATATTGTCTTTTATGTGATACTGCGTTTTATGTGATACTGCGTTTTATGTGATACGGTGGTGTATGTAGGTGATGCGGGCAGCGTTGGAAGCATCCCATCGAGGATGGGGCGAGAGTTGTGTGATTGGCGTCGCAGCGGCCGGCCACGAGATTCAGACGAGACCGTTTCAATTGATTACTGGTAAGAAATATATATATATATTTATGAGATTGTATTTTAATCGGAATATACAAAGGTCGAACGTGGAAAGGCACGGCGTTTGGCGGGTACAAGAGCCGTACGCAAGTCCCTCAACTGGTCAAGCAGTCAATGGAAGGCAAACTGCCCATCGGTATGTTGTTTAGCACGAATACTACGTATTGGGCTTTATATATATATATATATTTATTTCTTGTAGACCATTTTATCACGCACAAATTCCAAGGCGTGGATGCGATTAACGACGCCATCAAAGCGTTGAAGAGCGGCAATTGTTTGCGAGCGGTCGTGACCTACTAGGGACATTGAAGTTTGAACGTGGGAGATGTGAGAGCAGTATATATTAATAGCTGGCTATAGAACGAACATTGACACCTGAATATATTGATCAAGGTGATGGGCAAAGAACGGAGGGAGCCCATACATACTGTATATATAGGGCTCAAACTTCTTCCTGTACAAGATTTGTCCTGAAGACTGCAACACCTCTACTGTCATGAGAAGTGGGGCACTACCAGGAGTACTACTACTACTAGTCGTACAGTACCCGGTGTGTGTACTTCTACTGGAACCGTCGATAGTGTCAAGTGTTGTGGCACATTCGTTGCCATGTACTATGGAGCCCAAAAGCTTCATATTTCGGTTAGATTAGAGTACCAAGTATACGTACTACGGAGTATGTTCTCGGTATCATTCCAGGGCCGAGGAACCCGCTCGGATGGCGGCGTTCGCGTTCCCTCGCCTTCTTTGACCAGTTCCACGCGAACTGACTGTATATACGGAGGAGCATTGGCATTATGGTATGAGCAGGCAGTAGGGATTGGCCATATTTTCACATTATAAGGAAAACGCACAAAAATCTCGAATTACATGTTAATGTTTTGGTAGAGTTTGAGTCCTTTCTATCCAAAATGAACTGGGATTGCTAAATATTTCGTCCTTTTTCGCTAAATGGACAAAGCGCAGTGATAAAACCGCTGCGTTACAACAGGAATAACGCAATATACGAAAAAAGGTTAAAGCGATTTAACCTGGCTTTCATTGGGTCAATCAATCCTAGTTTCAGTGTTTAACGTTTCGTTTTATGGTTTGACGTATATGTCACGGGTTTGTAATATAGGAGCGGCGGAGGATCTCATATGGCCAATGCAAACATTGGCACCAACGTTCAGGCACATTTGCACACTGCGCTCGCGTAGTACACCGTTTGCCTATCTCTGCGTGATCGAACTCCCACACTCGTTCAACCTATGAAGCTCCTCCACCCCTCCCTTCTCGCAGTCGCGTCCTTGGCATCCGTCACGACCGCCGCAGACACGATCAGTGTCCTCGGTGCAGGCGTGTTCACGATCAAGGACGGACGCACGCCGTGTTCTGGCAGTAACACGGACATCATTGGTGCTTGCCCTGAGTCGCAAAATGGCCTTCAGTTCGGTTCGTGCTGCGTCGAGATCCCTGGTCGGTCCTCAGTTGTCATGGGGTGCGCACCCCTGCAGTCCGCGGCCGACTCGTGCGCGAACGTCGCTGCCCGCTTGAACGCCCAAAAGGCAGCACAACCCACAGACGCACCAGCCACCACCGCCAAGAATCCGTCAGTGACACTCGAACCGAGCCTCCTGACCACGTTGTCTCCATCGACCAAAACGGAAGCCCCGACCCAGAACACTGCTCCTACGTTGCCAGCCTCGTTGGTCATAGAAACCACCTCCGCCGCACCTGTCGCCGCCACCACAACCACAGCCGCGCCCAAGGCTGCTGACGAGATAGCTCTCCAGCAATCGCCCATGAGCGATGCCGCCGATTCGTCGACCGCTCTGAGCGACACGACGTTCAGCAATGCCAACTCGATCCTCGTCGGTGCGTCTATCATTGGCGTGGCCGTCGCGGTGATTGGCGGTGTTCTCTTTGTGCGGAAGAACAAAGATCGCTCTTCCAACGTCGCGGCGTCCCCTTCGACGCCCCCCCAGCCGGCCAGCATGGCGGCCGTCGCTGCGTTCCCACAAGAAACCCCGTACAACGACGACGACTTTCTCACACCCAAGGACGACCTCGTGTGTCTTTAATGGCTTTAACAAACCGTTCCATGCCCGTTCAGCGAAGAACTACTGGTGTCGCCCCGTTGCCATGGCCTTAGCGTAACGTTGCCGGTACAGTAGTGTGTAATATGTTTTCTGTCCACCAAAGTGGCAACACGATCTTCCTTACACACACACCCATCGTCCTTCATTGCAACTGCACTCTACATACATATACGCATCGCACCGAAGTCCTTCATGGCGCCGTCGGTGTCTTCGACTGTAACGATATAGGGACAAGACCACCATTTATTTCCCTCCACAATTGTACCCCTCCAATTTTCATTTTATTTGGGCTTGGTGAATACAAAACGAAAGATAATACAAACAATGAATCTTATGTATGTTTCCGGATAGTACTCGTTTTGGCGCGAGAGGGATCATCCGGATACCCCACCAGTGTGTTGTTGAGCATATTCGCTTAGATTTTGCCACCAAACGATGACCCAGCTGACGCCGAATGCCGTGCCGACGCTGCACAACCGCCAGAACCCCGACGGCTTTGAGCCGTGGGTGCAAGTGATTGACTTGAAGAAGATCGTGTCGGCCTCAGGGAAGGGAGGGGATCGATATCGCTTGGTGCTGTCGGATGGCCAATACTACATGAGTGGAATGTTATCGACCCAACTCTCCTCGGTAAGCAAGATACACCCACTTGGTTGTGCATGAATGTGGGTTCTTATATGTGTCTAGACGCTGGAGGATGGTAGTTTGGCGGTGAACTACTTCATTCGCCTCAAGGACTACGTTGGGAACACAGTGCAAAACCGAAAGTAGGTCCCATCCGCCGCACTTACCACCCTCGCTCTTTTATCGACATGACGCTGATGTGACCGTTAGGATATTGATTGTTTTGGGGATCGCAGACATTCAACCTGGATACGAACGTGTCGGTGCACCAGAAAGCATTGACAAGGCAGGTGGCGCTCCCGCCGCCGCCCCGGTGACAACAACCCACCACCACGCACCCGCGCCATCATTATATCAAGCCCCGCCTGCCCCCGCGTATCAGGCAGCCGCTCCTCAGTCCACCTACCTCCCGCACCAAAGCACAGCGCCGCAAGCAGCCGCTCCCCGCAACCCGTACCAAAAGACGACGACCCCAGTCAAGAATCACGCGCCCGTCGTCCGCGAAGACCCTGGCATCCGCGTGTCGGACATTGCATCGTTGAACCCGTACTCTGGCGGACGCTGGACCATCAAGGCGCGGGTGACGGCGCGCTCGCCCGTAAAGAACTGGACCAACGCCCGGGGGCAAGGCAAGCTGTGCAGCGTCGACTTGTTGGACGCCAAGGGCGGCGAGATTCGCGCGACCTTGTTCAACGACGCCGTGGATGCGTTCTACGATCGGTTGATTCCGAACGGCATTTTCTACTTCTCGGGGGGCAAGATCAAGATGGCGAACCGCAAGTTCTCGGCCATCAACAACGACTACGAAGTCACATTCGACACGTCGTCCGACATTGTGGCCGCGCCGGACGATCATGCGATCCAAGCGGTCTCGTACAACTTTAAACCTGTACGTTTGTACCTTTTCCGTGCGTGTAGCCACTGTATAGCCATTGTATAGCCGACCTTTAGCCACTGTATAGCCATTGTATAGCCGACCTGTAGCCACTGTATAGCCATTGTATAGCCGGCCACTGTGTAGCCATTGTATAGCCGCTCTTATCCTTGGTGATTGTTATTAGATTGCCTCGATCGAGTCGTTGCCAGTGGATTCCACCATCGACTTGATTGGCATCGTGAAAACTGTCGGGCCGTGCACAGAGCTCACGTCGAAAGCCGGCAAGCAACTGCAAAAGCGAGATTTTACCATGGTTGACGACACCCTCGCGGAAATCAAAGTGACCGTGTGGAGCGAACGCGCGACCGATCCCGCGTGCGACGGCTGGGCTAACCAGGTGCTGGCAATCAAGGGATGCCGAATCAGCGACTACAGCGGGCGCACACTGGGCACATTTTCGTCCACGAGCTTTGTGACGAATCCAGCACTGCCAGAAGCGGCCCGGCTGCTGTCATGGTACAGCGCGGGTGGTGCGTCCACGAGCACCAAGTCGCTCAGCAGCGGCGGCAGCGGCGTCGGCGGCGGCATGGGGCCGTTTGACCAACGCTCTAGCATTGCTGACATCAAGGACAAGCGGTTGGGGTATGGCCAAAAGCCCGACTACATCACCGTGAAAGGCACGGTGAGCTTTATCAAGCACGACACGGGCGTGTGGTACCAAGCGTGCGTCAAGTGCCAGAAAAAGGTGGTGCCCGACGCTGCGCAGAATTTCAACTGCGAAAAGTGCCAGACTGTGTACGCCAGCTGCGAGAACCGATACATTTTGTCCATGGTGATTCAAGATGCGTCGGGGTCGTCGTGGACGTCGTGCTTTAACGACCAAGGCAAGATCGTGATGCAGGGCAAGTCGGCGGACGAACTCGCCGAGCTCAAAGACACCAACATGGGGCTGTTTGAAGGCAGTTTCAAGCAAGCGCAGTTCAGACCGTACCTGTTCCGCATGCGATGCAAAGCCGAGCCGCTCAACGACGAAGTGCGCGTGAAGGCGCAAATTGTCAACTTGGAAGCCCTCAACTACGTGACCGAGTCGACCGAGTTACTCGACGCGATTGCCAAATTGGCGTAAAGTACACGGACAAGTGGTGTTTTGTATACCAGCTCAAGATCGTGACGAATTGCCATCAAATATATATATATATATATATATGAATTCGCAGGCATGTTGGCATAGGAAATGGAGTTGGGCGTTCATCCTACTCGTACGAGGTGGACGAAAGCTATGTGAGCAGAATCGGATGACGATTAAAGAACTGTCTAAGCCAATCAAATCACGTTCGTGCCGAATATCTACCAATCCAAACTTTTGATTCGTCCGCATTGAGCAAAACCATGTATATACTAATATTTGTATCGTATAGTTTGTACAAGCTTAAATGGGATGAAATGAGTCCAACTTGGCACAATATTACGGCAAGGTAGTATTAATAAGTACTACGTAGTACTATATTGCACAGTTGGAGCAGTAGTATAGTACTACCGTAGTATTGTCCTTTTACCCAATATTTGGACTACTTTTGTGCGGATTCTTTGCCAAATCTATCGATCGATTCTTTGTACTGACTTTTACATGTAAACATCCCGTCCTGTATCACACGAATTTCAATCACACACTAATTCGATGTTGAATTATTCGAAGAGTGGATTTGATTGGCTAGTTGATTCATGTTTTGTGATTTGATTGGTCGATTTTCGATTGTCTGCCGATTTGGTGCTGCTCATTCGATTGAGCACCCAAACACTCCAATTTGAATCGAATGAACAATATTCAAAGTGTACTTCGATCAGTATTCGTGGTATATGGACTGTTGTTGCCGATCACCCTGGGAACCGCCTCCTCGTTGGAGAAGTCAAGTCTGGCAGTCCTTGTTGCAGCGCTGTGTACGCTTTCTGCGCGTGCGCCGCCGCCCGCCTTGCTCGCTCTGCTTTCTTCAAGCTCTTGTCTAGATACACTCTTGCGCGGACACTAGTCGGCGGCATATTCGATGATGATGATTGAATGGTTGGCGTTGGGGGGGTGTGCCACGTGGACGGGACGTTGGGTTGGTACTGCCGAAGTTTGGCCTACAATACGCTCATATAGAGTGATGATCTTGCATACTAGTAATATAAATACATTGTTGTCAAATCCGTTCCAACTTGCTTGTCGAATGAAACTGTCAAATGTAGTTTAGAATGCCCTAGCCAATCAAAAGTGCAGTAACGAGAAATTTCAACCAATCATCAATAGTGTAACTTGGCCTAGGCAATAATTGTGAAGAAGCTTATTAATAACTGTAAAATCATATACAGTCAACTCGATTCTCGAACCTACTCGCAAGTCTCCAAATTTCAGCGAAACGGACAATAGTACGTACCTTGACATCAGGGTCGACGGGGTTTAGTAGTTGGGCTTGCTTGTAATCTTGAAATGCCAAGTCATTTTGCTACCATTGTAAAGGTTAAACTGAACCTCTTCTCTTCTCTGGATAAGTACATACTTCCAGGTATCGGTAGCAGTCGCCGCGTCGCACGTAATAGTGGTAAACACTTGCGTTGTGTCGCAGGGCAAGGCTAAACTCGACTTCGGCCTTGTCAAATGCGCCGCGATTAAACTGCTCAAGGCCGAAATGGTAGCGAATCACGGCCACCCGCGTATGAATGTCCGCGTCCATCGGCTGTACCTCCAACGCACTGTTGTAGTCTGCCAACGCCTGCAACCACCACCACCTTTGAAGCCATCTCTCTATATGTATATTCTTGCTATTTCCATTTCCATGCAAACATTAATCACTGTATAAAAGAAGAAAAAAAATAGCCAATTCCATATATTAGTAGTATCGTACCGCTTGGTTCTTGGACAAGGCGCGGTAGCAGTCGCCGCGGTTGACGTAAAAACGATAGTCGATCGCCCGGCCGTCAAAGCGAGATGCGGTCGCGACCTCGGACGCAATCGCCTGGTCGCAGCAGTAAAATAAATGTATTGATAATAGCACGACTTTCGCAAAAAAGAGCGAATATTCGCATGAATTTCCCAAAACCACATGCCACAGAAAATTTGATGTCAAATAATATTCGTTTTCAAATGGGAAGTGAGAAAATATATTCAAAATATTTTGATGTGACCTCTGGATGCCATGATCAAATTTAGAACTATTGATAGAATACGTATCGTGTTGGTAAGAAAAATAGATGGACTGTTGCAGTTGAAACGTTTTTCGGTCAGAAAACAAAGTCGTCAACGTATTGTGCTTTCGAGTGAAATGTCGTGTTGTGGTTTCTCGTTGGAATTTAAATCGATTTGATTGGCTTCCTCAGTTGAGCTAAAAATTATTAACCAATCAAAATCTTCTAAATGATATTCAACCAATCAGATCGATTGTGGATCGGTTTGGTTGGCGCGATTTGTATCAAATCGAGTCACTTTATATACATGTCAGATTTGGTACTCAAACCCAACAAGTTCTTTAGTAATATTTTCTAGCGACTGTACCATGTTCATGGCATTGAGGGCGGCGTCGAAATGGCCTCTTTGGATCTCAGCCACGGCGATATCTATTCCAGTCGTACGTATCCTCGATATGGATTCAGGATGCAGGGATGATATAAGGATACCGTTCAAAATCAAATTCCGCTGGCGGGTGATTTCCGGATGCTCGCCAATGTGAGAAATCGGCGGCCCAAATGCACTGCTTTGCGAGTCGAATAACTCCTGCACGTGTTCGTCCAGCTCGTCTGGATCACTCGTGTGGGGATGATCGCTTTGTCGTTGCTTTCGGAAACACGCCTGCGACGCGCGCTCGACGTCGGCCATAGCGGCGTCGTAGTCGCCCTACTCGTCACGTCAGCATTGAACCCACCCTAGAGACATGGAGAACCAGTTCCCGGTGCACCGACGCCCGGAGGACGAGGATTTTAACGTCGTCCGCGTTGAATTCAATGCACGAATTCAAACAATCCAAGCTCTTGGCGAACTCGCGGTTCATGATGTGCCGGCATGCTAAATCGTGCAAGTGCTGCGACTGGTACCACATTTTCTTTTCAAAGTCCAACACCTAACCACGATGGTGAGGACATTTGACACAAGTGACATTGTGGGCCTACCTCGGGGTGGTTTGGGTTGAGTTTGAAGGCCCGGGCAATGTCGTTGTTGCCCTTGTCGATCAATTTGAGTTTCCAGTTCAATTTCGCCCGCAACACGAGGATGTCGGCGTCGTTTGCGTCAATGCAAATGGCGTGATCAATGTCCTTAAGGGCCTTGGTCCAATTCTCGAGCCCAATATACGCCAAGCATCTACATGCTCCAGTCATGCCGTGCATGTTGTCATGGGAAAGTGTAGTACCGATGCAACCAGTAGTTGGCCTGCAGAGCGTCCAATGCTACGGCGTCCGTGAGGTACACAATCGCGGTCGTGTACTCCTTCTCAATCAAGTACGAATACCCCTGCAGCCGTCAAGCGTGAATGGCATTGCAATGTAAAGGAACAAGATAAACCATACTTGCGCATTGAACACTTCGGCGATCTCTTCTTTGATGGCTTGCGGGGGATTGCTCTGCATGGACAGAAGTTTCTTGTAGTTGGAAATGGCAGACTAAGCGACTGTTTAGACAGACTGGGATTAGGAAGAAGGTGGTATGTACCTTGAAGTCACACAGTTTAGTGTACGCGTTGCCCCGGGCAGAGTACAATGTGCAGTCGTCGGGATTAACAAAGCAAGCTTTGTTATAGCACATGATGGCCTTGTCAAACTTGCCTTGTCTCGCCCACATGTCCCCTTCCGCCTTCTTGCAAATGCCATCTTCCTGAAAGATCGTTCGATTCTCCGCACCTTGCTTCGGCTCCATCATCGCCAAACACGGGAGAGCGTGAAACCATTTCACGTAACCAGTAAATTACTAGTACTACTAGGCAAAACAGTAGTAACTATTAAAGTAGCCATATCCTGTTGTACTGTACAGTAGTACAGTATAGGTTTTAACTGTAATTATTTATGCAAACCTGTACAACAGTATAAAACGGCCGTAAAACGCAATCAGATTTCGTATATACGCTTGCCCAACTGAAGTACTGTACTGTAGGTACTTCGAAGTACTTAACAGTATAAGTAAACTAGTATCCAAAGGATTGTTCAGTACTGTAGCCATACTGCACTCATTTTTTCTAGTGTTGATTGTTCACCCGTCTCGTCGTGCCACTGAATTCTTCTTCAATTGCGCTGAACGAGGTTCATAACGTTAAGCTGCTTACTGCAGTTGGCCACTTATCAATCGTGCCTTCACCAACCAGCGTTTCCATAACATGTGATTCTAATGTCGGCCCTCGCGGAGGAATGTCTTAAAATGATAATCCAAACTCAATAACCAATGGAGACAGACATCCATTGACATCACGTGCATGTCTCCATCACCACAAAGCCATGCACAACTGACCTCACAACCAAGTACAACGTACGTACAATGTACAGTGTACGTACGTTCACTTCCTTTTCTAAAGAATGTACTTGTACTTATTCGTACCAAACAGTACATTCTCGAACACCACACAGTGGCACATGCTTTTGTTCGCTGCAGGAGGAGCGACGATTACATAAACGACACTAATAACCATCTGATGCATTGTTCATTGCTTTCTGGTCGTGGAGCAAACAAATTGTGAGTTGCTGAGTACGATTAGAACTGTTTGACTAAATTTTCAATCTGATTTAAAGTATACTTTGGCAACCGTCCTGTACTTGGGTTTGGCGACAAAAGATCGCCACTTGTCGAAGGGTCAGCGTATTTTAATGTCTGGACGACGCATCCTGATACAAAAATCAAGTGTAGGAAAGCCTAATCCAATAAAAATCCACTTCGAGTCGGTGGCGCCATTTTCCATTGCAGGTACAACGTCGCAGACCACACAACGTCAATGAACTCATGCATGACCATTGTAGTATTCTCGCTGTGATACTCGCCGCCTCCACGAATCATCATCATGCTCGTACAAAGTGTCCATGTCATCAAGTTCGTCAACACAGTCGAAAAGGGCAAGAAGGCAACCATTTACGTGGCCGAGGTCGACGACGGGCATAAGACGTGGACGGTCGACATTCGATACAGCAAGTTTCATGAATTCCATCATGCCGTACGTTGATATGCGTGCGACGTGTAAGGTTCTAGCACTCATGATTCAGTGCTGTGCGTAGTTGATGAAGACCGACCGAAATGTCGTGGGCAAGCTCCCATTCCCCAACAAGGACTTGTTCTCAAACCAGTCGCCCAACCACCGACAGAAGGAGCTCAACAAGTTTGTGTCGCAGTTGCTTCCGCTGTTCCAATCTCTGTCCATGGCCGCGCAGATTGCTTTCTTTGAGCTGATGGAAGTGCCGAAACACGAATTCCACGCGACGTTAGTCGACACCAAGGACACTTCCCAGCCTCAAACGACAGTCGACGTGCCCGAGAAACGAGTGTCCAAACAGAGCATTTCATCCACGACAACTACAGAATTGGACGACGACAACCAGCGCGAATCGTTGTCCGACCTCTCGGTGCAACATATTGTAGAACCGTTGTCCCCAGTGGCGTCCTCGCGATCAGCTGCCTCCCCTCGTCACGATCCATCAGAAGCCGAAACTGTGGACATCCCTAACAACTCGAACGAATTGCTTCAAGTGGCTGTCCATCATGTCGACGCTGTCAGTGAACGCATCCACGACGTCCAAGGTGACCCTTCCACCGAAGACGACGTATCCAGCTCCACCAACGACACAGAAGTCCTCACAGAAACTGTAGAAGCATCAGGATCGATTGCCTCTGTCGAACCTCCCACAAGGTCATTGCTCTTCTTGGCCGTGGAAACCATCCCATCGACTACGCCCGAGCGATCGCTCCATGCATGGGAGGCTTCCTCTCAAGGGAAAAAGGCAGCAGTCCATCTGTGCCGTTACATCATTGCAAGGACGTTCCGCGTACTGTACCCGTCCTTGTTCATGGAATCGTAGCTGGTCCATATATTGTACATAATAACGTTATATAATATATATTGTCGATTTCTTTAAATTTCCCAATATTCCATGGTTCGTACAAACCAAGCAGTGTTATCTGATTGGCTAATATCCATAATCATAGCCAATCAGCGACAAGTAACGTCGGATTGACCAATGGGATAGTTTGGTGCTCGTACAGTACCTGAAATTCACACCGAATCTCCAATATATTAATAAGCCATGAACGATGTTCGAGTTCCATGGCGATCCACAACCTTGATGGAGAGGAAGGTAACGACATTGCGCAGTCACCATTTGCCGATGGGACGAGAATTCTGTAAAGTACTTATTCATGCAGACAACAAGCATATACATGTTCATCGCTACCCAAGCGTCGGAAGTCAAAAGCACACAAGACCGTTCGATGTCGGAATTCCATGTTGACAGTGAGGAGTCCATCGCGCTGTCCGAAGTACTGTCAGCGCGATTGGACTCAACGTTAGATTCCGAGAACAAGCCCAAGCTACCTATGTACGTACGCACCACTGGCATATACCTCCTGGACAAAGGCGCCTACATACATGTAGCGTCGGCTTGAGCGTGGAATCCCATGTACGTAGGATCCCAGAAACGATACAAGAATGCACCTAGCCAATGGAAAGGGCGGATTCTGCGAATCATGTTGGGGGCGGTTTCTCACTAAAATATTCGCAACATCTTGTTTTTTGTATACTTGACGAAAAATTGCGCAATAAAATTATTACCTCGAGCAAAAAACGACTGCTGTTTTTCCAACATTGGCGGTACTAGGACGAAAGCATCAACCACAGACAGCACTCGACGACGTCGGCAAGTACTCGGATGGACTACCGCAAGCGCAATCGATTTGAGAGCATGAACGATGACAGCTATTCGAAGACGGCAGAGGGAGGACAAGTGGCGATAGCCGCGGCGCCTTCGCGACGAAAGCAGCAACGCAGACAATTGCAGAGGGCGATGTCACTGCCCAACATCCAACTGCAGGTGATACTTGATATGACGAGAAGGGTCTGCCTTCACGTACACGTGTAGATGGAACGCAAACCCGACCCTCCATCAATCTTTCCCGACGTCGACGTCCGGTCCCTTCGTTTGGCCGAAGTGCGCAGTTGGGTTTGTCCTTCGGTGAAGTCACCACCACCCTCGACGACAGAACCACAAGTGCTTGCAACGACACCCCCGATTCCTCCTCCGACAGAGAACCTTCATCTTCTTGAGAAACACCTAGACGATGCCATCGAAGCCATGCGCATTGAGCTGAGTTTGGACACCGGCGTCATGTCCAAGGATGGCCGCGAAGTCGCTCCGTCAAACCTTCTCTTACCGTCGCATACCGCGGCCGCGAATCCTGTTTCGACCCTTGGTACTTCTTCTTCGTCGTTGCGGAAGGAAGGTTCTGTTGGCGGCAATGGCTTGACGATCATGTCCTCTTCGACCCCCACGTCCAGCAGCGTCGCCACCGCAAGTCCCCACACGCCGTCTCCGCTTCCACAGGCGCCCGCTTCGACGCCCAAGAAGCGCTTTAGCCTCCGTCTACAGCTCGACGACATGCCGACGCCCCAACAAGCCGAGAACCGCGCCAACCGCGCCGCGAATCGGCTACTCGCGTCCCGCGACGCCATGGATCCCACCGACACGGGCCCCGTCAGCGGCATGCAAAAAGCCATGCTGGCTTTCCGCTTGAGCAATCATTCGGGCTCGGACAACGACCCGAGCTCCCCCCATGGTATTGTTGTTCTTGTCAACTACCTTCTTCAATGTGGCTTAACAACCTTGTACGTTACCTTGTGTGTGTTGATTAGACGGAGGCGAATTGGGCCGATTCAGCAACGGCAGCTCATACTCACCCAACCATGGGCGGTTCACGACGCAGAACGTGCTCGTGTCGGAGGCGGGCATCGCGTCGCCCGACTCGTCCTGCTTGCACCTGCAGGAGAATGTCGTGCAGGTGCGCGAAGTCGGGCGGGGGGCGTCGGGGGTCGTGTACAAGGCGGTGCATTTGCCCACTTTGAAAGTCGTGGCCATCAAAGTACAATGTCCCCCCATGTCTCTGTACATACATTCTGATGAAGTTGGGACTCTCGTGTGATGACTTTATATCATTCTGTGGTGTTGTCTTCTTGCATAGACAGTAGGACGATATTTGTGTTTGTATGGGGATATTATTTGATGTATATATATATTTATTTATTGGGTAGGAAATTCCAGTGTATGGAAAAAGCCAGCGACGACAAATGGTGCGCGAACTCCACGCGCTCTACGCCAACCTGGTGCCCCTGGACGACAAGAACAACCGGTCGTCGACTGCAATTCGATTGTACGTACGCCCTGCCCCCATATATATATATATGCGATACTATATATATATATGCGATACTATATATATATATATGTGCGATACTATATATATATATGCGATAGTATATATATATACATGTTATCGCATGATTTTGACAATATATCACCATGTTTTGTGCTGTCTTATCTACCATTTCTTGTCATGCTGACGATATGATGCTAATACTGATGGATGGTTGATACGTTAGACCGAGCCCGTACATTGTGAGCTTTTACGACGCATATGTGGACAAGCAAAAGAACTGCATCTCACTCGTGATGGAGTACATGGGGGTGGGGTCGCTGCAGGACGTGGTGCTCAAGTGTGGCGGCATCGCCGAGCCCCTCGTCGCGCGCATCGCCGCCAGCGTCCTCCGCGGCCTCCAGCACATCCATGGCAACCGCATGGTGCATCGAGACATCAAGCCGCACAATCTGCTCCTAAACCACCAAGGGGACATCAAAATTTCCGACTTTGGGCTCGCCCGGACGCTCAATGACAACGCGACGCAGACCAAGACGTTTGTCGGAACGTTGCTATATATGGCGCCCGAGCGCATCGGCGGCGGCGACTATGCGTATCCTTGTACGACCCATCCATTCATCCATACATGTGACTCTTACAAGTTTGTTACAGCGGACATTTGGTCCTTTGGCCTCGTGTTGGTCTCGGTGGCGCTCGGGCGGTACCCGTTGCCCACCCACGACGGGTTTTTTGGGTTGGTGGACTCGGTATGGGCATATATATATTATATACATGTGGGCAATATGGACATATATTATATATGTGGGCAATATGGACGACATTTGAATGGAGTGAGATACACAACATGCGATATGGTTGCAGGTGGCCAACGAAGGGTACTTGAAGCTGCCCCCCGTGTTTTCCGATGCGTGCCGGGATTTCATGGACAAGGTGAGTGGATATATTTAAATATATATATATTTTTTAAAATGGATCCTTGTTGGGTGGGTTGTAGTGCTTGGCGATAGAGCCTGAAGACCGGTGGACAGCAGAGCAGCTGCTACGCCACCCATTCCTCGTTCAAAATCCACCCGAAACGACGCTCAAGCTGGTATTGTCTTTTACCCAATATGTGGTTGACTTTTAATTCTTTGCAAATCTATGGATGATCGATTCTTTGTACTGCCTTTTGTATGTAAAAATGGTCCAGTGTCACACTAATTTCATTCACACACTAACTCGATGTGTTGAATTGGTCGACGAGTGGATAATTTGATTGGCTACTTGATTCTTGTTCTGGGTTTTGATTGGCCGATCATCGATTGTCTGCTCCTTCGATGGAGCAGTACCCAAACACTCCAATTTCAAATCGACTTGACAATATACGTGAATGGGGGCATACTGTATGAGGAGGAGGAGAAGGGGTGTGATAGATTGATATATATATAATATGTATATATATAATATATATATATATATATATAATATATAATATATATATATATATTATGTATATATATAATATGTATATATATATAATATATATATAATATGTATATATATAATATATATATATAATATGTATATATATAATATGTATATATATAATATGTATATATATAATATATATATATATATAATATATATATGGTCTAGTGGAAGCAGTTTGTTGACACAATCTGCGAGCCACGACGGACCGAGCTCGAAGACATTAGCGATGCCGTGTACAGTCATATTTATCAGAACATTCAGAACTACACGACAACCACGACGCCACAGGTAGATATCATTCGGATCGTCATGCAACGCATCTGACGAGATATGACTGTGGGGATGATATGCTACTGTAGTCGGACTATGGGATGTCCATGCTGAGTGACACACCGAGGCACATAATGTCTGTGCCACCCGTCGAGCGAAGGTATGTAGTATATGACCCTGTATCGCATAAAAAGGGATATGACTGAATGGTCCAACAATGGTGGTGCAGTTTGCAGTTGGGCTTGTCCAAGTACCTGGACCTGCCGGCATCGGTCGTGTACGACAAGTTTGAAGAGGTAAGAGTGGGTGTGACGGTGTCACATATTTGATTTTTATGTAGAAGCGGCAACTGTACAAGGAAAAGCTATGGGATGATTTCACGTGCTTTACCCCGCGGAGCTGGTCCAACTCCCCCGGCGACGGTCGACGGGCGAGTCTCATGGGCAGTGCCGCGTCGAGTCCCCATCTTCCTGCCAAACAGCAGCACCCGAAGACCCTACCCCGGCGGCGTCCATCGTTTTGGCAGCGCATGCAAGAGTCCCTCAAGCAAACGTTGGGGGGGGCGAGTTCTAGTAGTACTAGTAAACCGTCCAAGTAACTATTAATAGTGGCAGCATTCCTTGGTACTATTCGGCACTAAATGCACTACCGCCTGTATGTGTTAGAATACCTCATGGATCTGTCTGTACCCCCGAAAATGTCAGGAAATGGTGACGAAATGGATACAACTCAATTTCATTACAATGGGTTCGGATTGGCCATTTCTATTTTCTTCACCTACTTTGATTGGCTAGTACGAAATAATTGGAGTATAATGACCAATAAAAAGTGACTTGAGTAGTACAAAGAATCAATCGATAGATTTGGTGAATCAGCATAAAGTAAAGTTTGGGTAAAAGGACAATACTACTACGTAGTTAGTAGGTACTCCAGAGTAGTACTAATGGTATTGTGGATTCGATACGAACTTCCAGACGTAGTCGTCGAATCGAATAGTCATGAATCGACGCTATTGGCTGCTCATCCAATTTTGAGAGGATTTTATTGGCTCTTACAGAAAGGATAAGTATATTCAACCAATCAGAACTCCGGCGTGATATTCAATACCAGTTCGTATTGATTAGACAAACCAGGCGAAGTTTGCAAGTTTATAGTAAATTCCCAATATATATCGACAATTTGAGTATAACTCGATACGGCGAAATCGTGGTAGATAAACCGGCTACACCTAATTAATATAGATATGTATGGAGCATTCATATTGGACACACACTTTGTGTGCATCTACTACCGGTAGAACAAGAAGCGTAGTGATGGTGCAATACATATGTAGTCAGTCGCCAGTACCCATCAAAACTAGATAGTGTGTCCTCGACAGGCAGTAAGTTTGGTGATGATGGGTATTTGTTGTAGAAGACAAGTGATTAGATGGTTTTGCGATGCACGATGGACGCGCCATGCTCTTCGTACTCGGCCTTGGTGATCCACATGGTCTTGAATGTGGCCAAGGACGCGAGGATGGAGCCGCCGATCCAGGTCGAGTACTGCCGCGCGGGCGGCGCCGAGATGCGGATCTTGATGTCCTTGGGGGCCTTCTTCCGGACTTCGCTCAGGAGACGGTCGCCAAACCCAGGGAACAACGTCGACCCGCCGCTGAGGATGATCTGCGAGAACAGCGTCCTGCGCAGGTCCAAGTCGGCGCGGAGAATGGCCTGTACGAGGCAATCCTGTACACCTAATGGAATGACGTTATCAACGACATTTGAGTTGTGTGAAACATGATGCATCGCTGCTACGATGATACTAGTAGTAAGTATACCAGTGTGTTCCGATCCAATGAGGTCGGGCCGAAACAAGATTTCAGGCGCGCGAAACTTCTCTGGGCCGAGCTAAACAACAAGGGAAGGGTTAGGAAGGGACTAGCAGGATGCCGTCGTCGTTGTTGACAAGAGGAATGTCCGCGTGGATGGACGGGTGTATACAAGAGGACACATGTACGTACTTGGAGGATGTTGCCATCTGGAAGTCGGTATTCGGAACTGGCATGACTCGGGTTGCCAGAGGTCGCGTCCGAGATGGAATGATGCGACGCCAGCTGCTCTTCTTTCGTCGGATTGAACGCCACGTAGCATAGTTTCTCCTTGATCTCCTTGACCACTTCCAGCTCGGCCGATGTCTGAAAGTTGTACCCTGCCCGACGACACAGCAACTGGAGGTAGTTGGTCACGTCGCGGCCGGCCACGTCCATTCGTGTGATCGCGTGCGGTAGGGTAAAGCTCTCGTAGACCGGCACGACGTGGGATACGCCGTCACCGACGTCCAGAACTACACCCGTGGTTCGTCCAGACGCGTACAAGGACAACACCGCCTGGGGAGAAACAAAGAACGCGGGAGCGTTGAAGCTCTCGAAGAACACCTCGGCCGCTTTCACGCGGTTCGCCGCCGGGTTGAGCGGCGCTTCCGTGAGAAGCACCGGATGCTCGTCGCTCGTGATGTTGAGCATGTCCTTTGAGTACATGTGTTCCCATATTCGCTGCATGCGGTCCCAGTCTGTGACAATGCCGTGCTCCATTGCATACTTGATGGAGAACAACCCGCGGTGTTGCTGCACTCGACTGCCCACGAACGTGTCCCCGCTTTCGTACGCCCCACCAGCCATCATGCGCAGATGCTTCGTGGTACCAACATAGGAAGGGAAGACCACTTGAGGAAGTTCGCCGCCCGCAAAGCCAGCCTTCAGCACGCCGCTGCCGTTGTCGACCACCACAGGTTGATTGTACTCGGCCATATCTTGAAAATCAACTAGAAATGATGCGGCAGTACCATAATGTCGTCGTCCGATTAAAACATCCGGATATAGTACTACTAGTACTACTAGGTTGTATTTTCCGATTACTATGAATATGTAGTACTTCGATATAACTACTACGTAGTACTGCTATTCAGTTGGTTAGTTTCCGGACACCGAGCCAACGGCCAGTTATCCGGATGTATTGTAGCTCCATCCTGCGTTGAAGAATATAAGCGAGAAAAAGATCGGGAGAGTTCAGCGATTGAGCAAGCACGATGGCTGAAGCCCGCATTGAGCTGCTAAATGTCACCGAGGGCCATGTCGTCCGGCATCCCCTGCTTCTCCTCGAAGGAAAGTTCACCTGTGACTGGGAGTTGCCGGACAACGTGCTGGCCGAAGTGCATGTGAACGACTCGGCCACATCCTGGCCAGTGAGTCATGCCGGGTTGTTCAAAGCCCTCATTCCCCTACCCAACTACGGCCGCCATGAGATTTGCTTGAACATTGCTGAGACATACGAGATCGTGTCCGTGGAATACGCGCCATCGACGCGACCCCATCGCGTGCATGTGTACTACCAGAAAGGCCATGGGTCTGCTGGGACATTCGACGCTCCTCCAGGTGTCGACAACAGCGAGGCAGCGGCGATTAAGAAGATCCAATTCAACGCGGCGCTACTTCAAACCGCGATGGCCGCGCTCCTGGGGTCTCCTCACACCGATACGTTTTCCCTCGAAGTTGACGACAACGGGCAGCCCGTCGTCCACGTGGTTGAGTCTTCGTTCACGGACGACGTGGCGAGGTCGATTCCTGAGCACGACTTGATCGGCCGTATCGAAGAGGACTTGAGAGCCCAAGGATTCATCTCGAACGACAATCTGGGCAAGCACATCGTGCTGCTGGGGTCGTCCACGTACGACGCAGCTTTGACGGCACCGAAAGGCCACACCGCGCTCGGCGGTGGAGTCGTGGGTGTGTTTGGAACTTGCGGCTTGCACACGTGGGCGTCTCATGTTGGCAACGTCATGCAGAGCTTTCTGGACACGACGCGGATTGATCCGGCGATCTTGTGGGACGACAGCGCTGGCCGGGGGACGTACGCGGCGAATTACGCTACTGGACTCGGCGCGGTGTTGCATGAGCTGGGGCATACCCTTGGCCTGAACCACTCGACGCACGGAATCATGGCGCGCGGGTTTGACGACTTGAATCGCCTGTTTTGCGTCGTCCAGCCCCGGCCGTCGTCGGCGGGAGCGTCCGTCGCCGCGTTTTCAAATGCGTTTCCCGACGGCAAATTATTTTTAAACTACGACAGCGTGCAGGACGTGGTGACGCCCGACGGCGCGCACTGGCATCGGGCGAGTGCGTTGAAGCTGCGGCAGTCCCCTTGGCTGGCCGTGAGAACCTCCATAGACGAAGCAAGCCACGACGACGTCCCGGCCGTGGCCTGGGGGGCGGCATCCGTCGTGGGGCCGGTGGGATGTGGCGCGGGCCCCCAAGTCGCGTTTGGCACCGACTCGAAGGACGTGGCGGCGTTCTTGATCACGTCGACGGGTCCATCTGGCGTGTCGGCGATTGAGATTCTGACCAACGCCGGTCTGAACGACCTGCTTTTCTGCGGATTGGCCGCAAGTGGCAGCCAAGACCTGTTCATTCTCATGGACGGGGAGTTCATCGTGCAAGTGGACGTCCGGGCCAAGGCGTGGGTCGACGCTATCCGATTCCACACCAACTTTCGAGTCTCGCGCTTTTACGGCGGCAAAGGGGGACAGTTGCACGTGTTGAAGGCGCCTCCCAATCATGCCTTGTATTCGCTCTTTGGCACGACGGGAAAGGACAACGTGGGCAGCGTCGGGGCGTACGTGGCGCCCGTGCCCCGCCAGTACCTGTCCAGCCCGACTCACCTGACGCCACCGCCAGTCGCCGCCGCGATTATTCCGTCACCGCCATCGACGTCCATTTTCGATCAAATCGGAAGCTTCTTCAGCTCGGAAACGACGGCGACCACCGCCGCCGCATCGCCGGCCACCTCTGGCGCGTACGCCGCTACGGGTGCCGGAGCCGACGGCGACCAAGAGGCTTTCACGACCAAACATATCACGTCGATGGGCGCCATCTTGCTCGTGTGCGCGGACGAAGCGATCATGAGCTTTCGAGTTCTGTCGCGGAAAGAGTACAGCGACGCGTTTCACAGCGGGTACTACGCTGGCCCGAACGAGCTGGCGTTCGTGTTGGCCGCGCACGAAGTGATCATCCAAGTGGACGTGCGATCGAGCGGGTGGATCCACGGGCTGCGCTTCCACACAAACGTGCGCATGAGTCCATGGTATGGCGGCTTTGACGGCAACGAACATTCGTTCATGTGTGCCCCCGAAGCCCATATTAGTGGGTTTTACGGGTCCCACGGTCCGCAATATTTGGGAACGCTGGGTACGTACTTTGAACCTGTGCCGCGTCAGTTGCCGCGTCCGGAGCCGGTGCCACATGCGACACCGTTCCCGTCCGTCAACGGCAATGCAGGCATCCACATTATCTGGATTCGACAGAGTCCGCACGCGCCAGGGCTGCTGGCCACGTCCAACTTAGCCGAAGACGCCACAACTTTCAACCACGTGTTTCCCCTCCAGCCAGGCGAAGCCCTCGTCCAAGTCGAACTCACACGCCAGGATGACAACCGTGTCGTGGGGGTTTGTTTTCACACGCAGACACGATCAAGCGCGTGGTACGGCAGCGTCAATGGAACGTACGATGTGGTGGTGGCCCCACCTAACTTTGCGTTTTCGAGCGTTGCGGTATTGCCGGACGGGGCGTTGGAGCACACGTTCGAGTCGGAGGAACGCTGCCGCGTCGCCGAAGTGCCGCTGGTCGAAAACGGAGAAGCTGCCGTCGACGATGGAACAGCCGTGAGCTTCCACGCTTCGTCAGAGGCTGGACTGGCGTTTGTCGTGCTGAGTCAGTTCAACAACGGCGACCCGCTGGCCGACCACGTCGTGGAGGTGCCAACACGAGGCGATGCCGCCTTGCTGCCTCGATCGTGGCGCCTTTCAACAACATACTTGAAGTCCAAGGTGCACCCGCGTGCGTTGACGGAGTATGCGATTGAAGTGGTGGATGCAGCTGGCAAGGCGACGCTGTCCCCGGTGCTACTTCCTTGCGTCCCTTGACCACGTTCACTTTCCTATCCGCGTCCGTGATGATGAGGCTTTTAATACGCAAACAACGACACTTGTATTCAAAACGACCTGCTTGACCAAATCTGAGGCGCTAACATGAAAAATAATACTAATATTCGTGTATATAGATTTTCTAGGGTAGTTAGAAAGCAAACGACTCCTTGTGGACGCTGGGGGCGCCGGCTTGATTCAACCACGTTGTGGCCGTCTGCATGAAGTCGCTTGGTCCGCAGACGTACGCGTGTCTGTGGGGAAGGTCGACGACGCCCTTGAAATCATGCAGTTGCAACCGCCGGGCCACAGCGTTCGACGTACTCGCCTTGGCGGTGGAGTCAAACAGGATAACTTTAGACATCCCCGTACGTCGCAGGGCTTGGACGAGTCCGAGCCCTTCGTCGCCTCGCCCTGACAAGAACACGGTCACGTCCACGGAGGCCTTGGACGCTGCCACCGCTTCTGCAAACGCCAAAAACGGAGTTACACCCACCCCCGCCGCCACCCAGAGCATTTTGGCCGGCAACGAGTGCAGCGGGGGGCTTGAAAACGGGGAAAATTCCCCGCCAGTCCCCAGCAACGGCACTTGGAAGCCCCGGGACACCATCGTGTGCAGGAACGAGCTCACGGTTCCCCCCGGAACGTGCTTGATTGTACACGTGATGCGGCTGGTGGGGGCAAACTCCCCCTTTTCAAGCGAATACGGCGGGGACGACGAAATCGTCCACGTGCGAACAAAGTCGTCGTTGACAAGTTTCGGGTTGGCGTTGTGCATGTGCATGTACGGCTTGTCGAAGAACTGGGAGAAATCAAACACGGCAAACCCGCCTGGGACAAACGTCACGGGCGCGGCCAAGTCAAACGTGAACGCGGCAATGTTGCTTGTGACACGCGTCACTTGGGCGAGCGTGGCGACGTTTAGCCCTTGTCCCCCCAGAGTTTTGCCCTGGGCGGCCAGCTCAGACGCGAGGTATCGAAGGGGGGGGTTGTATGGCGACAGGCTCTCGACGCCCCCGCGCAGATCGAACGGCAGCGCCGCCTTAATGAACACTTTGGCAGTCACGACAATGCGTGTCAAGAGCGTCACGCGCGGCATGAGACGCGTGGCGTCGTCGTCAAACAAGTTTTCAGCATGCCCGGTCAAGTACAGCAGGTCTCCGGTGACAAAACAAGGCACCACAAGCCCCGCGACGTGATCCGTTTGGATATTCCCCAGGGATTGGTAGAATCGGTTGCCTGAGAAATCGGGCAGGTTGATCGTGGTGCCGGCTTCCCCCACGCGGGCGAACCCGGGGGCGCCCCCCCGATGGTTGAGTCCCATGTCGGTGGACCGGGCATCTGTCGGATCGATATGGCGGGACGCGATAAAGAGCGTGCTAGCGCGGTGTACATGCTCGATTTCTTCGTCCGTTAGGGCCACGGTGTCGTTGGTCGCTGGGTCATGGAATGTGTTGGAGATCGTTGATGGATGTGGCTTTGGGGCGTAGACGAGGTCGCGCACAGTAATGTACTTGGGGCAGTTGCCCATGTTGTCGTTCGTGGTCAAGTCCATACGCAACATGCCGTTATCGAATGAACTCGATACGACGTACCCAGCCACTTTGTTTCGCCGGCGATTTGAAAAATCCACCCCGATGCCCGCCCACAACGCTGTCGAGTTGGACGATGTCACACACGCGCCAAACGGATCGTCTGTCGGGAGCTGGCTCTGCACGTGCAACTTGTCAGAGGAGACGGTCGAGACTGGTCTGGCGTCGCTAGGCCCGGTGACAAGCGTGGCCCACGGTCGACCGTGCGAGTCAGTAGTGGCAATGGCAAAGTACGGCACGTTGCTGAAAAAGTCCGAGTGTTGGCGAGGCATGGCGTCGGATATGATCTGCGGGGGGTACAACGAGACCTCACGAGGGACATGCCGACGTTGTTGTACGTACAGCTCGCCGCTGTGCTGGTTGTGGTTATGAGGGGCGACTGCCGGAGAAAATATGGCTGCGACCATGATGGAATGTTGGGAAATGAGCCTTTTCGTACGTGACTAAAACTGTAAAGTTATAACGTTGTAACTGTATAGTGAAGCCTTCATATACCTCGAACTTAGTATGAGCTCAGATTATACTACAACACGCTGTTATATATATCCTGATTCTGACGATTTCATCCGTTTGCGTAGTCATCAAATTGTAAGCCATGATTATTCTACATGATCGCAAGTGCGTTACGGAGTACGGAGTATCAACCAACTGTACACTGTATATGCTTCATACATCAGCCAAATGATATTTCTCCATCACGACACAACGTGGATATAAGTAACCGCTTCAGGCAACTTTTGAAACGAAATTGTACATGCTATCACCACCAGGCATCCTGCATGCGACCGCCGTCGAACGGTCAGCCATCGTCGATACCTACTTAGAGGTAGGTAGGTACCTAGGTCCTCCAAATAGTTGACTCTAATGCGATGCAACCCAGAGCACTCAACTCCAGGGAGGCCTCGAGGCGTATTGGTCGACGTTGATGTCATCCACGTGTTTATCGCCAAACCCATACCCGCAACTGTTACGGCACTTTCGTTCGCTCGAAGGCCAGTCCGAGCCACAAGAATTCCGCCCCAGTGCCGTGCAAAGCATCAACGTTCCTCCAAACAGCCTCAACGTCGGGTCTGTCGCCGGCGGTGTATTTGGACACGCTCGCTTGCTTTCCGTAACGTTTTTCCTACCACCACGACATTTTTGTTTCTGCTGGTTTCAACGACCGTCCCTTTATCTTGTAGCGCATCGATGGGCCGAGCCTCATGCACCTCTCCAAACGCTTGGGGTGTACGTGGTACAAGCAGCAACGCGACGACAGCTACAAGGCCACTGTCATGACCAGCCTCGTGGGTCCTGCTGTCCTCCACGGCAAGGGCTACCTTGCTGACGTTCACTCGGTGCAACTTGAGCAGGTACGTTCGTATGTTTGTTGTCGTCGGCGATCAATGCCTTGCTTTGACACATGATTTGACTAGCATGTCCTCGTGGAAGGTGAAAAGTTGGAGCGCGCCATCACTGTCTTTGCCCAGCTGATCGCCAAAGACGCATACGACAACCAAACGTCCGCTACGGTCATCGATTTGTTCGCTGTCGTGCTTCATCTGACTGTGAAGTGTATGTAGATCATGAACCAAGGAGTGTGGGTTACCATCCCGTCGTTCAAAAAGAGCGACAGGCACACGGAAAAGCTGTGGACCCTAGACGCGATCCAGTCGTGTCGAGTCGCGTTCATCAGCGCCGTGAAAACCGCCGTGGCCGCGCGCGTCCCATGTTACGTCGTGGAATTCCGCCACTCGTCGACAAATTCCGTACACTAGCCAAACAAGCTGGAAACCCGGTGGTGGTAGAGCTCACTTTGCCCTATGGTAGGAACGACGACCATCGTCGCCACGTCATGACGATGGACAAACCGGATCAGGCGTGTCCTACGTGCGAGTCCACCGGACATTTGTGATGCATTTCAAGCCCCCTAACGAACGTACGTCGAGTGCGATATATATTATATATATATATATATATATATATAGGTAGGTATATATGCCTGGCAACGAGTAAAGTCAGTGGATCTGAGTTTATATGTGTTGTAGCAACCAGGTCGTTCAGTGTCAATCAGCTCCGCCCATTACTGGAAGGAGTGTTTTTCACTGAAGTGGCCATGACGACGTACATATCCGTGGTGCTGCAAGGAGACGACACTGCTGCTGCTACTGTCGCGTTCACCAAGCCATTCGTCACGTCCGTTCTGGACCACTACACGACTGGCAACTACTTGGAAATGATGTATGCGTTGGTGCATCACATTTGCGTGAACGAGTCGTCCTTGGATGTGATGCCCCAGCTGTGTCGTGTCACATGTGGGCTCCCAGGTCAGCTGGTTCAACTAGCTCGGACCAGTGCATTGATGCACGAGGTACGACCAAAACCAGCACATCATACCTCACAACGAAAGCAGAGTTTAAGCTGTACGTATTGTTGATTGGAACGTTTAGATGCTACAGTTGCATGTGTCGAACCCCGCCATCGCGCACCTCCACGCGGTTCCTCTAAGAGAGTGGCTGACCGAGTTTGCCGCCCATGCGACCACTTTCCTGGGCCAAAACACGCACTCTCGATTCCTCGGGGTCCGTCAGAGGCTTGACCGGCTCGTTGCAAGCGTGTGTGACGTGCCTGAGAGGTTTATGGCGGAGGTTGCAACCGTTTCGATCGTCATGGACGCGTGCAAACACATCGAAATGTTGGTGAACCATGTCGCGCAGTGTGTGACGCGGTAGGTCAGCACGCTTATGCCTACGACTTTGTTTCGTAAAAAGTCTATCTACCTAGGGACATGATGGAGACCATGTCATGCGACAGAGTTTCACATCCAATCTACGTCGCGAATGAAATGGCCCAACTGGCTGCGAAAGTCGACTCGTTAAAGTCCAGCAAATCCAAGCCAAAGCCACCGGCTCCAGATTCCAAGATTATTATTACATCCGTGATAGTAGAGCCTCTGAAATCGACAACGACAGTGTACGGGATTGACGTGGAGCAGGAAGTGCAAAGTGCAGTTGGAGCCCTCGCGTACCCCCCACGGATAATCCGTGAAGCAGTGTACATGCAGTACATTGTCGATACGCGCCTGGATGTGGCCGTGGAGTCGGCCATCGCGTCCATCCTCGTCGATGGCATGCCGGGGAATCCGTTTCCTTCATTGATTAAGCACCTTCGAGCATTTGCCAGTCGACATGCCATGTCCCTAACGGCTAAAGTTCGTTTTCGAAGTCACTTTAGTACTCAGTGTATGCATATGTAGGCACCACAGCTCCCAGAGGTGCAAGCGGTTTTACGAAGTACCGCCAACAAGGACAACTGCGACGACGTCGAGTCTTGCAATCGCATTGTCGAATCTCACGGGTTGTTTGGAACGCCGTACAGTTTGTCGTATGTTCCCAGGAGTCTTGTATCCATGGCAGCGAAACTACAATCCTGGCCTTTGTTCCCTCTGCACTACAGCTCCCCCAGTGCCCTCTTCACCGTGCAAGTACAAACAATTCATAGCCATGTGCATTCCAGTTGATCACGATATGTAGACTTGGACATCGTTGTACCTTCGACGGTATTACAGCGTACGTAGCCGCCACTCATGGCTATGGATCTCACATGAAGTAGTGGCTAGAACAAGAGCCGAGTCAAGTGGACTTGATCGAACACTTTCAAGTGACCAGCCTGCACCCGACGTTGCAGTTGACTTTGAAAGCGTCCGAGGTATTCAGCGACGCTGTCTTGCAAGACGCGCTAGGTCTAGGGGATCACCCTCGTACGAACGACATACCATCATATTGCCATTGTGTAACTTCCCAACTGGTGTATAGACATAGCACTTGTGTGGCTACAAACAGCAGAAGAGAATAATGATCATATACGGTTCAAAGTGGACGGGGACGAAGTGAAACGGCAGCGCGACGTGGTGCGCCGTCGAGTGGAAGATGCGATCCGCTTAAAACAGTCGGTGCAGGTGTGTGTCTACCATGCCCACACCCTAGTGGTCAAAACGTATGTGCTGCACGTACTCGATGGCAACAATCGTCGCCGCTGCTTTGCTCCGTCGTGGCTTCGGTCGCCCCAGGCACCCCAGGTGTGCTTTCACAAAGTAAGGAACTAACGAAAACGACGACTTGATTTGTTGGATTGACAACTTGCATCCATGCCTCGTGTATGTAGCAAAGTGCTGAGTGGACCTGTGGTTTAATGGACATACCGTCGCCTTCTGACGCCTTGGCAAGGAATAATACCGAAGATGATGACGATCTTGTGGATGCGTACGATCGAATGTTTCGACAAGGCATTCGACATCCCCATTTGTTTGCATCCACTGAGCCAGCGTTGCGAGCCATGTATACGTCGCCCGTCGTGGCACTGAAAGCACTGGTACCCACAGAAGTGTAGATAAAGGTGCTGACACTGCACCAGGAAAGCCAAGGCCACGTGTATGCGACGGTGTGCAGGACAAAGATACCTCTAAGTGACTTCAAAGACGGCATTGAACGATGGATCGCTAACATCCAAACTGCCATCGACACCCCCGCCACGCTCGACATGCTGTGGCTGTTTGCGAGTTGGAAATTCCCACTGGAACGTGCGCTGGCAGCCAGATCCATGGCACACATTCAAAACCTCATTGAGGGGCTCACAGGGTTTGTGCTTGCGATGCGACTCGAAGGTCAGCACGATGTGCATCTCAATAATAGATTGCCTGGCATGCAACGTGCCAACTAAAATTCATACACCGCTACGGAATTTGCTATGACCAGTCTCTGCTTCAACTAAGACATCGCCTCACTAAAGGTGCCAATCAACTAATCGGATTCGAGTGAACTGTGTTGTTACACTTGCATACAATTGCATATTCTTGTCATGGGATCGCTGATACTTGGCAGCATCCTGGAGAGAAATCACAGGAAGCAGTGTGTGCTATGATTTGGTCACGTTAACTAGGTTGCCACGACCATGTCGCCATTGCAACGTGTATGTCGTGGCCTTTCGCGCTTAAGTCACCCGAACCTTTCGACGCGACACCAAGCTCATGCCTCCCCCCTTGTAGAAGTGGATGCAGGTGACGTTATCTACCCGGTAGAGGCACTCTTGGGTAGCTCGCTACAATCGATGTCGACGCAGTGAAGACGGTTCCAGTGACCCAATACAGCCATTAGCCAACCCATTGCTACAACGTCTGGCGCTAAAATGGCTTGTGCACCAGCCATTTGTATTACCCAAGCGAGACTGTGTGGACATGACTTGTCGATGTGATGACACGGCAGGGTGGTCCGTTGTCGCGCCTACTTGCACTATGTGACTGCGAGCTCCACCGGGTGTTTCCGTCGGTTGTCCATCGACACGTTCAAATTGGCCACTTGTCTACGTTTGTTTGACCAGCTTCCCAAAGCACAGGATTACCAGATCACGACCGTCAGTACCTATCGACCCGTCGATAGGTGCTCCAGGCAAAAAGTCCGCTGGATTGGTTGCATTGTGGTTTCAGTCCATTCAAAACGCGGTGGGCAAACTAGTACTTGCATGGGGAAGATGAGTCTCTCATACGATTTGGTGTGTGCGATGGCTTGGCAACTGGACAATGTGCAACAACTACACGCACTGGAGCTGCCCGTTCGTGGTGCAAGCGTCGCATGCGTCATGCCCACCGTGGACGTTGACTTAGTGTGGCACACGCGTCAATGTACGTCCTACCATCCTTTTATAACCGAGTGGAGGTTAAGTTGATTGACCACGACGACTCGCTTCTAAGTACTGCCTTGGGGTGAGGACGTGCTGACACTTTTAGTTTGTGGTCCAACACCTTTCAAGGATGCCACCATCGACATGGAAGAGGGCGAAGGTGAATGCCAACAGGTTGACCAAGTTGACTCCATCATCCATGCTCATGTGATGGGCCCTGCCGCCGCCGTCAATTGTTCCGCCATCTGTCACTCCACACGATGATTACATATCGGGTTCTACCGTGTCACAGCCGATTTGTGGGTGTGGACGAACCTGTTGTGGTTACAGTAGGAAGCTACCGACGACGACGGCTGCTTCTTCCCTAGTCCATGTTTGGAAAGGAGAACCATCCAACACCCATCGTCGTCATGGCTGCGATTGGGACGGCAGGGACATTGGACACGTGCATATCTCCACGGGCGAAGCGTCTAATGGATACTGTACAGTCAGGTCAGAGCAGAACGTGATGGCAGAGTTGCCTCGATTCCATGTACAGACGACGACGGAATTTACACACAAATAATGCTTCGAATTATTTACGAAATTGATACTACGTACGTAGTATATGATTGGACAAGATGCTTCGAAATTCGGTGCATTGACGAGAATTAGTGTTATGGCCAATTAGAACTGCTATTAATATCCTTATATCGAATATCTGTTTTTGATTGGACAAAGGCCGCTTCCATATGATTAGAACTTCGTTGCATCTTAGAGCATCTCCAACGGTAAATTCTAACCTATTGCTAAAGCATAGGTTAAAGTCAAACTTCGTTTTTACGGTTGCTATTTTGGCACTATCCGGACTTTTTAGAAATTTCGACTCGCAGAATTTCTATTTTCGCGTGAAATAGCAACAAACCCTCCGGATAGTGCAAGAATTTCTATTCTATATCCGTAACTTCGAATTGAAATAGAAATAAAAACACCGTTGGAGATGCTCTTAAATTCCCTGGATGCCACAAAAAATGGCCAAATCGAAAGATTCCACTGGATGCCTCCAAATTTCAAAACTTTATGCCATAATTTTCTTGAGAATCGGGTGTTTTATAGGCAAAAAAAAGGACCGATTTGGTGCAACTTTTTATTGAGGTTTATGTTCACGTTGACATGTGAAGTCTTGACTTCACAGTCAATCGGACATCGAATAACTTTTCCATAATATCAATACAACAACTATTATAGTAGATATTTCTTTTCTCCTTTATTTCATGGATATGATGAGACTTTGGGAAATTTTTGCAGCCTTGCCAAAATGGTTTTTGGTATAATTTTACGGGGTGGCATCCAGACCAACCAAGGGGCATTCACATGGCCAATGGAAGTGACAAATTTAGGAAAACACCCAATCGAATCGCTAGAACACTGAAATCCCCAAAACATTAGCAAAACCCGCATACATCGTCCCGTGTGGGAACCTGAAATGCTTAAGAAATAACCCCCTATTCGGGTTCAATATTCTGGCCCAAAACGCCATTTTGCGGCCGAATTCAATCAATCTGAGAATAACTGAAACATGCCTTGCTTGACGAGTTTTAACCCAAATCCAATTATTCCAAGCGGGATTTACTCCTTGAGGAGGTCCAAAACTCCATAAGTAACTTTATTACAAAATGGACCTTTTATCGATCAATTCAAATTCACAGTTGTGTCGTCTCCGCATGTGTAGTATGTGTTCAATGAGGATTGCGATTGGACCTGTACATACCGTTGCGCCGGTATCATCCGATGGCCTCGTACGTTGATGGGGCTTGTGTTGTCCGAACGAAGCAAACGTCGCCAAATCAATCCAGATATAGCTGAGCTACATACGGATCTACAGTATTCCTTGAGGAGAGTTTTGTGCAGACAAAAGTGACGACTTTCAGCAGTGGGTACAGTATTTTGAACAGCAGTGGACTAATTTATAGGTACGATCGCGTCACTGGGATGGTTCTAATTCGGTCCCATTTCCGCGTCCTTGATGGCCTTTTCCACTTCGGCCAACTTTTCTTCGACGCGGCTGCGCTTTTTGGTCCGTGCGTTCTTGTTCACTTCCTTGAGACGCTCTTTGCCGACAGCGCGGATGTCCTTGAGCGCAATCGACGACCCCGTCTGCAGCACGCGGGTCGCCATGAGCTCTTCAATGTTGCGGTTGATAAAACCCGTCACGGACGCGTCCCCACGGCGCTTGAACCCGTTGCATCCTCGACGCACTTCGGTCGTGGCATTCCCAACTTTGGTGAACTTCTTGGCCGAGTTGAGCTTGTGACGGTACTGGACGTTGTTCTTGGTCGGTTTGGCCGCGGCGTTCTTCACGTTCTTCTTCTTCAGCGACGTGCTTCCTTGCGCCATCGTGTCTTGGTTGCCTTGGTTTGGGAAAATGCTATGATTGGATGCCACGAATTGATTGGTTGGCTGATGGACTTCGAAGTTCGATCGAATTTCGAGGTAAAAATTTACTTGAAGTACATGTTATTAATATTAATACTTCGAAGTACACTTTACTGTTAACGTGGTGAAGAAATTGTAACGTTACGTCTCTGATTTACAATTACAATTACTGTTATTAATATTAATACTAGTACGTATTGTGCTGTGCATATGTTTTGGCTGTTATTCCATCGCGTAGTACATGCAGGTAGCATGTACTACGCGATGGAACAAGAAGATGGCGTGGATTTCTACGATGTGGCACCATACGTACATCGCAGTACGGTAGAACTCCGGCGCTTGTCCTCGCTTTGTGTCATTTGTAATATCAAAAGTTGTTCATGATGATCAGTGAATTGTGCAATTTGGCCCCGAGAATAGGAGATATAATTTCGATTTGCACTTTTGAAATGTGCAAAAGCGAGGGAGTTGCGTAAATGACCTCCCTATAATTACATTCTGTAACGAAACGTGATCCTAAATCACGGTACGGAAACACTGGGGTCGATGGAACAAACACCCAGGTTTATGGGGTGAATAGCCAAAACGAGTGAAAAGCACAATAATATCTCTCGATCCTATTGTGAATTCACCATAAACTTCCAAACTTCGCGTGGTTTGTCGAATCAATATTGAATCACGCCGGAGTTCTGATTGGTTGAATATACTTTCTGCAAGAGCCAATCAAATCAACTCAAAAATGGAGCGAATTCGATTCGTCGATTCGACGGGGGTCTGGAAATTCGTATCGAATCCACAATACTACGTCTGTCTCTATTTGCTAAAATTTTGAGAAATGAAAACGAAATAGCAGCAAGAAATGACTTGTTAATGGAATTCGCAAGGTGAGCCACCTTGCTCCTTTTTAATATCCAATCAGAGTCCATCATACCTTGTTTCTTACACACGATTGGCTATATTACAATTTTGAACTTTGAATTTTGTAGAGCTTTGTGTGATGATGCAGAGAATTGTGCACTGATGAGTGCACTCGGGTGGGTCGCAATGTCGTGGTGGCTCTGGTGGGCCAACGCGGCGGCGCAAGCGGTATTGGTACAGTAGCACCCATCGCAAACGCAAAGTGGTAAAGCCGCCACTTCAGCACTTGCGATGGGTGCCACCAAGACGTCTTGCGCCACCGCCCGCGCAACCACGTGATCACACCGGCAGGGAGGTGTACAGCACCGACACGGGCTGGATGGTGGAATGTGGGATGACCAATTTCATTGGGTTAGTAGGCACGTGGTGAAATGAGATCTGTTAAAATTGACCGAGTCCTGAATACCACATCACATTATCTTGCTCTCATACACAGCCTACGATTATCTCAAGGCTCCTTGCATCAACAGCCATCACAGCAATATATCGCAACAGGGCGTGATGAATCTACGCAGCGATTTTCGTGATTTCACCGCATCTCATTGGACAAAATTGGACAATTTTGAATTCGCAAGGTGACCTGCCTTGCGAATTCCAAAAAGAGACACACACATGAAAAATAAAAATCATCAATACTACCGTAGTACAAACTTGAAGATATATTTAATTGAAACTATACAATTTCAGAATTATTTATGGAATTCGCAAGGTGGTTCACCTTGCGCTCCATACAAAATTGCCTATTTCACCTTGCTTTTTCTGGTTACCGTATAGTGTATATGTATTGCGACGGATTAATCTATTGCGACTCCTGTAATAACTGATACTACGTATTTACTTGTGAACATGTTTACTTCAAATTTGTGGATTAACAGAGAACGAGTGTCGGCTGATCACCTGTCGCAATACATATAACACTACTCCGGAGTATACGGTAATGTTTATGAAAAGTTGGTACAGTAGTTTATATTAATAGGTGACGTGTACAGTATTAATAATAGCAGTGCACCTTCACCAAAAAATGTTACAAGCCACTACATTATTAGACTGAATCGTTAGAACACGGTATTTCACAGAGTAATTGTGCTGAATTACAGCTCGATGTGGAGCTCCTTGTGATGGGTCAAGAGCGCCCCAAGTGCCCCAAAGAAGCCTTCGTGATGGAAGAATTGAGCTTGCATCTTGGACTTGGACCAGTAGTCGATGGCGTATGCAAGTTGCCGTGATGCAATCTAGACCAATATAACCGTCAGTCCCCACTCCCTAAATAACTACACAGCAACTACTACTACAACGTGGACCTCGTTTTGACGCAAAAAGTTGCCGCAAAAGTAGATGCGCTGGGTTTGCGATCGCAGCGCACTCAAATACGCCACCTGTATCACACATGAACACGGTTGTGAATGGGGATAGTTGCGTACTTGGCCAATGTTTGTGGTGATCATGATCAAGAGGGAGCGCGCGACATCTTCGTCTCGAAGTCCGTGTTTCGGCTCATATTTGGTTCCCTGGAACGAGTTAGGTACATTACACCCAGGGTTTCGGTACCATTTTTCCAAAACTGCTGGCCAAAGTACTCGCGGAGAGGTTGAATTGCGTATAATTGCCGCCGTAAATGTCACCAACCTACAAGTCGATCAAAATAAAGATAAATGTGCATACCTATATATATTCCAACAAGAGGAACGATCGATATACAGTACGCATCATACGCTCATGTCGACGCTCTGGGAATTGCCCTGCATACTGCCATCTAGCGCTTCGTCAAAACTTTTGTACTTGGACAGCAACTTGCATAGCCCGAGGAACGTGCCGCCCCCCAAACTCGTGCCAGACACGCGGTGGTACTCGGTTTCACTGGTCACTTTGAGAATGCTCACGCCAGACCCAATGTTCACCAACAAGAACGGGTACAATTCCTACACAACAACGGCATGGTAAATGCGACAGGAAGCGGCACTTTGCACACATACACTTTGGGGCGTGGACATGATTTGCTTGGTGGCTTCACCCATGCCTTGGCTGTGCAAGGCCACGTTCTACGTGAACATCACAACCTGAGAATATTTCATTGGACTGTCCCACCTTGAACGTATAGCATTCGTCCGGTACATGTCGCATCACGAACACCATGCCACGAATGAGAGCCTCAAGTTCGTCGCACTTTTGCAGCGCAATGCCCAAGTGGTCTTCAAAGAGCTTGCTGAACTTGAACGCGCCGCCTCCCGTGCACGCCATGGTGCGGATGTCGCGGTGGAAGCAACGATGGAGCACGAATTCCACCACGAACTCGACCTTGTCGGTCTCAAACCGCAAAAAGTGGATGCGACCGCCCCCTGGCACATGCAGCATCATCCCTCCGTCGCGTTGGACACTCTTGCCATAGTATTCCGTGTCGACCAAGTACGAATGCACGTCGCCCAAGTCTGGGATGACATTGCTGCTGTCGCCTTCGCGCTCAAAGTACACCAACTTGCCCAGCGTTCCGCCGACGTCCATGCCAAAACGAGAGCCAAGGTCCTTGTCCCGGTGGTAGATGATACGAGCATGTAGTCGTTGCAGTTTCCTTTTCCGAAGGAATACAAGGCCAGTCACACAGATCGCGGCTACCGCGAACTTGACTGCTGTCGTTGACATCTTCGCCAGCGGTGGGCGCACGAATATTTCGACAACATCCGGATAATGACACAAATATTTGGACAGAGTCCGGATAACGACACGAATATTTAAACCACATCCGGATAATGACTCGTGTATCCGAATGCAAGAGGTGTTTTACTGTTAGCGTTAATATTAATAACTGTATCACATTATTAATGAAGTCATTCAGGCTATGACTAGTGTAGCTGGTTCAAGTGTAGCTAATTACTGTACGGACAGTAATTAGCTACACTTGAACCAGCTACACTAGTCATGCTGAAAGTTGGCTTACAACCTGAAATACTCACTCACCGGAACCGCCATTAAGTAAACTACCCACGACTCGTTGCGGTGTGGGGGAGCAGCAGTGGGAATTGCGAAATCAAAATAGTTAGATGTTAAATAGGCGATTGTACAAGGTCGACCGAATTGCTGGCTATGAGAGGAAGTACTCGAGAAGTCGCGCGTCGTCGTCCATGCACACTGCTGTTGTGTCGCCCACACGATGCGGCAGCGGATAAAACACGTCCACTTCCGACACATCTCGAGGACTGTCCCATTCATCGAGTTCTGGCTCGGCGACCTTGAGTTTCTTGGCGGGGTGGGGCAAGGCATCTGCGTCATTGCACTGAACGATGTCAATAAGGATCCGCTTGCCAAGGTTGGACGTGACCGAGAACGTGCCTTCGGGCAGTGCTGGCAACGCGACTTGGTTGTTCATGTTGTTGTCGAGATTGATATGGAAATGAAGAATGCCGCGGTCGTCGTCGTTGTCCAGGAACTCGCAATCATTCGGTTGAACACCTACAGTATCTGATCCGAGTTCTCCATCTTTGGTCGAAGAACCGTTGGAGATTCGAAACGTCCTCACCACGTGGGAATAAAACACCATTGCGTCATCATTTGGTTGGTCGAAGTATTTGAACTTCGTGGTTTGCACGCTCTCAAATGTTGTGGACAGACGTCCTATCTTGCCCAATATAGTACCTTCAGGCAAGTTCTCATCCTGCTTCCCGATCGATTCAGAGATAGTTGCAAAGGAGCTGCATGGATATATATATATATAAGGCGATGGGCGTTGTTGCAACCAATATATAACGTTAGCGTTGTTTTGCACTTCAATCTCCCTAGTGACAATAATCGGTACAAGAGGTCAAACGTTGTCCCTGAAGCTCACGCTTATTGACGCATGGTTGAGTAGTGGTTGGTGGGTTGTCAAGTTCTAGGTGTAGGATTGAGGCGACATTTCACTTCAAACTTGGTTAAAGTGGCGGTTTCTCTTCGAATTCGACGGGCACTACTTCAACTTGCACGACCTGCATTCTCCATCGAGTGTACGTGTGGCCAGGCTTGCCCTCAATTCTACTGAATCGTTCTTTTGGACATCCAAAACGTGATTTTTGTTCTTCTAAACAATTACCTGCGATACGCAACCTACATATTCGACAACGTTGGTCAATAGTCCTATACATCGTCCGTCGGTATGGTGAACGACGGACGAGTACAGTACAGTACTGTAATCAAATCTCGCTGGGCACAACCACACTTGCGCTTTGTTCGTGCTGCAAAAAAAGATGCACTGCAAAGATACTGTACGCACAACATGCCTGTTGCTGATTTGACGCCCTCTATCATGGCTGCTACAGTAAGTACCCACCATAGGCTTGGCTACCACGACTTTCCAGGAGTGTATTTAGCTCACCGTTCGCCTTAACTTCAACATTCTACGGAGGCAACTTTCTGCAGGGTTGGGCGCTAAAATTAAGTCGAACCTCAAACTGTGTCAAAGTGCACAAATATGGATGGCAGGAATTTGTTGGCACGAGGTTGAGGTTGAAGTGGCGGGTACGACAGTTTCGTGGAACTTCGATTCGGAAGTTCGAGGTCTTCGAACAAACGCAACAACGTGGGAGAACAGGCGCGAACCTTTGAATCTGGTAGTCATTCCGGTAAATGTGGTACTATTTTCACAGGGATGTGATGTCCACGCCCTTCATGGACAAGTTTGAGTTTGCAGAACGTCGCACCGAACAAAAGTTTTGTCGGAGGAACATCGATCAGATTCAATGGATCTGTCTCGAAGGTACGATGATCGTGGAGATGGCTGTGTAAAACCTGAATTCGAACTCCACAGCGGATCCATTTTCAATAACGTTACCGGTATACTTCAGTGTGCAGTTGATTATACTCCCCCTTTGTTGGGATCAGAACAGTGACTTGGAAGCGCTGCATCTATCCCCCCGCGCCCCTGCGTCTTTCTACGTAAAGCACCCGTGTGACTTGACTTTATTCGTGCGTTGCACACGACTTCAACCTCGATGGTGGGAGAGCGCGATTGTCGCAGCCGTTCGTTCCAGCAGCCCGTTGTTATTCACGGTTACGGAACATATATATACTCGAATGTGTTGGTGGTTCTACCACATTGCCAGAAAATCAGAATCAAAATCAAGAAGGACCACTGTTTCATGTTTTAGCGGGTACAGTTACGTTAAGGTTACCCAGCGACGGCCCATCGATGTTGAGGAGGGGCGCGAGGTTGACGCTGACTATCGCCATTTTCACACTTTCCCCGCCGATAACACACGATGCCCAATTGTCAACTCGCGACGGCACCTCCAATCCAACATAATAAACCCATGGTCATGCTGGGAAGGCCCAACACGAGTAACGAGCGCGACCCCGTAGACCTTCACATGCCGCCCCAACCCATTCACACTTGGTGTCAAAGCCCCAATGGCCCCGACGATCAAGTGTTTGCCTCATGCACATTTTCGTCGTCGCCCCCGGAGGATGCGATTCTGGAGGAGCAGGATATTGCACTACTCCAGTATTTCCTGTCGTAAACGAAAACTTGTCAAGTCGCAGTCATATTTAAAACCAAGCCGCGAAGGCACTTACAATATCATTCTTTCTTTTGTCCTTTGCAGCCTTGCGCGAACTCACAGTCAGTACTTTGGTGGCCCAACAACGCAGCTCTATAAGGTGCATGCGATTACGCCGTTACGTATTGTAGTCATGGTCGCTGGATGTTTATTCATTATTCCATGACTTTTAAACGTTCCATCGAATCAAACAATCTGCAATGATACGTTCCATTTCCGCGACTGGAAACTCCATACTATTTAACTGTCGTTCTGTCGTCGTTGTCCCGCGACGAGAAACTGTCGAACGTTGCAATTCAGGTTGCAGGCGCCATATCTTTCCACTGCAAAGGCTTTAGCCGCCATACTGTATCTCCTGCTCGATCCACCGATATATGCTTACTGTACTTTTGCGCAAGGTCGTGTATCAGAACTTTTCCTTTCGTACAATTGGGATGTGGTGGTGCCAATAACATAAATGAATGCGAAGTCGAATCAACAAACAACCCCCGAAAAGTTTTGATATTTACTCCGAGTACAAATACAGTACAGTATAGGTTGCGAGTTTTTATCGAACGACTGAACTAAATATATAATCCGGATACATGCTATACAGGTACTGGGTACAGTAGTACTGTACAGTTGTAGTACTGTAGTAGTACAAACCAGCAGAGTGAGGTGGTATGGTATTACCCTAACCTTAAATGCGCGTACACCATTCGGTGGCGAGTTGAGCATACGTGGCTTCACAGCTTGAAGGTGACACTACTACCACAGTACACAAGTCCCTGAACGTTGAGAATACCTGTATATACGTATATGTTCAGCCTTAACCATTATCCGGATTTGATTTAAGAGTTTTTCGGAATAGTACTATTAAAATAGTACTCGTCTCCGAAATCTCCCCATTAATATTAATAATTAAGACTTACGGGACAGCATTGAATATTAATACCAACCTTGGATACTATGGGTTTGAGAGTTGTTCTTTGCTCTAACAGCCAATCAAAACGCGTCGGTGATTTATGCCTCCATAATCGATGCGACGACTGATGTGGCCAAGTCTCGCCGTGCTAGGCCTTCTTCCGGGTACATCATGGAGCCTTCCCTCGGTTAGTAATACCGCCATCGCCAATGACCCCGAGGTGGCCAACTGGTGCAAAGGATTTGATGAATTTGTCTTGATGGCGGACTCGTCGATTGCACTGGAAGCGCAATCGATTTCCCAGACCGTGGTCGGAGGCGGCTCTCGACTACTGCCTCACATGGCATTTAACAACACCGTGTTGGAAGACGAGTACATGTTTTACCAAGTGTGTATTGCACGGCACGAACACGAACACATCGTGCATGTGAACCTGACATCCATCAGTGGCGATGCCAACATGTACCTGGCCACAGACAACCCAGTTCCTCGACGAGGGCAGTCTTCGTGGATTGCGCAACATCCTGGAAACGACCACGTTGCGCTGCCGACGTATCTGCCAGAATTCCCCCGCGACGCCAAGCACATGGCGCTGTACATTGGGGTCTTTGGCTACGGACCCGGAACTTCCCAGTACAACCTGACAGTTTCCATCCACGATCTGCCTCAAAACTCGGATATCAAGTCGCGACAGGAATATTACGACCACGAGCGCGATCAATTGCTTCAAGAGAAGCAACGTCGCCACTTGAGGTCGGCAACGTAATATGTCAACAATATATAAAACTAACTTTTGTACGGGAGCACGGAATGTAAATTATTTCAACCCATACTATACATACTATACGTATAGTACCTGTAGCAAAACTGAACTATAAGACCAGAGCCTTTTATATGAAACCTCCGAGTGGATTACAGCCCTGGTCGCTGAATATGACTTTGCCCAATCTGCCCCCTGTAAGGCAATTTCATCAGCTTGCCTACACAACTTTTTGTCTAATGCGGAAAAAAGTCAGTTTTGATTGGTCATAAGCTCAACGACATAACGTGATCTGATTAGCTAAATTATTCTCGATTTGCCTCCAATCAACTGCTTCTGTACGAAAACATGATTGGTCAATAGTTCGAAGTGATGAATTGTGGACCAATCCGAATGGTGTATGTACGAGGTTGAAAGGTCATGCAAAGTAAATGGGAAATTCGAAGATCTTGGGGTACGTAGATCCATCCATCATCACCACGAGCGGCAAGCGTAACCGGACAGGGCCGCATCATGAGGCGCTTCTTCGTTACCCACGCGGCAAGCGTGTCGGTACTCGTTCTTCTAGCTGTCAACACCATCGTACATGCGGCAGTGGACGTGACGTTTCATTCGCTGTGGAGTGCCAGTCCACTACATCACGTGGTAATCACCACCAACGATCATTGGCAAGACGTTCCCGACGCACAAGTTTACACATTCCTTGCACGCCCGACCACCGTGCTCGTATCGTATTCGGTGACTGTGTTCCCTGAGATCGCATCGCTTCCGTCCACTGGCGGGTTCGCCATCATCGATGAGACCAAAGCCAAAGGCAGCGACGATCTTCTTGCGTTTCGGGTGGTCGTCGACGCATTCCCAGCGCGGCAATCTGGAGCGTCCACGGGTTACTTTCAAACTGAATCGTCCATTGTCAGCGGGTACTGGGCCACGTCACTCGCCGCCGGAAACCACTCAATACACCTCCAATGGAAAAAGCTCGGGATGTACGTAACCAAGTGGTCGATCAATCCAGATATAGGCACAGGGTTCTCAGGAGGATGTTCCCTTGTGGTGGCTGCCCAGCGCGCGGGCATGTGGTACTCGCAGCCATTGACCGCCATCGCAGTCCTCAAGCCGTTGGAGTGGGAGCCCGTGATGACATTGAGTTTCACTCTGGCCACCAAGATGAATGTCCGGGTGCTTTATCACATTCCAGTTCGACCAGACACGCTGCGAGTTGACGGGGGTTCGTTTTGATTGTATCTATACCGTGAATTCGATTTCAAACATTTCCGCTCAATGGTGTCATATGTGTAGCGGGATACGCTCTGGACGAAGTCGACGCGGTCGTCGACGTGGATGGGAGTCGGTTCCGTGAAACCAGCGCGACAGTTTTGACCCAAGCCAAGTTCAGCCAGCCGGGGGTGCTGCTGGGGGACGTCACGTTGCCCCTAACACGGGGCGCGCATGTCGTGACCGTGCTGTGGCGGCTGAGCTCCCCCACGGGGCGCAAGTGGCGGTCCATGCCATCGCTGTACGACGGCTTTATGATGGGCCGCCTGCTCGCTGTGATGGGGGAAACCCTCAACGATGTTGTCTATGTGTCCAAGGACCCGACCATCTACTCGGGCGTGCCGTCGTCGCAATGGTACAACGTCGGGTCACCCCTTCGCTTTCACGTAGCCGCGACGTCGAATGTGCTGGTGCAGTACTTTCTTCCGGTGCAGTTTCTGCGACACCCGTCGTTCCTGTCGTTCAACCAACTCGACGTGGGCGACGTCGGTGCCCGCTTGGTAGTGGACAACCAGCCGTATCGAACGACGGGGGCAACGATCAGCGGCGCGTCCAGGGGCGCCCAGACGGCCCAAGGAAACATGGTGTTGAGTTTGCATTCTGGAACCCATGTGATTCGACTGCAGTGGCAATATACACAACCCGGCGGGCTGGAGGCGCAGGACATGGTGACGATCTTGAACCACCTGAGTAACAACAACCAGGTCGTGGAGCTGTCGGTGCAAATGGATTTGTGGGTCGACAGCCCCGTCCTCGTTGCCCCCGTCGCCATCCATGGAGTTGAAAACCAACCATTTACCATCTTGCCGCCTGTCACGGTGCAAGATGCCAGCCCAGACAGCGTTGTGGAAATCAACTACGCGGTCGTCGTGTCGTTTGCAGCGCAGAAAGGACGACTGGACGTGTTGCCTTCGCCTAGTTCTGCGATGACGTTTCTGTCGCAGAATACAATGCAAGGTCCATTGTCTGACATCAATGAAGCCCTGGCCACCCTCACGTACACGCCCCCTGCGTCGTGGTACGGCACAGACACGATCACGCTCACTGTCGCAGATGCCAAGGCGTACGACGTGGAGCCTGTCTTTGGGCCCGCCACGGTGGTTGCCGTCACCGTCACACATACCCCTCGTCCCCCCGGCCTGGTCTTACCTCTGGTGCAATCGTCCGTGGCAGAAGACGGCAGTGTGGTCGTTCAAGGGCTGAGCGTGCAAGGAGACTTTACCTCTGTCACAGACAATGGGTTGTTTATCTCTCAAACGGTGGTTGTATCGTTGCAAGTGTCTAGTGGTTTGTTATCACCACATGCATCTGAAAATGTTGTGTTTACGCTCGGGTCGGGTTCTGGAGATGCGCACATTCGCATGCAGGGCAATGTGACAGATATCAACCATGCATTAGCATCGATCGTGTACACTCCGGACGAAGACTTCAACTCGATGCAGCACGTCGAGTCGTTGGAAGTGATAGCCACGGATGCCAAGAGCCAACTCACCGCGACCGCGTCCATTCCGATTCAAGTGCTGCATCGAAACGATCCGTCGACGGTGGACACGGTGAAGCCCTCCGTGGACCTGCGAGGGTACTCGCTCCAGGTGGCCCCGTCCGCTGCAGGTGAAATCATCTTTGTGCGACTTCAAGTTCATTCTCCATTGGGGCGAGTGAGTTTGCCGTCGGCGTCGACCAACGCGGTGTTTGCCACGAGCGCTCGAACGGCCCGGACGTTGGTCGTGCACGGTGTCGCAGCAGACATCCAACAAACCATGCAGACGATCCGGTATTCGCGGCACGGGGCGTTTTATGGAAACGACCTCGTCTCAATCGAATGCAGCGCATCGCCGACGTTCGAGACCAGTGATCAGTCGTTCATGCAGCTGCAGTTGTCCAAGGTGACGGCGTCCCTGAATGCAGGTAACGCCGGCCTTTGCAGAGAAGTTCACATGACGTTATTGTCATTTCTCGTACAGGTGTGCAGCTATCGTCGATCGCCCCAACGCATGGGAGGCCTGAAGGAGGTACCGTTGTTCGGTTAACCGGTTCCAGCTTGGACGGGGCGGGCCTGTCTTGTCAATTCGGCTCGGGGGAGCTGGTGCCCGTCGTTGCGAGCAGCTCCACGCAGGCCTCTTGTACTGCGTCGTCCGCGGGATCTACCAAAGATACGTTTGTTGTCGTGACCGATGGCTTTGCCATGTGGTCCAACATTATGCGATACAGCTACGATGGTGCGCCTTGTTTGATCTGTTTGAAGTTGTAAAAGCACTTGGATGTAGATCCGTGGGTCATCGCCAGTGTGACACCGTCCGCGGTAACCCAAGCCTCCGTGCTGGTCTGGTCAGGACTGCATCTCCCCAATGCGATCAACATGACGTGCCAGTTTTCGACTGGCGCGTCGACCAGAGCGACATACATTTCAAATCGCCAAGTTGAATGCAATATGCCGCCATTGGTAGGCCCAACCACGCAACTGGACGTGGTGTTTTCTCCAAACAACGGCGCAGACGTGTCCTCTGTGTACACGCTAACAGTCTATGGTGTGTCTAGAAAGTGATATCTAGGCTCCAACTTACGACACCAAATTAGGAGACTTGAAGGTCGTTAGGATGTGGCCAGACCAAGGACCCAGTGGAGGCAACACTCCCCTTCAAATCCAAGTCACGATTGTATCTGCCACCATGTTCTGTCGATTTGACGGTGATCACAAAGTGACAGCGACTGTTGTGAATGCCACGACTATTCAATGTGTGACACCGTATTTTAGTAAGCGGGGACATGTGTCTGTGTCTGTGAGTTTGGACGGCAAGCACTTCGTAGCTGCATCGTCAATGTTCGTCGTGTATGGTACGTGGGCTATCCACCAGTCGATCTAAAACTAACTCCATCATATTAGACACGCCGCACGTTACATCCATATTTCCCCCGCTCGTTCGCCCTGCCGACTTTGTCACTGTCCAAGGCATCCACTTTCCAGTCCCGAATGATGTGATTTGTTTATGGCAATCCGCGGCGACGGGAGCTGTGCTAGCTCAGAGTGCACTAGTACCTTCAAATATGGGAACGAACAACTCTACCGTTCGTTGCCAAGTTCCGACGACTCTTCAAACACCAGTGGAGGTACAAGTGGACCTGTCGTTCAACGGTATCGACTTTACGGCAGACAATGTCATTGTCACCGTTGTGACAACGTTGTTTTCAATCGCTCCCACTTTTGTGTGGAACGTGGGTCTATTCAAGGACATTTGGATCACCGGACCAAATGGCCATTTGGATGTGGCTGGCAGCGCTCTGCAATGCCAAGTTGGGTCGTCCATATCGCCCGTCGCGGCAACCGTGATCAACTCCACGACTGCCACGTGTCGTGTGCTATCAACATGGCTTCAATCCGACCTCGAAACCACATTGACGTTTGGGTATGCCGGGAGTCGTCTACCTCTGGGAACGTTTCCGTTTACTTTCGTGTCTCCCATGACCATCACATCGATGGCGCCACGGTTTGGACCGGGTGGCGCGGCTGTCACCATGATTCTGGCCAAGCCCCTGTCGTTAAGAATGCAGGAAGCAGTCGGGTGCACCTTCGGGAACTTGTACGCTCGTGGGCAGGTGGTGAATGGCAGTGTCGTGACCTGTGTGGTGCCCATGACAGACTCTCCAACAACGTCAGTTCCAGTGTCGTTGGTTGTGGACAACCAATTAGCATCGTGGACGCCCGTGTATTTCACGTACATTGTACCGCCGACGATGCTAGACATTATTGTGGTCCAGCGCAACCCAACCATTGTGGTCGTTCGCACAACGGGCCCCCTTTTGCCAAACCTGTCGTGTTTGTTTGGAAACGATCTCATAACCCCAGCCACGACAAGAATGGATTCGCTCGAGGTCGAGTGCATGGCTCCCCCGCCTTCGTCGTCGGTATCTGGATCCATGCAAGTGCAATTGCTGTACGAAATGATGCCGTACGCAGTCAACACATTAACGTACCAGCCCCTTCCACCTGCCCAAGTCACAGCTGCGACTCCGAATGTCGGGTTCATCCAAGCCAACACGACCATCGTATTGCAAGGCAGCGGGCTTTCTGTCCCCTTGGTGTGCCAGTTCACATGCTATCCAGCGGACTCACCCTTCTCCACATCGACAGCCCTTTTGTTGTCGTCGTCGATGGCCCAATGTGTCGCGCCTTCGCTTCCATCGCCAGCCTTAACGGGTTGCTCTGTATTGCAAGTCGTCGTCTTGGAATCCCACACTGTGTTATGGAGCTACGAGTTTCGATACATTGACCAATCCATGTTGCAAATCCCCCCAGTAGTTGGGCGGCCAACGCTCCAATTGAACGCGCCATTCGTCGTTGACGCCATGTGGGATCTTGTCGTTCCCCCGGCTTCGAATTTGATTGCGTGTAGCTTTGACGACTTTTCCGACCTTGGTTCGTCTGTGGTTGTGACGCCTGCGATCTCCGCCACACGATTATCGTGTCATGTCCCCCGTGGGGCAATTGGCGTCGGAGTCGTGCGAGTGCTTTGGCAGGAGTACGCCATCTTCACCACGGACATCGAAGTGATTCCACCGGCGCGAGTGGATTCGTACACTCCGTCGATTGGAGCTACGACTGGAGGCACTCGACTCCGCATTCGTGGCCAACGGTTCCATCCAGCGTTGCCATTGCAATGCCGATTTGAAGGGAGTTTGGCTGTGAATGCCCAGTACATGAACGAAACGCTTGTCGAGTGTGTGACGCCGCCGCGTGCACAACTCAACCAGACAAACGTGGAAGTGGTCGTGGGCCGTCAAGTCGTTTCGTTGCAACCTGGCTTCACCTACTTGGATCCACCAACACTTGTCAAGGCAATAGGAGGATTGTTGAGCGTATCTGTCCAAGTTTCATTAAATTCGCGACCCCAAGAACCATTCGACGTGTACTGCAACATTGCCAACATCACTACCTTTGGCGAATGGACGAAGAATTCGACTAGTGTTCGATGTGACGGCGGCGGGCCGTCGTCGGTGTCATTGAGTTGGAACACGCAAGAATGGAGTGAACGGCTGCCCATTCATGTGTCTTCTAGCGTGACGTCGTTGTGGCCTATGAAGGTATTCGCACGCCAAGCCCCGCAGTTGATTAAAGTAGCCGGACAAGGCTTTTTTTTAGCCTCGCACTGTGTCGTGGGGACCAAACGTCGCGTAGTTGTTAACGCTACTGACGACATTGTGTTTTGCCTTGTCCATAGCGATGATCTGGGGGACAATGCCGTCTCCGTGAGTATCAGTGTGAACAACGGCCAGATCGTTCTCGCTTCCAACTTGACAGTCGCAGTGTTCCCAGCCCCGACGCTTGAAGCCATCGAACCTGCGTTTGGGTCAGTGTTGGGAGGTACACTGCTGCACATGTGGGGGTCGAATCTGCCCGTGGAAGATGGCTCGGCGTGGTGCCAATTTCGTCCCACCGTGGCATCACGGGCCATCATCTGGAACACCTCGCTGGCTACGTGCACGACACCGCCATTTACGAGCATCGACGGCGACACCGATCGAGTTCTGGTCACGCTGTGGGTGAGTTCGAGCGATGTGTCGACGAATGCGGTTGCGTATGGTATTGGTGCTAGCCCACAGCTGACACTGGTTTTATCTCCAGGATTTCTCTGGACAAACGCTACTCCCCAACCACTTTCTGTTCGAGGGACATTCTTGAGAGACTCCAAGTGGATGTCGTGTCGATTGATGTGTTCCGATGGTCCTGGCATTTACGAGGTGGTAGAGATGACGGCTGCCCAGTGGATCGATGAAACAGAAGTCACGTGTGTTGGAGTGACGTGGCCAATCGCCGGTTCATTAGCAATTCAAGTTTCCAACAACGGATTTGACTTTGATTCGAATACGCTCCATATCCCAGTGGTGAACGTGCCTCAAATTCATGCCGTCAGTCCATCGCAAGGGCCACCGAACACCGTGCTTCACATCCAGTGGACATTGGACCCAGCCTTCAATTTGACTCAAGTGGCATGTCTCCTGCAGCAGCCCACGGACGACGGAGTGGTGGCGGCTAGTACTACTAGTAGTAGTCTTACCATCCCCGCGGTGAGTTTCAATCACACGGTTGTGACCTGCATCGTGGCCAAAGACACTCGACCGTCCACGGCGTTGATTTGGCTGGTCGTCAACGACCATCCCCAGCGAATTCCCACAATGGCTGCATTCCAGATCACTCCACAGCCCATATTGGACAGGGTGTACCTTCAACGTGGACTCCTTGGCTCGAGCGTGCACCTCGTTGGGACCAACTTCCCCTCTTCAGCTACCTGTCTGTTTCGTGTCAATATAAGTGAGGTGACTGTACTTGCCACTGTTACGAATGCTTCGTTTGCAGCATGCACCGTCCCCGCGATGGTTCGTCAAGGTCAAGTTGCCCTTGGGGGTAGTTCGTTCTCGATATTTCAAGACGTTTGTGGTGCGACTGTCAATTCATTCTGGCCAGCTCTGGGACGTACCGGTGGTGGTACCCAAGTTATTCTGCAAGGGTCCGGGTTTGCAGATTCTGCCGCATTGCGATGCCAATTTGGCGACGTTGATGTGCCCGCAATGTGGCTGTCCCCGTCCAACGTGTCGTGCCAAACGCCGCCATCACAACATGGTAATGCATCCCTGGTTTCTCTTTCACTTTATGGGTGTGGGAATGGCACGTCCACGTTCTTCTTTTATTACATTGACCCCCCGACCATCGATTACGCCGAGCGACATGACGACGTGGGCGAAATCCGGGTGTTTGTGTCTTCTGCGACTGCTGGATGGCCGAGCAACGTCAGCTCGGTCACGTGCCACGCAGACAACCGACTGGTCCAAGGACGTTGGTTCGTTGGAATGAACAGAGTGACGTGTCCTGTCTCTGTGTCTGTCCATCGAGTTGGGCTGTCACTCAACGGAGTGGACGTGTCGAATGTTGTGCTGGTGCGAGACAATTTGCTTGTGTTGGTGGACATCGTGCCTCGAATGGGATCTGTCGCCGGTGGACTCGTTTCTCTGATCTCTACTGTGTTCAATGCGTCGCGATCGTATGGATGCGTGGTGGACAGACAAGTCCGTGTGGACTTGGTCGTGATCAATGCCACGCATGGGCAATGCATGTTGCCGTCGTTCGACGGGTCGGACACGACGACCCACAGCATCTCGTACTTTGAAAACCAAGCGGATTATGGTGATACAGCTCCGCAAAGCAACACACTGGTGTACTGGGTAGTCCAGCCCCCTCAAGTCGACTCCATCGACCCGGTACTCGCCTTTCAATCCACGCTCACCACCGTCGCGTTGTTGGGACGTAATTTCATCGACTCGCCAATGTACCAGTGTCGTATTGGGAATACCAGTTTGCCCGCGAATTGGATCAGCCCGACACAACTGAATTGTGTGATTGCCGTTGAGCTCCACGCGAATGAGTACAGCGTCGGCTTGCTTTTCGCCGCAGATGCATCCAATTTCCTAGTTCCGCAGCCACTCAAATTGACCATCTTACCCGACCCTGAGATTGCCTTCATCACTCCCACCCATGGGAACGAATTAACGACAATCACAATCGTCGGGTCGTCGTTTCCACAGCTAGTCATGTGCGCCATGGACCAAGCGTTCGTTCAACCAACCTTTGTCAACCAAACGATGGTCGTCTGCGCCGTCCCGCCTCTGCTTTCGATTCCGTCCGTCCTGAAGATTTCTCTGGCTGTGAATGGTCACACCAGCCTAGCGTCGGTGCTATTTTCCGCTGAAGCCCCGCCGGCGATCCTTCAAGTGTTTCCAGCTACTATCGCGTCGACATGGACGTCTCCGTTCCAGCTCATGGGGTTGTTTACGAACACAACGCTACAAGTGCAATGTCGATTTGAATCAACGTCGTGGCCACTAGTAAAAACGACTATGGGCACCATTGGCAATCAATCTACACTGGCCTTTTGTCCGCCGCCAAAGGTCTCTCCATCGCTACGGATTGCGCTGAGTGTCTCCACCAACGGACAAGCGTTCAGCAACCGTATAAGTGTGTCGATTGTGTCCCCCGCAACGTTGGCCTCGGTGCAGCCATCCACCGTGATCTTCGGACCCAATTCCACCTCAGCCTTTGTGTCTTTACTGGGCTACAACATGCCCACCGAGTGCACTTGTGAGTTTCGACTCGCTGGACAAGCGGTAGCTGTCAGCAGCAGTGCCACGTGGGTCTCGTCGTTCAAAGTCAACTGCATTGTGCCGCCTTCTCTGGGCGTAAACACATATGCGATAACGCTAGTATATCAAGGCATGCCGCTGGCCCAAAATGCGTTGCGTGTGGAGCTGGCTCCGGTTCCCACTGTGATTCAAGTCTACCCCACAGCGACTGCAACGTTGCAAAACTCGTCCATGACGATCGTTGGCTCTGCGTTTTCAGCCAACACTCGGTTCATGTGCTCGTTCGGAGATAAGTTTGTCCAAGCGGTGCGAACCAATTCGACTATGCTGTCGTGCTTGATTCCGTCCACCGCTGTGCCTAACGTTGTCGCGTTTACGCTCACGGGAAACGACGTGGTTGTGTTAGTGAATCAGTCGTTTACGTACTTTGCGACCCCCCAAGTCGTGGAGATCGTGCCGTCTATCCTGCACCCTACTACTAGATGCGACACTGTCGATATCCGTGGGTTCGATCTCGTGCCCATTCGAACGTGCCATTGGGTGGCGCAACCAACTACGCCAACCGTCGTCGTCACAAGGGCCTTATATGTGAATTCCACGCTCGTCCAATGCAATCTCGACACGGTGTTGGCCACAGGAACGTACAATGTGTACGTACTTTGGAATGGCCACGACCTATCGCGAGTGGGAACCGTTCAAGTGGTTCCAGCGTTGCACTTGACGTCGATGGTTCCGTCGTTTGGAATGACGTGGCAGTCGGAGGTTGTTTTGTTTGGCTCAACCTTTTCCCCTCGAGAAACCGTGTGGTGCTATTACGACTTGATCCACGTTGAAGCGATCGTTGTAAACTCGACCGCCCTACGGTGCAATTTGCAGTTGAGTCCAGCCCAAATCAAGACCCACCACGTCGTATACGTTGCTGTTACAACCAACCAAGTCGATTATTCCAATGCTCTGCCGTTTCAGTTTGCCCCAGAGTTTTACGTACGGGCGGCCATGCCGGCCACGGGTACCGTCGCGGGCCAGTCGGAAGTGTACATCGTGGGGTACTTTCCTGTCCAATCTGGCACGTTTGAATGTCGATTCGGCTCGGCGTTTGTACCCGCGACGCCATTGAATTCATCGTATTTGGTGTGCTTGTCCCCGCCATCTCCCACGTCGTCTGGTGTTCCGTTGGCTGTGGCTTGGAATGACCTTGTCGTGGACAATACATTGTCGTTTGAATATGTCGACGCGTTCAAGATTGTGCGTGTCCGACCGATTTTCGTTCCAGTAGACAGTGCCGTGAATTTGGAGGTCACCACCAACGGGGGACTATCGCACGAGGACGCTGGTTCTATCGTGTGCGGGGATTTTGCACTGGCCCACATCGTCAACTCAACAAGTATGGTTTGTCCGTTCAGCTCCAATCGCTTGGGTATCCACACCATTTACATGCAGAACAATCGACAACGAACCGTCCTTGGACAAGTGCAGGTCACAGTCTTATCAGTGCTCGACATTGACAACGTCACCCCCACTCAAATTTCAGAAGCTGGTGGCGCAATGGTCACCGTTCGAGTGGCCACCGACGACATCATGTCGTTGCAATGCCGGTTTGGTGCAAACTCGAGTACTGTACAAGCCACGTACGTCTCGCAAAGGCACTTCACATGCGCCGCTCCGCCTTCCAAACCAGGTCCAGTAACAGTGTCGTTTAGCTACAATGACTTTGCCACACCTGCAATGGCATCTTGGAGTTTGCAGTACAGAGCCATGGTCACCCTTCACCAGGTGACCCCTCGGGTAGGTCTTACGTTGGCGGCGTCGTCGACAGAAGTCATGGTTCGAGGAACGAATTTCTGGCCATCCGTGCATTGGCAGTGCCTTTTCGGTCGATCCAACGTTGTGCCGGCGGTGTTTGTCAACAGCACCGCGATTGCATGTGCAGCTCCGGCTTTCGTGTCGGACACGACTGTGGACGTGTTTGTGAGCTGGAATCGCCAAGAAACCAGCACCAACAGCGTCTTGTTCCAGGTCATTTCGATCCCGACAACTCTTGCAATGCGAGTCGCACGGCAAGACCAGATGAATGCAACGGTGGTCGTCTACGGGGCGAGCGGGCATTTTACGCCTGGCACGTACACTTGTGGTGTATATACCACGGCCAATAACAACAACGTCAGTGGACCGATCATGGTTGCAGCAAGTCTGGTCAATGCTTCATCTGGGTTGGAGTGTATCGTTCCGTCTAGCTTCGTCACGACAGACTTGACCGTCGACGTGTGGTTCCAAACGTCCAAAGTGGCAGCATCTGTCGGCTTTGTAGTGGACTCGGCGGCCGATGTCCTACTTAGTGGATCGTATTTCGTCCAAGAACCCCGTGTTCAGTTGTTTGGAGTGGGCTTGCACACGCACTTGCTGTGTGACTTTGGCGGGTCGGTCGTTGGTGTTGAGAATGTGTTGCCATATGTGATTCAGTGCACGTTGCCCCGATCAACAACACCAACAACCACGCTGGTCGTGCGAGCTGGCCAGTCCCTCGTTGTCTTGCGGTCGTACGAGCTACCACGAGCCGTGCCGCCAGTAGTTCAAGCCGTGCTGCCCAATTTCACGTCGTCGTTCATGCTTGTGAATGCCGATTCCACCACCGTTGAAATCATTGGCACCCACTTTCAGCCGCTCGCGTCTGCGTACTGCGTCGTGAACTCAACCGTTCGAATTCCGCTTCAATTCGTGTCGACCTCGTCCATGACGTGCATTCTATCGTCAAGGACGACGACAAGATTGCCTCTAGGGGACGCAATTCCGTTCGGAATCGAGTACGGTGACGTGGTTCTGTTCTCGACAGTGTGGAAAACTTCCACGGGACCTTCTTTGAAGGCCATGCCGCCATTGATAACATACGGATCGAAGATGGACCTCCGCGGCACATCGTTTCTGCCGAGTTTGTGGATTCGCTACGGCAATGACTTGGTGGTTCCGTGTAACGTGACGTCGGACTCGGTGGCCACGTGTCCAGCGCTGGCTAGCGGGGCGCACCCAACCGAGTGGGACGTTGCGTTATCGACAAACGAAGGAAGGCAGTTTGTGTCCTTTCCCACCTTCGTCTTGGCCATGAAACCTGCGGAGGCAGAGGTCCTTGACGTGTGGCCATTGATTGGATTTGAGAACACTTCAACTCGAGTAACAGTTGAAGGTTATTCCTTGGACACGCTGGAAACGCTAACAGCGGCATCCTCGTCAACAGTGCAGTGTCTATTTGGCACTGTGGCTTCGGCCGCCGTGGTCGCATCCCCCACGGAACTGCACTGCATGGCCCCGCGGCAAGCCCCTGGCCTTGTCACACTGTCCATCGTTCCAGCAACAATGTTCCGTCAGCTCAAGTCATTTACCTTCCAGTACATCGTACGACCAGTCCTGGTCAGTGTGCAACCGACTGTCGGAAGTGGCGGAACGCTCGTCACCGTTACAATGTCGTTCATTCCGTTCACTCCTACGCTTTCGTGCCAGTTTGATGTGGATATGGTGCCGGCCATGTATGTGAATTCCACGACGATTGTATGTCAAGCGCCTCGATACCACTCGGCAGGCCGTGAGGCATTGCGTGTGTTCCTGGACTCGGAAAACGAAGTCATGCCCTCAACGTCAGCATCAGCTACGTTTGAGTTCCGTCCGACGCCGGTAGTGTCCTCCGTATGGCCTGACTACATGTTGGACAAGGCAGATGCCATCTTGACCGTGCATGGCTTCAATCTTGACGTGAATACGTCGTGTGTACTTGCCTGCATATCGTCGTCCAACCAGTCTGTTCTAGTCCATATCAATACCACGGTGATCTCCCCAACTGAAGTGCAATGTGCAGTGAAAAAACACGGACGTTCGTGGCCAACCGATGTATCGTTGTACGTGTCAACGCTCGAGTCGATCCATTCCAATGCCATCAGCATCAAGGTTCTGCATGCCGTGCAGCCCCAGCAGTGGACTCTGTCGCCCAAAAGTGGCTCCATACAAGGCGGATACAGCATTCAAATCACGGGAGCGCATTTCCCGATGCTCACAGTAACGTGTTGGATTGGCACCGTGCAAGCTCGAGGCATGTGGGTGAGTTCCCATTTAGTGACATGCCGACTTCCGGCAGCCCCGGACACGTCCCTGCGACAAGTCACTCTTCAATTTGGGGAAATTACCATTCCAACGCCCCTAGACTTTCAGTACACCGCCAACGCGGTCGTGCAGAGTTGCACCCCGTCCACTGGCATTGCCAATCTCCCTACATTCATTGATGTTGCGGGAATGCACTTTGCCTTTTCCCAGGATGTGCAATGTCAGTTTGATCTCGTGTCGACGCCTGCCATCCATTTGTCGTCGACGTCTTTGTGGTGTCTCACGCCGCCACGTCACGTGGAAGGTACCGCGACGTTTCAAGTCGTGTCTGGTCTCGATGTCCTTTGGACGAGCACTTTCACGTTTATTCCGATGCCGACTTTACACCGTCCTCCGTACCCGCTGGTGGGTTGGCCGTCGTCGACAGTGCACTTGATGGGATCTCATTTGATGTATGTGGCGTATTGCCAATTTGGCGATGCGACCATCGTGCCAGTGCAAACGAAAAGTTCCACCCTTGTCACATGTACGGTGCCCAACAACACACTGGGAATGATGTCTACCTCTAGCGTGTCTGTACGAGTCACTGCGGACGAGTTGCTGCCAACCACGCCGCTTCCGTTTACGTACATCCGTCCCATGTCGATCACGTCCTTGGCCGTGCTTTCCAGCCACGTATTGGATGTAATTGGGCATTTCTACGACGCTTTGGATCGTGTTGATTGTGTCTTTGGCCTTGCTGGAAACACGTCAGGCGCAGTGGTGTCATCCACACGGTTGAAATGTCCGATTCCTGACCGACAGAACACCACCGACGAGCTGGCCACGACTCCGTTTTCTGTGGTGTGGAATTCTTGCAACGAAATCCCGACAACCCCACCACTGCCCACAAAAGTCACGTTTACATTTCCCAAGCCAGTCCGCGTCTCAAAGTTAGCTCCGGATAGGGGGTCGGTGGATGGAGGAACGCTGGTTCGCGTGTTTTTTGCTAGTGTTCCGAGCACGACGACGAGTGTGAAGTGCATCTTTGGGTCGCAGTATACCCTTGGTAGTTACGAAGCTGACCGTCGCAGTGTCGTGTGTGTGGCGCCCCGTGGAACCCCCAACGAATCTGTCGATGTGTCGCTCGTGGTGGACACTGCTTTGATTGAAACAACGCTGAAGTATCAGTACGTTGTCGTCCCTGATGTTCTGTCCATAGCCGTCAACTGGATCAACGAAATGGACTTGCAGCTTCGCGCGACTGTACGACCTCCGTTGTCGTCCAATGCTACCGTGTGGCTACGAGCAAACGGAGGAGTGCCATGTCGTGGAGTCATTCTAAGCCAAACAGAGGTATCATGTGCCCTGACCAACGTTGTAATCCATACCACCCACCCAACGGACGAATGGACGATGGAACTGTCCGTCAATGGAGTCGACTTCAAAGCCCTTTCAACCCATCTATATATCCGACCTGAACACATGCAAGTGTTTGAGATTACGCCGGCGTATGCCATGGTGAACACCTCCCAACAAGTGATGGTCACGGGTCGTGGCTTTGAACTTTGCCATCAACAACACAGGGGAGCGTTTTGCACGTGTGCATTTGGAAAGGTTTCGACAGTCGCTCAGTACATTTCCCGCACCTTGCTCACATGCGATGCCCCCCGCGCTTTCGTCGGTGAAGCGGTGCCGTTCGCACTGATTGCCAACGGAACTATCGTGCCTACGTCTGGCTCGGCTGGCCTCACGTTTGCAGTAGTACACAGTACTGTGGATGCACTTTATCCCCTTTCGGGGCTAGCTCGTGGCGGCGCTGTGATCAACGTCCGAGGTTATGACCTCGATCCTCGTCTGGGGTGCTGGTTTGACGACAAGATATTTTTCCCGGCAACTGTTCTCAACTCGACGTGGCTGCAGTGTGTGGCACCTGCTCGCCGCACGTCGTCAACTGTTGCCTTGGCCATAGTGTTAAGCTTAGATCGTCAGCAGATTTCCCCTGCCGTCAACTTTACCTATGTCGATACCCCCGTCGTCACCCAGATGTCCCCCCCTGCTATTTCTGACATGGGCAGTCGCACTGTGTCCTTGGTCGTTGAATCGTTTGTCGCTGGAATGGATTGGAGTTGTCGATTCGAAACGTCGAGTGGCCATAACTTTGCTGCGCCAGGAGTGTGGTATGCTGAGAATTCAACCTTCGCGTGCAACGTCCCTAACATAAAGGATTCCACGGCGGTGCTTGTTCACCTCGTGCTCAATGGAAACGAGGTCATTGAGACTGGATGGCAGGTAGATATCCTTGCATCCAACACGCTCATGTCTGTCGTGCCCACACTAATTCCCCGCGATATTGGGGTTCCAATCGTCGTCCAAACGACGTTTGTCATCCCCCGTTCCGTTAGCCTCCAGTGCAACTTTATAGGGCCCAACACTACTGCGTACACTGTCCCAGCATTGGCGGTGTCGACGACCAGCGTGGCTTGTGACAGTCCCCAGTTTGCACTTGCTGGAACTGCGACTCTAACCTTGGGTATGTATGGTCAAGCGTATAGTACCAATGCGCTGTCCATGTACGTGTACGATCGTCCGCTTGGGGTCAGCGTGCTTCCTGCGTTCGGACCCGTTGGTGGCAATGTATCTGTGCGTGTGTTGGGAACGAATTTCTTGCCGTCCTTGGACCTGGCATGTCGATTTGGCTCTTCGATAGCTGTACTCGGTCGTTACATTTCTAGTAACGAAGTGCATTGTGTTGCGCCTCCGTCCATCATAGCTGGCATGGTCGACGTGTTTGTAACACTGAATGGACTGTACTTCGACCCGCTGTCTCTCCAATACGAGTACTTGCCCGAGTGGCACATCCGCACCGTGACACCGTCGAACGCTCCTATTTCCGGCGGCACGGCCATTCAAATCCTCTTAGCTTCTGCGACCTCGTTCAACGAATCCGTCAGTTGCTCGTTTGAGCATGGGGGGATTGTGCCTGCCCGAACACTCTCAAACAACACGATTGAGTGCGTGACGCCGCCCTTTGACCGCCCAACGTCGGTGCGACTCGGCCTTCAAACGTCGTCCTCTGGACTGACGCTGGCCCAAAGTGCCACTTTGATTGAGTTTGTGTTGCCGATTCAGATTCAGTCCACGGCGCCCACGGCTGGCATCGAACGGACAAAGCTGGCTGTGCACATCTATGGCTATAACTTCCGTCCCACAGTGCAATGCCGTGTCAACCACACAATCATTGAGGGTGGTGCCATGCTCATGTCGCCGTTCCATGTCCGATGCGTGATCCCAGCTAAATTGGCCCAAGACGTCGGTACTTTGGACGTGACCAACAACGTGATCGACTTTGCCTTGGCGGCCACAGTGCACTTTTATCCTCCGCTGATCGCTGTAAAGGTGAGCCCCCACAATGGCCCTGTTACAGGTGGAACTCCAATTCGCCTCTACGGTGCCAACATGCACTTGGTGTCGCTGTGTCGATTTGATCGTATTTTGATGCCCGTGACTCATATTCAACCCAATGAGATCGAGTGCACGACACCCCCGCATGCCGCCGGTGTGATTGAAGTGGCGCTGTCGGGCAACCACCGCGACTTCACGCCTGCGCTCGTTGGGTTTGAGTTCCAATTAGTTCCCCAAGTCTCGTTGGTCCTTCCTCTGCAAGGCCAAGTCAATTCGTTGGTTCAAGTGACCGGGTCGGGGTTTGTATCCCCAGCTTGGTGTCGCTTCCACTCGGAGATGGTCGAAGCGCAGGTGCTTTCGTCCGCGGCTTTGACATGCATGGCTCCCCCCCTTGTGCTGCCAGTGGTCAATGGCAAAGTTCAAACCAAAGTGCCAGTTGAAGTGTCTCTGAACGAAGGGCATGACTGGTCGTTCAACCAAGTCATGTTTGAGTACGTTAGACCCTTTTCCGTACGCCGAGTGTCGCCCCTCGTCGGCTCAGAAAGTGGGCAAACAGCTGTACATTTGTATGGCCGTGGCTTCCAACCCTCCAAGCGCTATACATGCTACTTTGACACGAGTGATGTCCTGGCGATCTTTGTGTCGGCCAAGCAATTGGTCTGCAAGACCCCGGCGCATCTCCCCGGAACTGTCGCCCTCATATTAGCCGACGAACAAGCTAACACACATTCCATTCCGTTTGTGTTCCGATACACGCCGGCCATTACACTGCACGACGTGACGCCATCGATTGCAAGCTCCAACGGCGGCGACACGGTGTGGCTGGTTGGGTTGCACTTTTACTTCTCGTTTGCGATGGCGTGTCATTTTGACTCGACAGTTATCCCTGCTGTGTTTTACAACGCGACGGCCGTGTCGTGCGTGACGCCGCCACACATTTCCGGCGATGTGACGCTGGGCTGGAGTGCGAACGGGGTCGACGTGGAGCCGTCCGGCTCGATCTTGTTCACGTTTGTGGACCCCCCGGTGATTGCTGCCGTGTCCAAGGTGTCTTCTGCGTTGGGGGATGTCGTTCAAGTCACAGGCCGACATATTACGCCACAGACGGTATGTTGGATCGACGGATATGAGACACGGTCGGTGGTGGTGTCTACCAATGCGATCAATTGTACTGTTCCGCCCCTGGAGAATCGACCCACGGTTGGCACGTTGCAACTGATTCGAGACACATCAGTGCGTTCAAATGTCGCTCGCCTTTTATACATGCTACCTGCCATCGTTCGCAACATCGTGCCACCTTTTGGGTCGACTCGTGGACGCACGCCGCTACGCATCCTCGGGCAAAACTTCAACCGGTCGCTGCATCTAGCATGTGTCTTTTCTGCCAATGCTACGTCTGCCGAACTCGATCGAACGGTGGCGACGTTTGTGTCGCCATACGAGCTGCATTGCTTGTCCCCACCGACGCCCGAACCCCAAGCAATGCAAGTAGCGGTATTTCAGTATGACGTGGCTGTCTCGTCCACTTCTGGATCGTTTCGAACTATCCCGTTCGCCCAAGTGTACCAAGTGACGCCTGACCATGCATTGCATCGAGGGGGACAATCAATTGTAGTGCGAGGGGCGCATTTCGTCCAGTCCAGCGCGTTGCGCTGTGCATTCGGCACACAATTGGTCCCTGCTGCGTACGTCAACTCGACGTGCGTGAGGTGTATTGCTCCTGCGCATGAGACAGGGTCCGTGGCCTTTGGAATGAGTAACAACAACGTCGATGTTGAAGCTACCGACGACGGCGTGCAGTTCACGTTTGTCCAACCTCTGTTTGTGCACAGTATTTCGCCGGCCAGTGGTTCGGTTGTGGGCAACACGACGATTGCGATCACTGGCTCTGGCTTTGGACCTGCTCTGATGTGTTGGTTTGGTGATGTGTCAGTGGTCGCCGTCGTGACGTCCAACGCCAGCGCCGTGTGTGTCGCACCGCCGGCACAGAAAGACTTCAAATCCACCAGCGTGATGTTGGGGGTGTCTGTAGGCAGCCAGCCGCCCCTTGTGTTTGTCGAGTTTACGTATGTCGTGACCAACCGCGTGGAGCGATTGACACCGTCTCAGGCCTTCTCAGTTGGAGGGACGACGTTGATGATCCAAATGACTCGAGCGACTCAAAATGTGTCGTGTTGGTTTGGCAATCAATTACCCATCGCAGCCACAAGAGTTTCGTCCACGCAATTTGCATGTGTTACCCCTTCAGCACCCGTCGGAATTGTCAACTTGACCATTACAAGCGGCACCCACGGCTCCATGGACATGCTTCCGTTTGAGTTTGTCCCGACGCCGAAAGTACTCAATGTCGCCAAGCCAACCACTAGCCCTTTAAATGGCGGTAGCGACATTGAAGTCCTCGGGTTCCACGTCGAGTTTGTCCGCCAGTGTCTTGTTGGCGGGGCAGAGCCAGTCCCAGCTTATGTCGTAGACCACAGTGTGCACTGCATCAGTCCACCGCAACTCGATCCTGGATCGTACCCACTCGTCCTACTATCCCCGTATGGCAGCATTGACACAACATTCAGAGTGCAGTACGCCGATGACATTGCAGTTGTGGTCGCGGAAGGTTTTCCAGATGAGTCCACACGTCCAGAATTGCTTCTAGTGTTTCCAGACTCTGTTGAGACCAGTGGCGGATCGGTGCTGCGAATCCGCGGCCGTGGCTTTCAAAACAGTCGGTTCTTGGCGTGTCAATTCGGCTACGACTCTGTGCCTGCCACGTACCTGTCGTCGACGCTCCTGACGTGCGTGGCGCCTCGCCATGTGCCTGCGACAGTGGTGCTCGAAGTCACCTGCGACGGTGTGACGTTTTCGCTGTCGGGGACGGAAATTCAAGTGGTACACGATGCCGTGGTCACGCAACTGTCTCCCGGACACGGAACCCCCCACGGCAACACGTTGGTGACCATCCAAGGCAGCCATTTCCTTCCGAATTCCCCGCACCTGGTGTGTCGCTTTGGACCTGTGCGAGTCCCGGCGACGTACGTGTCGTCGAATGTGATACAGTGCGCAACCCCCCCTCAAGAAGACACGGCCTCCAGTGTCGTCTTGGTGCACGTGTCCAATAACAACGCGAGTTTTACCAGCCATGGTCTGTTCTTCACGTACTCCCCCACCCCGTGGATTTCCTCCATTTGGCCAATGCGAGCGACCCAAATTGGAGGCACCATTGTGACCGTTCGTGGCTACCATTTTACACCTCGACAAGTGTTTTGTGTGTGGAACGTCTTGCCACAACGCACTAGTTTGGCTCAAGTCGTAACGGCCACGTTGCTGCGATGCGTCACCCCTCGCAATCTCCCTGTGGGGCCCCTGACCTTGCAACTAACTACAAACAACCAGGACTTGTCCACTGGTTTAAACCTCGTCATTACTCCGAACGTGGTGCTTACAAAGCTCGTGCCGTCGATTGGTCCAGCATTGCGAGGGAGGACGTTGGTGCACGTCGTTGGGTCTGGCTTTGAAAACCAAGTGGAACTGTCGTGCCGGTTTGGAACTGCACAGGTCGCAGCGACGTTTATAAACTCGACATTGATCCAATGTGAGTCCCCGCCCCATTCCGTAGGCACAATTCCCCTCCAAGTAACTTGGAACGGCGTGGACGAAGCCGTGGATGCTCTACCTTTTCAGTTTGTCGACGACTTGGAAGTTAGTGTGCTGACGCCTATGCACAGTCTAGTTACAGGCCAACGCCCTGTGTTCGTCAAAGGACTGAACTTTCTCAACTCGAGTTCGCTCGCGTGTCGATTCGGGGAGCTCATGTCACCGGCCACCTTCATTTCCTCAACCCTATTGGTGTGCATAGTGCCTTCTCGGGTAGGTAACTTGGTCGATCCCGTGGGGCTGGTCTCGTTCGACGTGACATGTAACGGTGTGGACTTTACATCCAGTGGTCTTCAATTTGAATACCTCGGTGCATGCCCTGCCTTGCGATACTGCACTGACCACGACATTGCCCTGGTTCCCAATGGAACGTTCCCAGCGTCCGATGGCCGCAACTTTTCGCAATGTCCGCCGTCCACGTTTCAGCCTCGCGCCGGCCAGCCGTCGTGTCTTCCGTGTCCAGTTGGATTCTACTGCCCAGACTTTGGCTTGTCGAAACCGATTTTGTGTCCGGCGGGGTTTGTTTGCGACCGCCACGCGCTTCGCACGCCAGAAACCATGTGTCCGGAAGGTCATTATTGTCTTCCGGGGACCAAGAGCACCAACGTGCTGGACTTCCAGAACCGATCCGACTATGTCGTGAATTCTGAAACCGGCATCACAACATTTGATGTGACGTCGCGGTCGTGGAGTGTCGTGCCTCGGCCAAGCCCAGCCACGGGGTCACGCCGTCTGGAGCAACCCCCCAACTTCGTGGACCCTCAGTGCCTCACTCGACAATGCGATTTCAACACGTCCAACCTCCTTGCTGAAAAGCCCTTTGTTTGTCCTTTGGGAACGTTCTGCCGCAGTGGCGTGTCGACTCCATCGATGCAACTCCAAAACTTCAGCTCCCCCCAGCCTTGTTTTCGAGGATTTTTCTGTTCTAGGGGGTCCACGTCCCCCGAAGGCCAAGGGCCGTGTCCATCTGGTTACTATTGCCCGACCATCACGGACGCCATTGCGTGTCCACGGGGCTCGTACTGTCCCGGCGTCGGTAATGTCAAGCCCATCGCGTGCTACCCTGGGTCGTACCAACCGCTGGACACGCAACCCATGTGCCAGTTGTGTCCGGTGGGGTATATTTGCCCAGGTTTCAACCGTACGGCGCCGGAGCTATGCCCGGCAGGGTTTGTCTGCTCATCTTGGGGGCTCAGCGTTCCCGTGGTCACATGTCCGTCGGGGTTTTACTGTAACGAAGGCACGTGGTCCAGCGATCCAGCCGAGCTCACCCAGCTCCGCCCGATTCCTTGTTCGCGTGGAACATTCTGCTACGCGGGGGTCAAGCAAGATCTGACCATCGACTGGCTTCCCATTGCCCCTGAAGGAGCCACAGCCAAACAAACGTGCACGGAAGGAACGTTTTGTCCGGAGGGGACTGTCGCCAGTACACTGTGCTACCCTGGCCACTACTGTCCTCCGGGCACGCAATTCCCATTGCAAGTGCCATTGGGCACGTTTTCTCAACGCGAAGGATCGATTGCCCCGACGTTGTGCTTCCCCGGAACTTTTTCCACGTTCAAAGCGAGCACAGAATGCCGCGTTTGTCCGGCTGGGTACGCATGTGCCGGCTATGGCGTGTACATTCCATCCATTTGCGCGGCAGGGTACTATCGATCGGTGGCGGATTCCGTGACTTGCCGACTCTGTCCGGAAGGCACGTGGTCTCCAGACACCGGTCTTGCCGACATTTCGTACTGCCAACCGTGTCCCGCCGGTCGTATTTGTGGATTCCAAGGTACAAACAATAATACCATGACACAAGGTTGAGCATATATCGTCTTATGGGTTGTCGTAGGGCTCAACAATCTCAACCAGAGCATTCCGTGCCCGTCGGGGTATGTATGCGGCGAAGCTACAACGCGGGAGCGGCAGTACTTTCACATGTGCCCTGGTGGGTACCTCTGCGGCACGGAAACGACGCAGCCCAAGCAATTTGACCACATATGTGCCAGTGGAAATGTGTGCTATCGAGGCACCAAGGACACGGAGAGCACGCGATTCAACTGTCCGCAGGGGAGTTTTTGTCCGGCCGGCACGGCAGACCCCGGCGTAAAGGAGACGCAGTGTCCGCTTGGCACGTCGTCGCAGCCAGTGTCGAACGAATTGACTGACTGCAGCATCTTGCCTGTGGCCGTGTGCGACAAGTCGCCCGTCGACACGTCGTATTACCCCGTGTTCTCGTACGTGTTCCAAGGCACGACATATCAGTACAACTCGCAGACCAACATTGGCCGGACACCGGAGATTCAAATCCTCAAGAAAATTCTGCCCGTGAACCTCAGTGCCAGCGCCGCGCCGTGGGTGAATGACACCATCGATGTGATCCGGTCCTGTCCGACTGTCGTGCCGAGCGTCGGCGGTACCCTCGTAACGATCGTGGGCCGGAACTTTCTACCGTCCAACCGCCTTACATGTGAGTTTCAGCTATTGGGAGGCGATCTTGTGTTCATGTCTGTCCCCGCCGCCTACGTCAACTCTACTCGAGTGATGTGCCGGACGCCGCCGTTCACGTTTGTCGCCGACTCGTCGCAGCTCGAGGCGGACGTGATGGTCTACGTGACCAACTTTGGTGTCCATCGCAGTGCCACGGGGGCGTCGATCTTGTACACGTCGAATCCAATCACGGTCGACATGGACTGTGGCTACAACGACGACGAAGAAGGGCCCCGGCCCAAAGCGCTCGGGTGGTTTGCCCTTCGCGCGTTTTCGCAAGCGTTTTTGTCGTTTGACTTGCGCGCGATTCCAGCTGACATGGTGTACGACGAGCATTACAAGATCGCCTTGTACGTGACGCCCAGTATATGCCAGGATGAGCAATGTGACGGGCGTGGGATTCTGAAACCGCCAGGGGACGACACGGAGACGAGTCCATGCCGCCAGCCGATCGTGTTACCGTCGTGGATTACGTCATCCGACTTTGAACAGCGCACAGTCGTCAACTTGACGGTCATGGCGCTCGAAGACATGCTTATCAAGCCCGAGATTCACCTCCTGTATGGGCTGTTCTTGGCTGCCGAGGACTTTTTCGTCAACACGACGCAAGTGGATATCACGTCGCCTGCCAGAGCCAACGTCACGCAAGGCATCGTCGCCGACAGTCGACCCCTGTCGTCCGTGATTTCGTTTGAAGAGCGCCTTGTCCCAAGGGAGTATACGTTTGTGGCCATCTATCGCCATGAGTACAGCCTGGTGACTCCCGTGCCGCTGAATCTGCCGCCCCGATTCGACCAATTCGAGCGTGGCCGCGTGCTGATCAAGGCCAACGTGTCTGTCGGCAGCGACCAGCCGAATCTTCGAGATATTCCGACGCCCCTGCCCCTAAACTATTGGAAACTCCCGTACGACACGCTCGAAACGACTGTCGCCAAGACGGCAAAGTACCGCGAAACGTTTCAAGGACTCAGTGCTGCCCACGACACGTATGCTATGGAGCAGGTACAGTACAATCTCCAAGTTGGTGATGATGCGTGAGTTACAGTTGTCCTACTACTAGGTCGTGCTGCCGTACTTGCCGTTCTTTTCGCATTGCCGAACATACGACTCGTACATTCCAATCTACGACCTGCTGGAAAGCCCCGTCGAGTGCCAGTTGCCAGGCTTGGAAGTGTTTGACCGGAACTGGTGGCGTCGAACGTTTCCGCCCATCCCAAACCAAGACGACATTCGGGTGGTCGCGCCCACAGACGTCCTCGAGGAACCTGTCGCAGATTACTGCTACCGCCAACTTCAGTGCAATTACGAAGAAGACTTGGCGTCCGTGGACGTCAACCCGAGGTGGTACGAGGCCAAGGACCTCACTCATTTATTTGACATGTTGAACGAACCCGTCATGTACGCGCAATATTTGCAAGGGGGCGACCTGTACAACACGTTGCTGGCCGCGGCCAACTCGGACATTTTCGTGCCCGTGCTCGTCGATCGAACTGCCGCCGAGCGCATCGAGGGCGGGTGTCTGCTCCAGTGCTACCCTCGCAGCGTTACGCTGCAGCTAATGTACTACCAAGTGACTTCGGAGCTCAAACGCTTGGTGTCGGCGACGCTGGTCTTTGATGAATTCGACAACGACGCCAGTGTGTCAGACTATACGCTCAAGGTCGAGTACGCGCCGTTGAACTACATTGAGCTCGTGATCCACTTTGCGTTCGACCTGAACGTGTTCATGGTGCTCTTCAGTTGCATTGGGTTCACCTGCACAGCGATTGCCAGTGTGTTTTGGCTCATCACGCGCCTCACGACCAGAATCCGGGACCCGCCCAAGTTGCGGTACTTGTCGTACCTGGCGCTGATAGCCCCGCCCCCGACGATCGGCATCGTGCTGGCGTCCGTGCCGTGTGCCACCGTCATCGGGGCGTTCTACCTCTTGCTAAATGGCGACGTTTTTGGGGACTATAAGGCCAACGCGTACCCGTGGTCGCCGTGGGGGTCCGAGTTCTGGGGCCTCGACAACATGAAGAACCACTATATGGCGCTGCAAGTGGACCCGACGATGGTGCAAACCCTTCGCCACGGCCGTGTGGGGCTATGTTTTTTCATCCTGGCCATCTTCCTGCTGTGCGAAGGGGTGATGATCTTCATCCCTCGTACGATTTCCATCTCGGAGCGAGCGGCCGAGGACAAGGGTGGCGACGACGAGTCACTTTGGAAGCCCACACCGTGGCGCCGCGCCAACGTCATACTCACCTGCGCCGTGGTGTCACTGTTTCTAGTCATGGTGATCGAGTACTCGTTCTGGATCGACTTTGGCGCCAACATCTTTTACACCCAATTGTCGTTTGAACTGGTCGTGCCGACCGTGATCATGGTCGTCGATGCGTGTGTGAGCGACTCGCTGCTGTACGCCCCCATCGTATGCGTGATTAACGTGATCTTTGCCATGGTGTTGATGGCGGCGCCAGACTTTTTGGGGTTTGTGATCGCGTCGTTCACGGCGTTCGGTCTCGTCCTCGTGCGCCGCGTGTACATGAAGCCCACGTTTCATGCCATAGTCCAGACTCTCAAGGAGACGGCGGCGGCATCGAAAGGGCTCGCCAAGCAAGCCGCCACAATGATGAGGTTTTACCTTGGACGAAAGCCAAAGAAGCCACCCGTGGCGGACGGAAAAAGCGCCGACGCGACCAAGAAAGAAGACGACCCCCCCCTGCCTCCCAAAGTGGACACCGACGACGGCGGCGGCGCGACCGTGGAACCTATCATCGACTGCTGCATGGAGTACACGATGACGACCCTGGCCATGTTCTTCCAGCCGATTGTAATTGCCCTGCTCATGGTGTTTCGGGCCGAAACCTCCATGTCTGACAACTGGAGCATCCGCCACCAAGACATGGAGTACTACTTTTTCTACTTTACGCTGTTGATTCCGTTCCGGTTGTTGGCTGACGTGTTCATTCTCCACGTGATCGAGCTGTTTCGCGGGTGGAAGCTGTATGATTACTTTGTCTACTGCCGATACCGGTTCATTCAGCGCGAACATCGATGGAAGGGTATGGAACACAACCTGGACGAGTGCATCGAGCAGGGCGTGCGCCACTTGGATCAAATGTGCTTTTCGTCGCAGTACTACTTTATGTGCGCGATTCAAACGTGGGGCATGCTGAGCCTCATCTTGGCGATTGAAATCATGGTGCGCAACCAGTACAACATGTTTGGCGACCCCGCCGCCATCTACTTGATTCCGTTCATGCTGTCCGTGTGCGTCTTTACACGCAACATGTGCCTGTACATTTCCCGCAAGTTTGCCATGTACAAACTCCGCCACGAAAACACGGCGTGGCACAACGCCCCCGACGACGACGACAGCGGCGTCCCCGACTGGGAAGAGCTCGAGCGGATCAAGGGGGCATCCCACGAAGCCTTCCTCATGAACCAGCGCCTCACGAGTGAGACATTCCGATTCAAGTTTCTCAACTACAACCGCCCGTGGATCGTCGCCCAGCTGCCCAACATTCTCACCCCGAGGACTCTCCGACGCGCGCGGCCATACTTGATCACTCAGTTTTCCAAGATCCTCAGCAGTTTGAACCCAAATGTGTCGGACGATGACGACGACGGTGCCGTTCTACTGTATCACTACGATTCCGAAGTGTCTAATCACTTGACTTGTCTACGTAGACGGCAAGCCGCATTTTGGGCCTGTGTCACTGAACGCGCCATCTCGCGACCTCATTCGCCTGTGGCTAGCCAAGGCGAGGCGGAGGCTACGGCTACGTCTGGCGGTGCAGCCGCTGATCAACGCCGCTCGCAAAGTCGAGTGCGAAAGCTGCCTGAGTCGGCGGCAACTCCAGGTCGAAATGGTCATTCCCATCGAAGTCATGGGCGACAAGTTTGAGCGTTCGTTTCCAAGCGACGAATTCGACGTGGCCGAGTGGAAAAAGTACTTTGCACAGCACCAAAAGTTCAAAACGCTGTGTCTCAGCTGCCTCGCCAAGCAAAAACTCGAGATGCGCATGCCCGCGCTCGGCTCCACCGGCGACCACGCCGACGACGACGAAGCCGCCGCCACTCTCGGCTTTGGACAGGTGTACCTAACCGCGGCCTCCCGCGCCCTCATGCTCAAGTGGTACCGCCTCGGCCAAGATCGTGTGTTTGGCAAGACCGGCAAGCGTCGCGCCGTCGCAAACGTGAGCGACGACGACGATGACGTGGCGACGCGTGGGGCCATCTGGGCGAATCGCCCCGTGCGTCTGAATGCAGCGTCGACGGCGGTTGCGCTGAAATGGATGGTCAGCGCGCGTTTGAATCTCAAAGCCAAAGTGCAGGGCAAAAAGGTCACGCCGTTGGAAACGTCGGCCAAGCCCAAGCGAAAGAAACCCCCGACCAAGGAAACCATGAAGGCCCAGCGCACAAAGCGCAAGTAGATGATAACTCCCAACATACAGACTCGAGCATGGGACGGCAATTAAGATACATATATATATTATGTGACTTTTTTCGATAAATTTTTGAACCCAATGCCCAGACACGACAACAGCACCGATTTCGAGTCGTGGTCGGCCTTGATTTTGAACGTTACGCCGAAAAAATCCCGCAGGTGGCGCAAGTATTGCATGCTATAACGATACGAGTAATTACATTGGGTAGACCAAGTTGGAAGACAAAGGGGGATGGGGGGCTTGCAAGTGTACCTGTAGGGGGTGAGTTTGCCAAAACGGACCTTGGACACGTCTTCAGGGGATAACGTCATGAGCAGCAACGCCAGGCACTGGTTGGAAGTGTCGACACACCCGCCTTTTTGAATCTCCTCGCACAGCAAATGCGATGCCATCGACGCCACGTCCTTGGAAATGGATCACACAATATGAGAAATGTGTTGTCTAGGGTTGGGATGGGGTTTGTACTGTACCTCGGGCAAACTGCCACTGGTGGCGGCGGTTTCCGCGCCGAGGAGCACCCCCGTGGTAGATTCGGCCACCAACGACAAGGCGTACCCTGGGGACCTATATATATCCGACGTTTAGATGCAGAATTGTTGTACTGATGTATACGTACAAGCCTGAGTCGGTGCCGCGATAATGATCCGAGTAAATGTACACATCTGGCAGGAGCTTGTTGAACAGGCCACGGGACGTGTCGACGATGCGGTTGGCCGTCTGAGGCGACACACGCGTGCAGTAGGCAACGCCACTGGACACGAGATAATGTGAATATGACGACGGCACAGTGCATGGACGTACCGAATGCGCTTGATGAAGCCTTCGTCGATCAAGTGGATCGACTTGAGTTGGCGGACGGTGGGGCATCGGAAGATGACTTCGCCGCCACCAAGAGGGGGCGCTCCTCGCTTCTTCACCTTGAAGTCAAGGCCTTCGTCCAATCCAAATTGCTATGTACATCATCACCGCAATGATTAACCCGCGAGATCTTGCATTTGTACCTTGATAAGCGGGATTGTGACTGCTTTGAAGAAGTCGACAGAAGCATCGACGTCATCGTTCGTGATGCCTTTCAACGTGGCCACAAGCGGACGCTTGGCAAACGGCGCGAGGGCGACCAGGGCTTCGAGGAACCATCCGATTGCACGCTTCGTGCCGCAGTCGTGCTCGATGGTGCCACCAACGATGAACCCAGGCGTGTACTTGAGCACGGTACCGGTTTCATTGATTTCAATCTGGCTGCCATTCGTGATCGAGTCCAACAGGCGCAGAAAGTTGGCTTCAAACTCGGTGATCCCGGGCTCTTCGCTGTCCCCACGGATGTTGTCGATCCGAATGCGACGGCCACTCAGGGTCGCGCAGATCAATCGCTGCCGAAAGTGCGCGCATCCCTTGAACTTGAGGGTACCTCCAGACGAAGAGAAGGACGCGGAATTGCCGGCACTTTCAGAGCCCTTGGATGGGTTCACGACCTTCATGCTCATGATGTTGCAGGACAATAATTGGTGTGTAGTGGAAGCGTCATGGACCAATCAGCGGGCTGGTCTGTCGAGCCAATCAACGTGACGGATGAAGTGAGACACTCTCATTGTCAAAACCCTTTGAAACTGAATATATTAGAAACTCCTAGTACTATTAATATTAATAGTTGGAAATCATCAATTCATCCGTAGCTTGGTTCTATAGATATTTTGTTGGCAGTTTCAGAAACTGTCTGTTGCGAGAGACGACGGCAGCGGTGGCGCGGCGGCGGAGTCGAAGCGATGGATGGCATAGTGCTGGACGATGAGATCCTTCAAAAGATCTATGCATGGATAGACGAAGTGCCCCTCTCGCGTCCCAAGAAGAACATGGGGCGAGACTTTAGCGACGGAATCCTGGCAGCAGAAGTGGTGGCGTTCTACTTTCCAAAGCTTGTGCAGATGCACAACTACAGCTCGGCGAATTCCGTGACTCAAAAGCAGTACAATTGGGGCACACTCAACAGTACGTACTGCAAACCCATCCATTCCATGAGACTTCGTGTATCGTTCGCCGCAGGCAGCCAGCCACACATGACCATTCACGCTGTGTTTCCGTAGGAAAGGTTCTCAAGCGCTTGGGGTTTCAATTAACAAAGAGGGACATTGATGACATCGTTCAATGCAAGCCCGGTGCCGTGGAGGAGTTTCTCAGCAAGTTGCAAGTCAAGGTACGAGTTCCAAACGCTTTGTAGCTGGGCCAGGACTTAATTTCTCATTGCCGTTTGACATATCAGATTGCCAACTACCGCCTTCGGCGCACGAGCTCCACAGACGTTGGGAACGACAATGCAACGTCACCCGTGCGAGACCTTTCTGGCCATACGAAGCACGGCGGCGACCACATCAACGACGATGACACGCCCCAGAGTGACCACAGCTCGGAGTTTGCACCAAAACGATCAGAAGTTCGAGACGCCAAAACAAAGGACGACCACTCAGATGATTACCCTGGCAGTGCTGCCAGCTTCACTTCCAAGTACAAAGTGCTCATGATGAGGTTGCAACCTTGACATCATGTGAAGTCACCGCCGCCTCTGTGTTTTGAATGCAGGACATCACATAAATCCTCTGTCGACCACTCGGACGTGCAGCTCGAACTCCAAGAAAAGACGAGTATCATCGACGAGCAGCGCGAAACGATCCAGGTACGATTTGCGTCTAGCAAGTTACTTGCATGAACAAGTCTAGTCGAGATATACCTCAAGATGAAGTATTCCGTGGCATAGATCTTGGAGCAAAAAATTCAAAAGCTAGAGCAGCTGGTGCGACTCAAGGACGGCAAAATCCAAACCCTCGTGGCCAAGCTGCGTACCCAAAAGTAGTAGTCGCAACGTATATATATATTATATATTACACGAGGATTAGAAGGGTCCTCCTGAACTACTTAGTATGGCATCAGTCGGTTCAACTCCACGATTGTATGGCTTGTTCCAACGTGTGCCCTGGCTTTAGCAGCACGACCTTGAACTCGTCGTCGTGCTTTCGATACCCATACACGGCACCATTTCCAATCACGTTGTTTCGGGCGCCAGTGTCGTGCAAGACGAGGAAGTCCCCCCGTTCGACTTGCGGCATGCTCACTTGTCGAAAGCGCACCGAGTCACTGTCGTTGTTGCTTGCACAGAAGCAAACTACTTCTTGGGTCATAAGCTTGGCCGTGGATGTCAACCCGTCCGATCTACACAATCGTTCACGTCAGAAAGCACAGTTTTTTCTAGCCCTCTATGGTCATATCATAAAGACTCGTACTTGAACACAGACACGCGATGCTGGAAGGGGGGTTGTGACAACGACGTCGTCGATGGCGTCCGCACGGTGGTGAAGAACGCGTCGTCCGGCTGCACCACGACCATGTTCAACACATGTTCGTCGTCCTCGACATCATCGACGGGGCTGCTGCTTTCGCGGACGCATTCCACTTGGTGCAATGTCCAGCCGACTTTGGCACTCACGTACGACCCGTATTCCGTCACGACGGTGCGGCCGTTGTTGCGCTCGAGCACCTTGGGTGCGTCGTTCTTCAACACGTCCACAAATTCTGCGAGTGTCGGCGACACGTCGTCCGATTCAAAGTTGGCGGTGAGGCCGCGCCCCCCCAGGTTGAGCACCTTGACGCGGTCTTCGCCGACAGCAGCATCGACTTCTTTGGCCAATTCACACACTACGCGGGCGCCGTGAGCCAGTTGTTGCATAGGAGTGACACCGATCGGACACTCGGCGCAGCAGGCGACCGCGAGCCCTGTGATCCACGGGTTGTCGTGGAATGCCTGGACGAGTTTGGCTCGGTTTCGCTTGGTCAGGGGGATGCCGACACTCCACTTGGGGGCTGTGGTGTGCAAACACGCGTGCACGCGCAGGCCGATGCGGGGCAGTTCCCCCGCATACCGGGGCGTACATTCAGGAAAGTTGGACTGGAACCGCTGTTGGGCGTGGGTGCGAATGATCTCGAGCTCGTCGAACGAGTCGGCGTTCACTTCGACGCCGGCGTTGATGGCGTCAGCAATGTCTCGGGGGGACTTGTGGGGGGCGGTGTACACGATTTTGTGCGGCGCGCAGCCCAACCGTAGCGCGTGGTGAACTTCCTCGATCGAGGTACACGTGAGCCCGACGTCGTTTTCAATCGCCCGGCGCAGAAAAAACGACAACGGACACGCTGCCACCGCGAAACGATGTTCAAAGTGGGGTGGAAACGGCGCCACCAACGCCTGGAACGCCATGTCAATCGCGTCCAAATCGTACAACATCGTGCGAGGAATCGTGATGAGGCCCCCTTCCACCATGTGCCGCACTACTGAGCTGTAATGCGCCGACTTGGCGCTGAAATTCCACATCGGCGGGGGCGATGGGCGCGTCGTGTCGACGGAGGTGGCGGCACTCATCGCCACGGAAGCGGTCGGAATATCGACAAAGCGGGCACACAGCAGCTCCCAGTGGTTCAAGATGAGCTCGATCTTGCGCAGAATGATGGCGTCTTCGAGGACCAACTCCGACATGGTCTGCGTGCCTTGGAAGATGCGGTTGACCATGTCCGCGCCCAGCGCAATGCGAATCACTCCGTAAGGAAGTTTGCCCAACGACACCGGTTGCCCCACAAGGCATTTCTTCTGGGCGAGTGCGACGTCGTTCGTGCCGGCCACGACGACCGAAATGTCCTTGGACAAGAGCAGGTGCACCACCTTGAGCTTGTCCACGCTGAGAAAGCCCTTGGAGCTGTCCACCACATGGAACGACACAATGGTATCCAGGGGCTGGATCGGCAGCCCCGTGTCGGCCGACACGGGTGGTTTCGGCTTGAGGGCTTTGGCGGCTTCGTCGAATGGATCGAGGAGGGCAACGTGTGTGTGGGTCGCCAGCATGCTCTTGGTCCGCTCGATATACTCATGCGAGATCTGGGCGACCATTGCCGGCGGGATCGACGCATAGACTTCCATGTTGACGAGGGCAGTTTCCCAGCGAAGGAGAAGGCCCACGTTCATGCGAGACGGCAGCGCCGCGCGGACGTTTTGCATGCAAAACGGTGGAAAGTCAAACTTTGTAAAGTAATCACCATACCCAGCGGGAAAACACACGCTCGGGTTAGCCACGTTGAGTTCGTACACCGATTGCGCCGGAATCAGCACACTGCCGCAGAATGGCACGCCCGCATAAAACTTGGAGCCCGTGACCAACACGATGTAGCCACGCTGGATAAAATCCACGAGCGCCCCTCGGTTGAGGCGCATCTGGCACGCATCGATGACCACGACAAGACGGGTCCCATACGTCGACGTCAGCGCCTGCACAGCGTTCAAACTGGGGCAGCTCAGGCCTGTTTTCGATCCCATCACAACGTGCAGCAAAGCGACGTTGTTGGGGTTCGCGGTTAGCGCGTTGGTCACGGCTTGGGACGCCGTGGTGTCCGTGTCGACCACAGAGCCGTCTTCGTTCCGAGCTGGCACTTGGATGCACTTGACGCGGCAGGACGGAAACGCACACAGCGACGTCCCCACTTCGACCCCCTCGCCACTAGGTGTGAGTTTACTGAAGTGCTGGCCGGACGAGGCGGCCACCGACCCACGGCCGATTTCCCCCTGCGCGGTCACGATGGATGTGACGGTGCCCGGGGTTGTGTGTGCATCGCTATGAACCGCCTCTAGCCTCGCGAGCGCGCACGACGTCGCGAGTAGCTCGGCGTCGGTGCCGGACGGGGATATGATAGCTTGGAATTCGTGGTCGTCGAAGCGAGCACGCAGCCCGAGGCAGTTGGCAAGGCGCAGGCGGACGTGGTGCATTTTCCGGTCGAAGATGTCTCGGATGTTATCGTTGTTGATGGACAACGACGCCAATAGCAGCTCCTGACGCAGCGCTTCGCACACGGCAAACTGATCAAGGGAGATGCTCGAGCTCGTGCAACTGGCGCGGCTGATCCATGCTTGTGATGCTTGCACGGACGGAATCGTGGACGTGTTGTACTTGTTGGTTTTCGTCGTGGGGTCGAGAATCGATCGGTCGTCCGACCCCCGCACCAAGAGGGACTCGGTGTGCTCGGCGAACGGCAACGCACACGTGACAAACTTCATCACGTCGACCCACAAGTCTCCATGGTATGAGATGCCCAGCATGGACGCTAGGCGGTAGATGTGCTCCGTGTCGGACGCTGGCTGGCCGTTGTGCAAGAGGAAGCGAACCATGCGCACTTCGTCGTACTCTTGGTCGCCCAAGCTTCCGTACTCGTCAATTTCATTCGGGGGGAACGTGGCAATGTACTTGAGCTTGATGTACAGCTGGATAATGCGCCGAGCAATATAACACGGTGAATTCCGATTCAACTCGGGCGACAGCAGCATCTTGGAGTGCAAGAACGTGCTCAATTTCACCGCGTTGACGGGGGATTCCATCTAGTTGAGAAGATATGGTCAGCCACCAACAATCGTAACCACCACGTGTGATGGACGCTACATACCTCCCATGGCTGTTGTTGGCTGTTTTCTGCTTTGTGGTACAGCTTGAAAAGCGGGATGAGCTCGGGGCGGTGCGCCGCCACATTTTCACGAAGTTTGCGGTTCGACAGAGCAACGGGGGGCGCAGCGAATGTCGTGAACATCCCGTCGTCGTCAATCCGTTGCAAAAGTTAATGGCTCAACACGGTGAATTGAGGATGTACGGCATGGAACATCTTCGGTTACACGTAACTGGCAGCCAGCTTCCATGTCGAACAACTTGCACGCGAAACGCCTCCGCATATGGGCCAGCCATTCGATAATCGAACGACACAGTCGCTGTTGAAACCGTGCCAGCATCATCCCAGCAAAAACGCCACATCTGACGTCGAAGATTCTGCGACCAAAATTCTACAGCGCTGAGGCAAACAATATTCCACCGAGACACAAAACTGTTCACGCTTTCTCCTTGTCGCGTTGCACAAATTTCCATTCTTGTCATCATTCAATTCGGAAACACACCACCATTGCATAGTAGTGTTGAGATCAACCACTCCATATATATAGTAAGCTTACGCCAAAACTATACTACTAGTACTACGTACATACGTATAACTTACATTGGCAAAAAATGCGTCCTATTTTTAGAGGGGGGAATTATTGTGGAGGGTTCTACAGAAGGGCTGTATAACGTTAGGGTTTTGTACATACATCAAAGGGAGTGCATATCGCTTCAATTGCAGCGATCAAAGCTGAGTGAGAGCATCGGTGATGGTGAGCATCTCCGTTCTACATGTGCATACCCAGTGCTCAAATTCCAAACTTGTACCTACCTCTCGTTAAGCCCCAGAATTACTACGTATTAGTACTGTACTGTATTCACTCAAACTCACGTTGTACACGTGTACATTGTGTCGTACATCATGCGTGGCATTATAATTGTTAATTCACAGTCAGCGCATGCATGGTTCAAGTCTCAATAATAACGACACTTGCCTTCCCTGACATTCGCCTCAGTTCTACAGTATGTGACACTATAATCAATAACTAGCATATTAACTGGTACGTCAATACTGTCCAATGCTTGGGAAGGAAGCCAGGCATGGAGAGGCAGCGAGCCCTCCACCATGCTCAAACTTGCCGGCAGCGTCCAAGTATAATAGAGAGTTTTCGGACACTGGATTTGAGATAGAATTGGAGGTTGGGATTTCTAACTCAAAAGTAGAAAAACAACATTTTCGGGCAAATATATACTCAAATTTGAGGTACATTTCGGCTCCTTTCGGACAAAAGTAAGATAGGTAGATTGAACGTATACTATACAGATGAAACGTATTGTTCACACAACCAGCAATATGCAAGTCATGCGGTTACCACCAGCCGCTTCGTAGCCGCGATGTCGTGCTTCTCTTAACGCACAGCTAGAGCAATGTCATGATGATTTTGACACGTTCTTCGACACCCTCGAAGTGTTGATTGAAGTTAACGCCTCCTACCACCACCAAATACGGCTCAGTTCCGACTACTACTGAGCGCACCCCTTCCGTCATGCCTACTAGGACACCACGTTTCCTACCAGCTGGTCCTTTGTCCCCACTACGACGGAGCGCCCTGATAACAACAGCACAGGCAAGCCGGCCACCAGTCGCATTGAGTTGTCGGCGTCCATCCACGGGACCACCATGCTTGTTGGTTTCGTACCCGTCCTCTTAGCGTTCTAGATCGTTAACTCGTTGAATATGCACATTGAGTGACTCCAACTTGCCGGGACGGGATTGGGCGTCGTCGACTTGAACGACTGGGTTGGCTGGGCTGTCGATTGTTGACATGGCAGGAATCGAGTGAAGGAATTGTCATCATCGTTTTATTATCCGGATGTAAACTACTCACATTTCGCACTTGCTAAAAGTCTCTACAGTATTTCGGAGATCCAGGCACTTCCATGTATCTCCCAAACTTTGCTGAGGTAGATACATCGTCGATGCAGATAAAAATCCGGATAATAAAACGATGATGACAATTCCTTCACTCGATTCCTGCCATGTCAACAATCGACAGCCCAGCCAACCCAGTCGTTCAAGTCGACGACGCCCAATCCCGTCCCGGCAAGTTGGAGTCACTCAATGTGCATATTCAACGAGTTAACGATCTAGAACGCTAAGAGGACGGGTACGAAACCAACAAGCATGGTGGTCCCGTGGATGGACGCCGACAACTCAATGCGACTGGTGGCCGGCTTGCCTGTGCTGTTGTTATCAGGGCGCTCCGTCGTAGTGGGGACAAAGGACCAGCTGGTAGGAAACGTGGTAGTCGTAGTAGGCATGACGGAAGGAGTGCGCTCAGTAGTAGTCGGAATTGATCCGTATTTGGTGGTGGTAGGAGGCGT